GTAATAAACGGCTCTCGTGTTTTGAGACCGGAACCCATGACCGGGAGTCGGGCTCCTTGGCTTGAATGTGTAATAAAGGACTCTTCCGCAGTGTCGATCTCCGTTGTCCTTTATTTGGGTTCGTGTAAATCTCGCTCCCACGGCGTCCTCGCTCAGGCCCGCGTCTCCTCCGTCGAGCTCTCCGCAGCCACACTGCTGCTCCGCTCTGCAGCCACCCTGCGGCTCCGCTCTGCAGCCACTCTGCTGCTCCGCTCTGCAGCCAGCCTTCCACAGCCCGCTAGCCCCCTGCGCCCGGATACCGATGGCCGACGGTGCCGAGGTCTCCCAACACGTGGCGATCGCGCCACCCTCCCAGTACTGCCCAGCGTGGCCTCCTCCCGTTTTCACTCCGTCTTAACTCCCCGATCCCCTTCCGGTTCTCCCCCTAAATCCTCTCTCCCACGTGACCCTAACTCCTCCCTCTCCTCACGTGACCCAGACTCCGTTCCTCTCAATCCTTGCTCGCATTACAAATGTGAGCGGTACTTGAAAGACAAGCGCGCAGCAGAGGTCGCGGTGGTGGGCTACGTACGGCGCGTAAAGAAGTTTGACACACAGACACATACACACGTGGGGATGAGGTCACGGCATTGGGAAAGGTCACAGCGTGTGCATCGGAGGTCGTAGTGTGATTTGAGGTCAAAACTTCTGCTGATAAGCTCATGGAATTTGTTGGCGGAGCGAGACAGACGCAAAAGCGTGTGACATCATCACCTTGGCCGAAATGTCTTATATCTGTATTTAGCGCTGGTTTTCGTTTCAAGCTTTTGGTGATCATTGTGGCCGGTTTTCTGTGGGGGAAAGTCCCTTAAAGCAACGCAACTTTGTAGTAAATATCGTGACCCCAAGGTACAAACGGGCGCTATGGTGGCGAGATGTTATATCCCTCGCCTGGTACGCAGGATGATGTGGGTTTGATTCCGACCCTGACGCATGCCATATATTTTAGAGTTTGCATATTCTCCGTGTGGTCACGTGGATTTTTATCCTACGGGTTTTTCCCTCCACATTTATCATCAACATGCATATAGCTTATTTGGCTGCTATAAATATCTACATGATGATAAGCCGCTCTGTTGAAGGCTTGTGATGGCCAGGTCGCTTCTGAACAATAGCTACAAAGCTCAGTTGGGCCTTTACCTGGTATAATAATATTAAAAAGTGTATAGTTTCGAGAAGACGGGACAAGATAGGAGGACAAAGCCAATGCAGGAAACGCTTTCAGCCTTCGTTGGAAAGAGTGAGAAAAAATATCACTGTGATGTGTGAAGGACACAGTGTGCCTTGGGATGAGTTTATCGATGCGTTTTCCTCATCCTGTAATTAGTCCCCCCCCCCTCCCTCGCGGGGGGAGGGAGGGGGGGTTACCTGTGAGATCCCTAATGATGAAGACACCTGCAAAAGGTGTCACCTGTGGTGCCACGGTAATTTCCGCCGTCGTTAGCGGCGCAGCTCACACAACTCATCGTTTCTAGAAGGCTTGGCAGTTTTTTCCTGGATTTTGCTGTTTGCGCATAGTCACTTTAAGATGTTTTCTTGTTCATGTTTTTGTTTTTTGTTTGTTGCTGTTGCACCCGATTCAAGAGCCGAGTGGCTCACAGGGCTAAACCTAATAAATTAAACTGAAAACTGAGTTGTGCACGGCCGAAAAACCCCCCAATTGGCGGCAGGCCCATCGATCTGGCCCATCGATCTGGCCCAGCGAAGCGTTATAATTGTTTCAGAAGTTTTAAGTCGCGTCCGAGGTTAACGCACAGCGCTAGGCGGGCCAGACTTTGTGATTCCCAAGACACCCCGCACTCTCTTGTGGCGCTATCGTGGTTGGACTCGGCTCTCCCGATGTGTTTCCGTGGTTTTTTTGTTTGTTGGCCACGATGTTCACGCAGCAACCTCGCGCTCTGATCCCTCTGCGATGTAATGAGCTACATGGCTCCGTGTGGCGCGTTTTTTGGTTCTTAGCCTACTTCTCAAACCCCATTACTTCTCAAACCCTTTATTGCCGCCACGATTTATATTTTGTCAGCCAGGCCACGGGCGGAGTCTCGCGAGAGAGTAGCGGATGCCAAGACTGATGCGATTTAAGAGGGTTGATGGTTCTCGTCTTTGATTTGAAGACAAGCTTCCCCCTTGCCTGCGTTCACACCACAGCGTGCATCTTGTACAACACACGGTGCGCTTGCAGCCATTGCCCCAGGACGAGAGCTTAGTCTTATTCATATTCTTAGGTTTTTTTCGGTAAAGTCACGTAGGTAAAACATCAAAATTAATGAAAATAAAATAAAACAAAAAAATCACGACGAGAGCTTTATCCTCACACTCATACCTGAGGCTACGCGTTCCCGCACACACACAAGGCACGTTTGACCTTAGCTGGTGTTCACTACCGACTTTTGGGCTACAACAACAACCGCCATTCGCCACTAAGTGGCAGTGACGTCACCACGACGCTTGTGCCAGGCCACGTGCACCTTGAGGCCACGTGAAGTGTCGAACGTCCGCTGGCAGGTCACGGGGCAGACCCAGCAGGTGCCACGGGTCGACTGACCGAGATGACCGAGATGACTGGCTGATGCACCACCTGTGCCCCCTACTGTGCCAACTTGCTGTACTTTATCCACCCGGCGCTCCGCTCGTTGTTGTGAGCGTCGCTCCTCCGCCCTCCGTTGTTGTTGGAGGTCGACTGCCTCCAACTGCCCAGTAGCGTCCTTCACGAGCCTCCTCCTCCACAGAGGCCGATCTTGACACCGCTGGTACCAGTCATCGGCAAGTCCACTCAGCTCCACGTCCTCCTGTACCACATCACTCCATCTCTTCTCTAGCCCGTGCTGCGCCCGTTTAGCCCCTCGATCCGGCCGAACAAAAGCTGGTTGGGCATGCGGTGGGCCACACTCACAACAAGACAGCCGACTTGGAGGCCGGCCCTGCCACCGTGCAGTGCCGGATGAAGCGAATGCGGGGCCTGTAGCATGATGTTAAAAAGGGGCCCTAAATTAAAACACGACACGTCAATATTAAAACACACAAAAAAATGATTGCACAGTAAAGTAATTGCATTTTTCATTTGCTATAAAGCCAGATAATTCGACAAATCTCTAACCTTAAACACCCGGTCGTTCATAAAAGTTGAAGGCGGTATAGTACTATAGTAATAGAGCAAGTGCAGAATCACCGAACCGGAATTGATCGCTTGAAAGCATTTAGCGCGGGGACCTTGAAAGTGCGGGACCCGTAGCTACTACATTTGTAGCAACTTTTGCTACTATAGGGTAAGGAGCCGTCCATAAATGACGCCACGCACCTAGGAGGGGGGGGGGGGGTTAGACATCTGTGACGATGTGTGACGAGGGGGGGGGGGTGAGAAATGTGACGTCACATCAAAATGCGCAACTTTAAATAAATATAGACAACACGTTTTACTTAATTAAATATACTTTTTAATACATGCTTTCTCATACAACATCAGAGTGCAGCGGCACATTAAATACGCATTACAATGACAATAGTTTAAAGCGATTTGAAGCATGTTTATTTTTTGGGGGGGGGGGGGGCAGAGCTTTGTGACGTCATATTTGAGGGGGGGGGGGGTCTGACTTTTTGTGACGCCGTGTGACGAGGGGGGGGGGGGGGTCAAAAATTGTCCAAAATCGCGTGACGTCATTTATGAACGGCCCCTAACACACGGGCGTGCTGCACTTGCGACTAATTGCCACGTTCTGTTTACGTGACAACCCTCACTAATTGGCCGTGTCGGGTGGTTGTGGCGGCGGCTTTAACGACACATTTATACATTTTTACGCGATCGAACCACCTCCTCCCCCCAACCTCATAGTAAACACATTCCTCCTGCGGAGGGAGCTGGTAGGATCGTTGGGTTGCTCGGTCAATGGCCTGCAGGGTCAACGGCGGCGTGGTGTATTCCGCAAATATGCCCGACTGTGAGGGCAGGCACAAGCCGGCGTGAGTAGGTTAAACGTTGAGTTTTATAAGGGCACCACGGGGTGACCAGCCCCTCCCTACGCAGCCCCTCCCACCCCCACCCAACCCCACCCTCCCTTCCCCACCCAGCCCCTCCCCATCCTCCCCTCCCCACCCAGCTCCACCCTCCCCACCCAGCCCATCCCCACCCTCCCATCCCCACCCAGCCCCTCCCTCCCCACCCTCCCCTCCCCACCCAGCTCCACTCTCCCCACCCAGCCCATCCCCACCCTCCCATCCCCACCCAGCCCCTCCCTCCCCACCCAGCCCTTCCCCTCCCGCCCCTCCCCACCCAGCCCCACCCAGCCCCTCCCCACCCTCCCCACCCAGCCCCTCCCTCCCCACCCAGCCCCTCCCTGCACGACGGACACAATAATCCCCTGTGGGCTGGTGTAACCAGGAGGTTCCTACCAGTATAAACAACCCCTAAATCCTGATGTAACTAACGGGTGTGTGGTCTTGTGTGTCCCGTACTCTTAGGTTTTTTCGATAAAGTCACGTAGGTAAAAAGAAGTAAAAAAATATATTTTTACTAACAATATTGATTTTTATTATAAAAATATGTATTTTTTTATTTGTATTATTTATTTTTACCTACGTGACTTTACCGAATTAACCTAAGAGTATGAAAACTTGCAGTCACGAAAGCTTCAAATCTAGAGCTGTGTGTCCGTGTCCGTGCGCACGTGCAAGTGAGCCGTCTTGCGCCGCATCTCTCGCGTCTCTTGTGAGCCGCAGTCGTTGCGAGCTTCAAGATCGCCCCACACACCTCCCTTGTTGTTGCCGCGGGTAACTTCAAACAGCGATTGTTGTTGTTGTGGTGGTGGTTGTTGTGGTTGTTGTTGCCAAAGTCCACGTCGGCTCGCTGGGCAGCTGCTAAAACAAACTAAACGACGGCGGCCTCCGTGTTCAGTCAGAGTCCGTCCGTCCAGGGTTCGTCGTTGCGTCTCCATCTCGACGTCCATGTAAAGTAAACTCGAGTGCGACCTCAATAGAATAACAATGATCAACCTCTTGGTCCACCTCAATAGAATAAACATTATCAACCTTGACGTCCACCTCAAGGGCCGAAGTAATGTCGTGTTGAGTAATGCTTGAGGGTTCTCGATTGTTAATCTCGGAGGCTCATGGAGCCTTCCGTATCTTGGCTTCAGCCTCCATGCGGCATGACCCGTGTACAAGTCATTACAAGCGGGTTACTTGCTTGCAACCGGATTGTGTTGTTAGCGATCGGCATCGTGACTAGGAGATGTTGACTACCTCGCCTGGTGTACAGGAGGTCGTGGGTTCGATCTCGACCCTGACGCCTGCTGCTGTATATTTGGAGTTTGTGTGTCTCTCTCATCATCATCATCATCACGGTGGCTAGGAGATGTTAACTCCCTCGCCTGGTGTACAGGAGGTCGTGGGTTCAATCCCGAATGTGTTCATGATGACGGTGTCTCTGTGGTTACCATGTCACCATGGTTACCTTGTCACCATGGTTACCTTGTCACCATGGTTACCTTGTCACCATGGTTACCTTGTCACCATGTCGATAAATCTCCATGGATACCATGCCTCCTTGGTGATTGTTTCCCCGGTGATACGTCTCCATGGTGACTGATTACCATGTCTCCATGGCTACTGTGTAACCGGGGTGATACGTTTCCGTGGTGACCGTGTCTCCAGGAGAGGATGGAGTCCGATGCCACCGAGATCGCGTCCACACCGCCCATCCTGGAGGTAAGGATTCATTCACTGTGTCACTCAAAACTTGTGTGTGTGTGTGTGCAAGGTGTGATCTGGGGAGCGGTAGTGTAGCAGGTTGCCTCGCTGCACTGCGATCCCGGCGACCCGAGTTCCGCTCACGGCCAACACCCATAACGATTATGTGAACTCATCCTGGCTCTCCCCTAGGTTGACTTAACCTCGAATAAGTACCTGGTGCGGTGTGTTAACATCGCCACTAAGGAGTGGCGTGGTGCTGGCTACCCACCCCCTCGTGTGCCGTGCCGGCCTTCATAGGTGCTCGCTAACAGCACTTACCCCAACGGTCTGTTAAGGCTACACGGGGGATCCTTGTTTTTTGCTGTGTGGTGCAGGTGGAGCAGGCTCTGGAGGTCCTGTGCCGCGTGAAGCGCCGCTTCTCGCAGGAGCCGGACATATTTTGCTCCTTCCAGGACGCCATGAGGGCCTTTCACGCTCCCAGGTGACGAGTGGTGTGGAGGCCACGCTGGGCCGCAAGGGGAGACTGGGGTTGGTAGGTTGGGGGGGGTCGGCGAACAGGTGGAGAAGCTTGCCGCAGAAAACACTGAGAAGGGGCCCTTAGAGAGAGAGGAACTTTTTTTAATTTTGCCCTGAGCTTCCAAACACCCTTTTGTCTCCACCTGAAGAAGACCGCTTGTGTTGCGATCGAAACGTCGTGGGTTTTTTTGCTTTTCATTTAGATTTTTGTTTTCTATCTACGTGACTTTACCGAAAGAATCAAGGGTACCCTTTTTAGTGGCCATGAGACCAATGTGTCGGTTTTTGGGTGTTACGGGTTTTGAGGCCTACATTGGGTGCAATAATCATAATAATATCTGTGCTTAACTTACCCGGGAAAGACTCAATCCCAGTATTATTTGTCAGGTGCGTCCCGTAATGCGAACGTTTGAACAGTGCCGTTGATGAGTGTGTGGCGCGTGTGCAGATGAGTGTGTGAGCTGTAAGGAGCGGGAGTGAAGCGGTTCACATGCTGCGCTATGAACCCGGTGACCAGCGACAATTATTTAGACCAGTCTTGGGCCACCCTAGGTCGACTCAGCCTAAAATGAGTACCTTATCCGATGTGTAAACACAGCCATTAGGGAGACAAAGGCGGCCAGGCTTGGTGCTGGCCACCCCCACCCCCCCATGTGCCTCTTTTTAAATCCTTTATATTAAGTTCGCTTGCTTGCGTGCTTGCTTGCTTGCTTACAACCGTGCAAATCTTTCGGTCGTTTTTTAACCCACTTCCCGTGATCCAATCGAGCTGACATTTTCCACACAGACTCGTTGTGCGTGACAATTAATTTTCGTGAAAATAAATTTCCAAAATTTTACACTGTTTAGGGATTTTTAAAAAAAATATTTAATTACCAATTGCTTAATGCTGGCAGACAATCATCTGACCCATAGGTGGCAGCCATCTCAAGCCAGAGGACGAGAGGACTCTAGCCGTCACGCATATAAAGGATTTAGAGTGAAAAACTTTGTTTTTACGGGTTTATTTTAGTCTTCATAGGTGCTCACTAACAGCTTGCCAACAGTTTGTTAAGGCTATACAGGTGATCTTTGTCTTAGTTCTGTGCATGCTGTTCACGTCACGTGTGTTACATATTATATGCGTTGCTACATACAGGACTGTGTGCGTGCTGCGTGTGCGTGCTGTGTGTGCGTGTGCGTGCCGCGCGTGTTGTGTGTGCATGCTGCGTGTGCGTGTTGTGTGTGCATGCTGTGTGTGCGTGCTGCGTGTGCGTGCTGTGTGTGTGTATGCGTGTGCTGTGTGTGCTGTGTGTGCCGTGCGTGCTGTGTGCAGCGTGGACCCGTGCGTGGCGCTAGCGCGAGTGGCGTCGGTGCTGTCCGGGCACCCCGACCTCATCGCTGCGTTTAACTCTTTCCTCCCGCCCTCGTACCGCCTACGTGACCCGGGCCGCACGAAACCAACGATGGCGACGACGATAACACGGGTGACTTCACGTAGCACACTGCTCACAGCTCCGCGGGGTCACGTGGCTCCACACTGTGGGGTCACGTGATGACTCTCAATAGGCGACATAATTCGACTACACGCGGCATCGTGGTGTCCTGTAATTTCACAGTGTGAGGTCACATGACTCCAAAAGGTGCCAGGCGTCACGAGACTTCACATTGTCCGCACCGTCGTGTCATGTGACTAGGAAAAGTGGCCGTTCCTTAAACGACTACATTACATTGACATCATTATACTCCACCAGGCGTCATGGTGTCATGTGACTCCACCAGTCATTAGACTGCACACAGCATTGCAGTGTTACGTGAGTTCATACCGCCTGGTCGTGTCGTTTTCGCACACCGCCCTGCGTTCTGACACGCTGCGTCGCGGTAGCTGCTCTGGTGACGTGTTGCTTTTGTGGTGCCAACGTAATGCCTGCCTGAACCGCGCTGCCACCGTGGTTTGTGATGCAGGACGTGACGGTGACGCCGAGTCCGGGAGACGGTGGCGTACGTCTCAAAGGGAAGGGGCGCAGCAGCGACACGGGAGAGAAAGCAGGCGTGGGCGTCGCAGCAGACGAGAGCTCGGAGTCGGGAGACACGAGGCTGGGAGCGACACAAAGCGGGGACACGGCGCTGAGCATCGCAGCCTCCGGCAGTGGTGCAGTAGTTGCAGCTGTGCCTCCTGATAAAGCCCCGGGTGGTGCAGGCTCATGCAGCATAGGTGCAGGTAGCCCCAATGAAGGTAGCACAGGTGTTTGCCGTGATGGAGGCGGCGGTGCAGCAGTAGGCGGGGAGAGAGGTGGTGGTCTACATATGGGAAGTGATGGTGGTGGTGGTAGTGAGTGTGTGAGGGTGGAGGAAAGCAGTCGCACATCTGTGGAGGCAGGTGGCAGTCTATGTAAGGGCAGTGATGGAAGTGATAGGGTGAAAGCGGAGGAAACCAGTCGCACATCTGTGGAGGGAGGCGGTAGTCTTCACAGGAGCAGTGATGGTAGTGGTAGTGTATGTGTGAGAGCGGAGGGAAGCAGTAGCACATCTGTGGAGGGAGGCGGTAGTCTTCACAGGAGCAGTGATGGTAGTGGTAGTGTATGTGTGAGAGCAGAGGAAACCAGTTGCACATCTGTGGAGGGAGGCATTACCCTACACAGGGGCAGTGATGGTAGCGGTAGTGTATGTGTGAGAGTGGAGGAAACCAGTCGCACATCTGTGGAGGGAGGCAGTACTCTACACAGGAGCAGTGATGGTAGTGGTAGTGTATGTGTGAGAGCGGAGGTAGGCGGTAGTCTACACAGCAGCAGTGATGGTAGTGGTAGTGTATGTGTGAGAGCGGAGGTAGGCAGTACCCTACACAGCAGCAGTGATGGTAGCGGTAGTGTATGTGTGAGAGCGGAGGAAACCAGTAGCGCATCTGTGGAGGGAGGCGGTAGCCTACACAGGGGTGGTGATGGCGGTGGTAGTGTGTGTATGAGGGCAGAGGGAAGCAGGAGCACGGCTGTGGTTGTAGAGGGAGGTGGTGCTGCGGTTGTGCGCGGGGAGGAGGGAGCTGATGGTTCCAGCTCGCGTCCCTCCGGGTTCTCAGCGGCAGCGGCGCTGGTGAGCGCGGTAAAGGCGCGATTCCTCCTCCGCCCGGACGTGTGCCGCCGCTTCCTGCACGTGCTGCACACCCATCAGGTGCGCACACCGCACGCGGCTCACACGTGCGCAAAGATCCCCCGTATAGCCTTAATAGACTGTTGGGCCAAGTGCTCTTAGCGAGGTGCACCTGTGAAGACTGGAACGGCGCACGAGGGGGTGGGTGGCCAGCACCACGTCCGGCCGCCTTTGTCTCCCGAGTGGCGATGTTTACACACCGCTCCAGGTACTCATTTGAGGCTGAGTCGACCTACGGGGAGGCCCAGGACCAGTTCAGATAATTGTCATGAAGGGGAATTGAACTCGGGTATCCGGGTTCGCAGCGCAGCGCGCTAACCGCCACACTACCGCTCCTCATTATGCACACGCACACACACACGCGCAGACTTTTGTGCGTGCGTACAGGTTGGCATTTGCGTTGACGCTGCGCATGTTGCGTGCGTGTGTGTGTTTTGTGCGCGTCCTGCAGAACCAGTGGGATGCGTCGCGTGAGGAGGGTGCGCCTTGTTGCGATGCGCGTCTCGGTGTGCGCGAGTGCGATGGGGACGAGGTGCCTGGGGGCGCGCGTGAGGCTGTGCCCGATGGCGAAGGTGAAGGTCTGGGTGAGGTTGAGTGTGCGGGTGGCGATGGTGATGAGAGCGAGGGTGAGTGGGAGGGTGAGCGCTGCGAGGCGCTGTCTCGCCGGGAGGTGTGTGCCCAGCTGTGCGAGCTGCTCAAGGGGGAGGAAGACCTCCTCGTTGAGTTAAAGAAGTTCCTGCAAGTTGACCAGGTGCGTGGTGCCCGTGGCTTTTCGTTCGGACGTTCTTGACTCTCCCGGCCAAGCAGCTGTGCGATGACCTTGATCCCTTTCACAGTTTTCCTGTCGGCTGATTCTCAACAGGGTGTTGCACTCAGTCACTGTCTAATTGTTAGTTAATGTTATGTACGACTTGAGTTTGATCGTCATTGTTTAACACCGGGATCGGTTTGATATTGTTTTGATCTAACATCACTTTAACACGGAGTAGGCTTTCGCGACCAATATCATCTATAATAGATGTTTTTTGGTCGTGGGTTTAACGACACATTTATATATGTACGCAATCTTTCCCAAAAAAACCTGTATTATGGACCTACTATCACGTGTACTTTATACGTTTCTTGTCCCAGGTCTCCCTTGTAAAAGAGATGCTCTGGTCTCAAGCGGCCCTTACCTGCTTTTAAACTAAATATGTTGATTTATTGAACATAAGGTGAACTACTGTGTTAGGTGTGTAGCTAAGTACCGACCGGGTCTCTGCTCCGCATGGCCAGAGTTTTCCCGGCGAGCAGTGAATGGGATGCAGGTTGTTACAGGAGGTCGCGCGTCTGCCCGTGTCCCCGTCTCCTCTGTGCCCAGGGCTCGGACTCGCCGGCTGGGGACGCCGGCGACAGCCGCGGTGCGGTTGCCAAGAGGCGAGCGCCAACACCGGGGCCTGAACCAGCGTCGGGGCCAGTTGCCGCCAAGGTGCGTGTGCGCGTGTTGGCGGGTTCACCAAAGCTTGCGGGCGCGGACAGGATTGGCACAGTGGGGGGCAAAGGTGGCGCATCGGCCAGGCATCTCGGTCAGTTAATCAATAACATCGGGGTCTCTCCCGTGACATTCACGACATCGAGTCATCTGACACTTCATCTCGCCTTAAATACGGTGACTCGGCTCTGGTGCGTTGGGTAAACATCAGCGCCCGAGGAGACTTTGGGTGCCCAGGAGGCTGCCTCCTGCAGCAGATAGAGCAGCATAGCCCCCAACAATATGTACGTGTGTGTGTTTCACGCCGTACGTAGCCAATCGGCCATTGGTCAGTTTGAGCACAGGTACCAGTCCGTGACCCGATAGATCGGAACGCAAACCGACAAAGGCTCGGCGAGCCCTTCCTGCTTTAAGGGCATTATAAGGCACGGTGATTGATTACGGACGTGAATGTTAATTATTTTTCTCCACCCTTTATATCACAGTTGTTGTCCTTCCCCCGCACTTCCGATTCGCGCGGTTGGCTGTGTACGGTGGTGCGAAAGAAGTTCAACATACACACATATGTACACGGTTTCTTGGATTTTTCTTGAATCCTTACCCCCAACTTTACCTGCCTGGTAGTGGCTCGCAGCCGCACGATGCGGTGATGGTCATTGTCGTCATCGTCGTCGTTGTCATCGTTGTTGTTGTTGTCGGGTGCAGCGACCAAGGATGCCGAGCCTGCGCGACCCAAGTCTGGCAGCTGCCGGGATGCACGGGACGCTGCGTGAGATCTCCTTCTTCGACCGGGTGAGATGCAGAACCCGCGTAGCCCCCACGTAGCTCCCACATAGCCTACACGTAGCCTACACATAGCGAACACATAGCCAACACATAGCCCCCACGTAGCCTACACATAGCCTACACATAGCCAACACATAGCCCCCACGTAGCCCCCACATAGCCTACACATAGCCTACACATAGCCTACACATAGCCCCCACGTAGCCCCCACGTAGCCCCCACATAGTCTACACATAGCCTACACATAGCCTACACATAGCCTACACATAGCCTACACATAGCCTACACATAGCCCCCACGTAGCCCCCACGTAGCCCCCACATAGTCTACACATAGCCTACACATAGCCTATACATAGCCTACACATAGCCTACACATAGCCAACACGTAGCCCCCACGTAGCCCCCACATAGCCTACACATAGCCTACACATAGCCTACACATAGCCTACACATAGCCTACACATAGCCAACACATAGCCCCCACGTAGCCCCCACATAGCCTACACATAGCCTACACATAGCCTATACATAGCCTACACATAGCCCCCACGTAGCCCCCACGTAGCCCCCACATAGTCTACACATAGCCTACACATAGCCTACACATAGCCTACACATAGCCTACACATAGCCCACACATAGCCCACACATAGCCCCCACGTAGCCTACACGTAGCCTACACATAGTCTACACATAGTCTACACATAGCCCACACATAGCCCCCACATAGCCCACACATAGCCCCCACATAGTCTACACATAGCCTACACATAGCCTACACATAGTCTACACATAGCCTACACATAGCCTACACATAGCCCCCACGTAGCCCCCACGTAGCCCCCACATAGTCTACACATAGCCTACACATAGCCTACACATAGCCTACACATAGCCCACACATAGCCCCCACATAGCCCACACATAGCCCCCACATAGTCTACACATAGCCTACACATAGCCTACACATAGCCTACACATAGCCCCCACGTAGCCCCCACGTAGCCCCCACATAGTCTACACATAGCCTACACATAGCCTACACATAGCCTACACATAGCCTACACATAGCCTACACATAGTCTACACATAGCCTACACATAGCCTACACATAGCCTACACATAGCCTACACATAGCCAACACATAGCCCCCACGTAGCCCCCACGTAGCCCCCACATAGTCTACACATAGCCTACACATAGCCTACACATAGCCAACACATAGCCCCCACGTAGCCCCCACATAGCCCCCACATAGCCTACACATAGCCTACACATAGCCTACACATAGCCTACACATAGCCTACACATAGCCTACACATAGCCAACACATAGCCCCCACGTAGCCCCCACGTAGCCTACACATAGCCGCCACGTAGCCCCCATGTAGTATGTCAATTGTTGTATGCCCCGTGTGTGTGTGTGCGTGGTTAGGTGCGCTGTGCGCTGCACAGCCCTGAGGTGTATGAGAACTTCCTGCGCTGTGTTCAGCTCTTCAACCACAACCACGTGTCTCCCTCGGCACTGCTGGACATGGCTCGGCCATTCCTGGGGTCGGTGACTCCCACGCGCCTCTAGTCACCTCCTACTGAACACCAGCACACGCACCCAGCCACCTCCTACTGAACTCCTGTATGAGGTGCTCGGTTATCATGCTGGTCATGTTGCTTTCGGCATGTTACTCGTGTCATCATCTTCATCGCGTCACCGTCGGTCACGTGACACGTGCGTCGATTACGTTGCCATCGCGTTGATCGTGCTACGTTTGTCACGCCGCGCGTTGACCGCGTCGCCACGCCGTCCCGTCTCGTCGCGTCACGTCGCGAGCAGGAAGTTCCCGGAGCTGCTGGTGGAGCTGCGGAACCTCCTGGAGGACGTGCGGTCGGAGGGTGCGGGTTTGGGCGCGGTGCCGGGTGTTGTTGCCACGGAGACTGGGGCTCGAGGCTGCGGTCGGCGCGTCGGCCCAAGTTACCGGTCCCTGCCGGAGACGTACGAGCAGCCGCGCAGCAGCACGCGCACGGCGCTGTGCCGCGAGGTGAGGCCCGCGACCACGGCTGGCTGTGCGACCACGGCTGTTCGGTGACGGCGCAAAAGCACAATCGCGCAGCCGCAGCGGCACGACGATTGTGCGGCCGTGAAATGACTCAACCCACGACAACGCAATGGCGACACAACCGCAGCGACAACAAGGACGGCGCTCGTCAATGACGGAGCAGAGAAGCAGGCGGTTAAAATACCCAGCAAGGTGGCGCAGTAATGGGGAGTGCAAGGACGGGTTCTGATAGTCGTCGCTCATGTTCAGCGGGTTCGTAGTGCGGTGCACTAACCACGACACTTCCGCTACGCACACAGAAAAACAAATATCCCACCATACCGCCTTGAACAAACTGTCGGGGAAAGTGCTGCTAGAGAGCACCTTACGTAGGTCGACTCAGCCTTAAAATGAGTACCCGGTGCATATAAGACATCAGCATTGGGGAGACAAATGCGGCCTGGCGTGATGCTGGCCACCCATCCCCCTCGTGTGCCATGCTGGCCTTCATAGGGTGCTCGCTAACGGAACTCTGCGTCTGTGTGTGTGTGTGTGTGCGGTGGGGGGGATCTTTATGTCTGCGTCTGTGTGTGTGTGTGCGGCGGGGGTGGGGTGGGCGGCGCAGGTGCTGAACGACACATGGGCATCGTTCCCATCGTGGTCCGAGGACTCGACGTTCGTGAGCTCCAAGAAGACGCACTTCGAGGAGAGCATCTACCGCTGCGAGGATGAGCGCTTCGAGGTGACCGCCTCCCGTCGCCACACGCCGCCGCGCTTACGATCGCAGGCCCAGTCTTTTTTAGTTTTATTTTTAGTTTTAAAAAAAATCTTTTATTTTTTTTGTTAATTTTACTATTATTCTTTTTACTAGCTTTTTTATGAATTTTTAAAAGAGTCTGGTACAGAGCACGAACCGCGACGCAGGGAAGGGGGTACAGAAACTCCGCCGACATAGCGTCCCGAACCTCCGTGGCTCCTGGCTTGAGAGGGGTGGAGGAGATCGGGCTCACCGACCCCTCCAGCCCAAGTCGGAGGCCGCGAGCGGGGCGTTTGTGTCGTCCTTTTACGTGGGGAGGGAGGGGGAAGATGAGGGAGGAAGATCGGTGGGCGCATTGCTCAGCACAATCCCCTGCGAACCCTTTGACCTGACTTCCAATTCCCTGACGTGGTTCACCGAAGGGTCAGCGGCGTTACGATGACCAGGCCGGGGGTTCCCTCGCTCAGTCAACTGCACTGACCGGCGTGGTGAAGTACGATCAAACAACCCCCGTGACCTGCACGACGTGGGGAGGAGGTGGATTGACAAAAAGCTGTAAATCATCATCATCATCATCGATATCATCACCGTACGTGGCCAACCATGATGATCAGAGGTGCGGGGAAAGGCCAACAAACTAAACACCAAAAGCACTTATAAAGAAATGACTTTGTCAATATAGATGATATAACAGTGTAATGCTCCAATGGCTTCCTAATATTGGAAGGAAGAGCGTTCCAGGCGGCCGCAGAAGCGCGTCTGAAAGCGCGAGATGCGGTGACCATCTTTATTTAATAGCAGGCCAGAAGTGTGGTGTATATTGTAGTGTAAAGTGTAGTATATCGTGTTGTGTATCTGAAAGCGCGCGGTGCGCTGACCGTCTTTGTTCGACAGTTTGCCGAAAGCTGCTGCTGCGAGGATGACCAGAGTTTGCGTGATGATGTCTGCTCCTTGACGAGATCGTTGTTATTGAACAAGATGTGCGGTGCATGCGGTGCGTGCTGCGCAGCTGGACGTGGTGCTGGAGACGAACCTGGCGACGGTGCGGGTGCTGGAGAGCGTGCTCAAGCGGCTGGCGCGGCTGCCGGCCGAGGAGCAGGCGCGCTTCCGCCTGGACGACGCGCTGGGCGGCTCCTCCGAGGTGGTGCACCGCAAGGCGCTGCAGCGCGCGTATGGGGAGCGCGGGGCGACCGACATCGTCGCCGCGCTCAAGCTCAACCCGGCCGCCACCATCCCCCATGTGCTCAAGAGGTTTCCGCGCTCGGCACACACCGCACGCAGCACGAATCACACTCGCCACAGTCGGGGATCAACATGAGGAAAGAGATGGTCAGTGAAACAATGATTGTTGAAACGACGAGATGCGTGCGTTGCTGCGTGCGTTGCTGCGTGCGTTGCTGCGTGTGTCATTACGTGCGTCGCTGCATGCGTCGCTGCGTGTGTCGCTGCGTGTGTCGCTGCGTGCGTCATTGCGTGCGTCACTGCGTGTGTCATTGCATGCGTCACTGCGTGCGTCACTGCGTGCGTCATTGCTTGTGTCGCTGCGTGTGTCATTACGTGTGTCGCTGCGTGTGTCACTGCGTGTCATTACGTGTGTCGCTGCGTGTGTCACTGCGTGTGTCATTACGTGTGTCGCTGCGTGTGTCACTGCGTGCGTCGCTGCGTGCGTCACTGCGTGCGTCACTGCGTGCGTCGTTGCATGTGTCGCTGCGTGTGTCGTTGCGTGCGTCACTGCGTGCGTCGCTGCGTGCGTCGCTGCGTGTGTCACTGCGTGCGTCGCTGCGTGCGTCACTGCGTGCGTCGCTGCGTGCGTCACTGCGTGCGTCACTGCGTGCGTTGCTGCGTGTGTCGTTGCGTGCGTCACTGCGTGCGTTGTTGCATGTGTCGCTGCGTGTGTCGTTGCGTGCGTCACTGCGTGCGTTGTTGCGCGCGTGCTCGTAGGCTGAAGGCGCGCGAGGACGAGTGGCGCGAGGCTCAGCGCGGGTTCACGCGGCTTTGGCGCGATCAGGGCGAGCGCTTCCAGGTTCGCTCCCTCGACCACCGCGGCATCACCTTCCGCTCGGCCGACACCAAGGCGCTGCGCACCAAGGCCCTCGTCAACGAGATCACGGCCCTGCGCGACGAGGTGAGGCGCCGTGCTCGGCCCGGGAGCGCGCGGGAGTGACGGAACGGGGGTGGGGGGGGGGGGGTGTGTGCGAGTCTCTGCGCAGGGAGCGGTTGACGCGCCACGCTACGAACCTGGCCGCCCGAGTTCGATTCCCGCTCGCGGCCAACACCGGTGATGATTATCTGAACCGGTACTGGGTCTCCCTTAGATCGACTCAGCCTCAAATGAGTACCTGGTGCGATGTATGTAAATATCGCCACTGGGGAGACAAAAGCGGCCAGGCGTGGTGCTGGCCACCCACCCCCTCGTGTGCTACAGTGCCGGCCTTCATAGGTGCTCGCTAACAGCACTTGCCCCGACAGGCTATAAGACCCTTGAGAGAAATATGGACAGAGTCCCATCGATGAGCTGACTCCGGCAGTCGAGGATGCGTTGGTTGGGCCATGTAGCCCACATGCCCAGCCACCGCATGCCCAAGCAGCTGCTGTTTGGCTGGATAGAGGGGGCTAAATGGGCGCAGCATGGACTAGAGAAGAGATTGACTAAAGCTTAGGGGACTTACCGATGACTGGTACCAGTGGTGTCAAGATTGGCCTCTGTGGAGGAAGTTTATGAAGGACCCTACTGGGCAGTTGGAAGTAGCTGCCCTCCAACAACAGCAGAGGGTGGATGCGCGATGCTCACAACAATGAGCACAGAGGGCAGCACAGGTGGTGGTCCATCTGCCAGTCATTTCAGTCAGTCAACCCATGACCTCTGGGTCTGTCCTGTGACCTCCTCCTTCACGTGGCCTCAAGGAGAGCTTTTATAGGTGCTCACTAAATATGTTGTGTGAGGTCTCCAGAGCATGTGTGAGTGTGCATTGAATGTGTGTCGTTACAGTCCGCTGTGTGTGTGTGTGGCATGTGGAGCAGCAGGGCGGTGTGCGTGCATGCGTGTCAACACACTGGTGTCTGTCTGCGTGTGTCGTCACACTGCGCTGTGTGTGTGTGTAGCGTGTGGAGCAGCAGGGCACTGTGTGTCTACGTGTGTTATCACACTGCGCTGTGTGTGTGTGGCATGTGTAGTAGCAGGGCGGTGTGTGTCTGCGTGTGTCGTCACACTGCGCTGTGCGTATGTATGTAGCGTGTGGAGCAGCAGGGCGGTGTGTGTCTACGTGTGTCGTCACACTGCGCTGTGTGTGTGTGTGTGTCGTCACACTGCGCTGTGTGTGTGTGTCGTCACACTGCGCTGTGTGTGTGTGTGTGTCGTCACTCTGCGCTGTGTGTGTGTGTGTCGTCACACTGCGCTGTGTGTGTGTGTGTCGTCACACTGCGCTGTGTGTGTGTGTGTCGTCACACTGCGCTGTGTGTGTGTGTGTCGTCACACTGCGCTGTGTGTGTGTGTGTGTCTGCGTGTGTCGTCACTCTGCGCTGTGTGTGTGTGTGTGTCGTCACACTGCGCTGTGTGTGTGTGTCGTCACTCTGTGCTGTGTGTGTGTGTCGCTACACTGCGCTGTGTGTGTGTGTCGTCACTGCGCTGTGTGTGTGTGTGTCGTCACACTGCGCTGTGTGTGTGTGTGTGTGTCGTCACACTGCGCTGTGTGTGTGTGTGTCGTCACACTGCGCTGTGTGTGTGTGTGTGTGTCGTCACACTGCGCTGTGTGTGTGCGTGTGTGTCGTCACACTGCGCTGTGTGTGTGTCGTCACACTGCGCTGTGTGTGTGTGTGTGTGTCGTCACACTGCGCTGTGTGTGTGCGTGTGTATCGTCACACTGCGCTGTGTGTGTGTGTGTCGTGACACTGCGCTGTGTGTGTGTGTGTCGTCACACTGCGCTGTGTGTGTGTGTGTCGTCACTCTGCGCTGTGTGTGTGTGTGTGTGTCGTCACACTGCGCTGTGTGTGTGTGTGTCGTCACACTGCGCTGTGTGTGTGTGTCGTCACACTGCGCTGTGTGTGTGTGTCGCTACACTGCGCTGTGTGTGTGTGTGCAGCGTGTGGAGCAGCAGGGCGGTGTGCATGTCGGCGCTGTGCGTGGAGGGGCGGCGCTCGCCGGGCCTCACCTGTGCCTGCAGTATGCCGACCGCTCCGTGTTGCCCGATGCGGCCGCACTCATCCTGCACCAGGCACGGCACCAGGTGAGAGGGTACAAAGCCCTCGCCGTGCCCCCCCCCCCCCCCCCGGTGCGCCGCGGGGTTCCGTGTAAAGCTGAGCTCCCGTTGGCTTAGCGTTGAGCGTCTCGTGCGTCACGGTGCAGGCCGGTCTGCGGGGCGCGGAGCTGAGACGCGCAGCAAAGATCCTCCTGTTCCTGCTGCCAGACGTCCTCTTCACGGCCCGCGCGGACGCCTCGCTCATCCCACAGGTGACGGCGTAGGGCCCCTGAGTCGGACGCATCGTCAAATGACATCGTCGGATACATCGTCACGGATGCCATAGGACAACGGCGCATACTACCATCATATTCCGTCAACTCGGCATCACATGACACAGTGACACACCGCCATCACACGCTATGGCGTACGCCGGCACACAACACTGTCACTCAGCACTACGCACCACCGCAACACACCATCATCTTGATTGTCGTCATCGTCATCACCACCCACAGCGTTATCACCACCACTACTATCAATAGTTTCGTTTCGTTTGTGCATTGTTTGAGCCAGCTAGCCAGGATTGGGCCATCTGCCTCAACCAGACGAAGTCCGCTCCAACAATCATCATCGCCCTCTCACACTGTTCCACGCTCCGACAGGATGACAGCGACGAGGATGAGGAGGAGGAGGCGGCTGGTGCTGCTGGAGGAAGCGGCGGTGGCGGCAGCGGTGGCGGAGCAGCGGAGGCCGAGGGCGCCGGCAGCGGCGAAGACGGGCGGTGCCGGGAAGAGCGCCGGTGCCGTATGGTGGAGCGTGGAGAGCGGCCCATCGGCCTCCGTGAGCGGCCCAGCCCCACCGTGTCCGACGGGGGAGCCGCACGCGACGCCGGCGAGCAGCGAGGATCCGGCGGGGAGCAGCGGGGAGGCAACTTGGAGCAGCGGGGAGGCAACTTGGAGCAGCGAGGGAACGTCCCGGAGCAACGAGGTGCCAGTTCGGAGCAGCGAAGGGCCAGCGGGACCAGCGCGGAGCAGGAGGGAGACTTTGCGACCAGCTCCCTGGAGCAGGGTGAGTGGCGGGCAGCGGCCTGATAGCCGTGGCTGGCGTGTGGTGGGCCCTGGTGCAAGGGACGGTAATGGGGCCTCCTGGCCAACTTCCCCACCGGTGCAGAGGATTCTCTGGCCCACGGGCCCTAGTGCCGTTGCATCGACTGCACGATCGAAAGTATTGCCAATGGCGGCAGGCTGTCCACGCCGCGCCGTGCGCGTTTAAAGGCGGCCGAGGGGAGGTGCTGTGGCCTAAGTCCTGGTGCCCGCACGCTGTGTCCGACCGGGCACCCTGCGTGCTTGAACGGCCGTCTCGCTCGACACTCCTTGCCCACGCCTCCCTTGTCTCCTTGCTTGTCTCTCCGCCCTTTGGGTGTGCACGTGCGTACGTACGTGCGTGCGTCCTCACGTGTCCCCGTGTCTGCGTGGGGCGGCCGCAGCTCGCGAGCTGAGCGCTGTGGACGGCGTGTACACGCTGCTGTTCGCCAACACCAGCTGGTACGTCTTCCTGCGCCTCCACCAGCTGCTGTGCGCCCGCCTGCTCGCCATCCGCTCCGAGACGAGCACCGCCACACCCGGTACGACCCCGGCCACCAACAACAGCGACAACAACAGGCGCCGTTCGCCACCAGGTTGCGGCGACGTCACCACGGCGCTTGTGCCAGGCTAGGTGCACTTTAAGGGCACGCGAAGTTTTGAACGCCCACTGGCGGGAGGTCACGGAACTGTGCCGTGGGTTGACCGACTGAGATGACTGGGTGACCGCCACACACACGTACACACACACGCACGCACACGCACGCACACGCACAGGCGGGTACAGACACAAGAACGAAACAGGAGGATTTCTCCCCAAATCTGGCTGTAGCCTGATGAAGCTGGTTGTAATTACTGGTGAAACGTCGTACTCAGATTGTAAATGTTGTGTCTTTGCTCTCCAACACACCGGTGTGCTGTACTCATGACGAATTGCCACGTTCTGTTTACGTGACAAACCTTACTAATTGGCTGTGTCAGGTGGTGACGGGTTTAACGACACACATTTTTTTACGCGATCTAACCCAAAAAACCTGTATTATGGGTACAGACACGTCCGTGGGAGAGAAACGTATATATGTTGAACTTCTTTCGCACCGTACACAGTCGACAGTGCTAATCGGAGGTGCATGGGGGAAGGACAACAAACTAAACGCAAAAAGCGGAGATGGGCCGCGTGATGCCACGCTGCTTACAGGGCCCCGGGCGCCGTTCTGCTCTGTCGCCACCACCGCTGGTGACCTCTGCCCCATCTCCCACTGCGCCAGGCCTCAGCAGGGAGCAGAGGGAAGTGCGGCGGGACGATGCTGACCGAGGCGGCGCCGACAGGGACGGGGCGAGTGCCGGAGACGGCGGCACCGTCACCGCCGCCGCCGGCGTCAGCGCCGGGGAGGGGACTCGTCGCTCGTCCGCGGCGGAGCTGTGCGGCCCCGCGTCGACGACGGCCCCGGACGGGCCGGACGGACACTACGGCGCGTTCCTGCGGCACGTGCGCGACCTGGTGGACGGGCAGCTCGAGGCGCCCGAGTACGAGGAGCGGCTGCGCGAGGCCTACGGCGTCACGGCCTACGTGGCCTACAGCATGGACCGCCTCCTGCAGAACGCCTGCCGCCAGGTGGCCATGAGAGCGAGCGTAGGAACTATGAACTGTTAAACGATCAAGAATTTGTTTATCTTACCGGGTAAGGCCTGATGAGAGCTATTGGCTCTATTTCAGAAGTGACCTGGCCACAAATGATCGCTCAACGAAGTGGCATGTCACGTGGAAATTTATAGTAGCAGCTAAATACTCGTGGTGTTGATTATAAATGTGGAGGGAAAAACCAGAGGACCCGGAGAAAAATCCACGTGACCACAGGAAGAGAGACTCCAAGCATCAGTGTCGAGATCGAACCCACCACCGTGGCACAGCGATTGGCGGTGGCGCAGCGGCCAGCATACTGATCCACGAACCCGGATTTCCGAGTTCCGTTCCCGTTGACGACCAATAGCAGTTGCGGTCCGGGGCCTCCCTTAGGTCAACTCAGCCTTAAATGAGTACCTTGTGCGGTGTGTACACATCAACAGTAGGGAGACAAAGGCGGCCGAGCGTAGTGTTGGCCACTCACCTACCCCCCTCGTGTGCCATATAAAGTGCTCGCTAACAGCACTTGCCCCAATAAGTCTGTTCAAGGCCATACGGGGGGGGGGGGGGGGGCGGGATCTTTGTCTCGTGTAAGAGTGCGAGCGTGGACGTGAGTTTGTGAACGTTCGTATCGGCGAAGTGTGCGAGTGAAAGGATGAGGAGGGCGGCTGTGAGCGTTACGGGTCACGTGTTGCCACGCGCGTCACGTTCCGTGTCCCGTCGTGCCTCGCGTGGCCCTGTGTACCGTGTCGCGCTGCGGCGACCGCGCGGCCGAGACGTTCCGTCCTCCGGCGGTGGGTGCCGTCGCGTTCGTCTGCACGTACGTCGTCGAACTCCTTCCGCGCGTTGCGAATCGCGCCGTGCGCTACCGACGCCTGTTCCTCCCCCCCCCAGAGGTCGCAACCGGGTACTCGATACCCGTACCCTACCCGATACCCGGCTACCCGTACCCGGCCGGGTACAGGTACCCATTTGCGACCCTGGTGCGGCCGGGTACGGGTACGGGTAGGCCGTGAGTCACTGGTGAGTAACCGTTTGTCACTCATTTCCCAACGTCTTGTCTCTTCTCACAATTCAAGTTCCTAGAATCAACCCACCCGCGCCTGCAACATGGCTTCATCCCAGAGGTCGCAATCAGATACCCGATACCCGTACCCTACCCCCGTACCCGGCCGGGTACGGGTAGGGTACGGGTATGGCCGGGTACGGGTACCCGTTTGCGACCCTGGTGCGGCCGGGTACGGGTAAGGAATCAAAACCCGTTTGCGACCTCTACCCCCCCCCCACCCCACCACGGCAGCTTCAGCACATGGTGTGCGACGAGGCGTGCGCCGGCGTGCTGGCGCTCTACCTGGACGGGTGCCGGGGCGGCGCGAGCGGGGGGGTCCTTGCCTCCCAGGCCGTGCGGGCGCCGCTCGAGGCCTCGTACCAGCGGCAAGCACGGCGCCTCCTGCCCGACGAGCACTGCTACAAGGTCGGGGGTCGGGCGCGCTCGCGACTGGACGACGCGCGATGCGGCTGCGTGTGCGATGTTGCGTATGTTTGTGCGATGTCGTGTATATGTTCCCGGTGTGTGCAGTGTTGTGTATATGTGTGCGGTGTGCGTGATGTCGTGTGTATATATGGGGAGCGGTAGTTTAGCGGCTAGCGCGCTGCGCTACAAACCTGGCGACCCGGGTTCGATTCCCGCTCACGGTCAACATCAGTGACGATTATCTGAGCCGGTCCTGGGCCTCCCCTAGGTCGACTCAGCTTCAAATGAGGCGGCAGGGCATGGTGTTGGCCACCCACCCCCTCGTGTGCCGTGCCGGCCTTCATAGGTGCTCGCTAACAGCACTTGCCCCTACAGTCTGTAAAGGCTACACGGGGGATCTTTGATATTTGCCCGGTGTGTGCGATGTTTTGTATATGTCTGCGATCTGTGTGATGTTGTGTTTCTGTGCGTGGTGTGTACGATGTTGTGTATCTGTGCGTGATGTGGCGTGTGTGTACATGTTTGGTGTGTGATGTTTGTTTTTCTGTGTGTACGATGTCGTGTATCTGTGCGTGATGTGGCGTGTGTGTACATGTTTGGTGTGTGATGTTGTGTTTCTGTGTGCGGTGTGTACGATGTTGTGTATCTGTGCGTGATGTGGCATGTGTGTACATGTTTGGTGTGTGATGTGTTTCTGTGCGCGGTGTGTACGATGTTGTGTATCTGTGCGTGATGTGGCGTGTGTGTACATGTTTGGTGTGTGATGTGTTTCTGTGTGCGGTGTGTACGATGTTGTGTATTTGTGCGTGATGTGGCGTGTGTGTACATGTTTGGTGTGTGATGTTGTGTTTCTGTGTGCGGTGTGTACGATGTCGTGTATTTGTGCGTGATGTGGCGTGTGTGTACATGTTTGGTGTGTGATGTCTGCCGACCCCAGGTGATGTTCGTGAAGACCGACGGCTGTGTGCTCATGACCATGGAGCTGTTGGATGTGGAGGAGGATTCTCCAGTCGACCTGCAGGAAATACAGGTCGTCAAGCTCGCTCAACCTCCCCGTTCATTCCATCACTGTTTTGCAATATGTTTCTCTAATCTTATTGTTCAGTTTAGTTAAATATTTTATTCATAAATAAGTAATAAATTGTCAATTTTTTTTTATTTGTAGATTTTTTAAATTGCTGCATTGTATTTATATTTTGTGTGCGAGCTGTTGCAAATGTTGTGTTTTTAATTTTCTAGTTTTCCTGTTATGTTTATGAAACCCGATTCAAGAGCTTCTTAGCTCACAGGGAAATTCTAAATAAACTGTCAAATAAGTATAACCCGTAAAAACAAAGTTTTTCACTATAAATCCTTTATATGCGTGGCAGCGAACTTAATATAAAGGATTTAAAAATATATTCGCCTGTGGAGGACGCGGGGATCGATCCCGCGACCTTTGGCATGGGAAGCGAGGGCGCTCCCAACTGCGCTACTCCGCCACGGCCTGTGGAGGGGTTACGCTCTGGGCTCTTATACTGTGACGTTCAGCCAAAGCGATGAATGAGTTCTATTTGAATATATGTAAAATTATTTTTTTTTGCCTAAAAAGTGTAAAATTTTTGGAATTTTTTTTCACGAACATTAATTGTCTGGCACAACGAGTCTGTGTGGAAAATGTCAGCTCGATTGGATCACGGGAAGTGGGTTAAAAAACGACCGAAAGATTTGCACGGTCGTAAGCAAGCAAGCAAGCACGCAAGCAAGCACGCAAGCAAGCAAGCATGCGAACTTAATATAAAGGATTTAAAAAAAGGAAAAAAACTGTTAAAAGAACCTGTTATCACAAGCTCTGCTGATCACCCCCCACCCCCATTACCATCACATAGTTATCTCCGATAATGATCTTTGTTGATGGGGCGTCTGTCGGTGAGAGGGCGGCGAGTCCAACGCCTCTGTGTGACTTGCCGCCGCAGAAGTGGAGCGACTACGTGCAGCGCTACGCGGGGTCCGTGGAGACGTCCCCCGTCGTGGCGTCGCGAGCCCCCATCTTCCTCGGGAGGTCAGGGACCGCTCACACACCCAGTGCTCGCGCGCAGTGTGATACACAGTGTGTGTGTGTGCGCTACACAGTGTGTGTGTGCTACACAGTGTGTGTGTGTGTGTGCTACACAGTGTGTGTGTGTGCTACACAGTGTGTGTGTGTGTGTGCTACACAGTGTGTGTGTATTACACAGTGTGTGTGTGTGCTACACAGTGTGTGTGTGATACACAGTGTGTGTGTGTGCTACACAGTGTGTGTGTATTACACAGTGTGTGTGTGTGTGTGCTACACAGTGTGTGTGTATTACACAGTGTGTGTGTGTGCTACACAGTGTGTGTGTGATACACAGTGTGTGTGTGTGCTACACAGTGTGTGTGTATTACACAGTGTGTGTGTGTGCTACACAGTGTGTGTGTGTGCTACACAGTGTGTGTGTGTGTGTGCTACACAGTGTGTGTGTATTACACAGTGTGTGTGTGTGTGCGCTACACAGTGTGTGTGCGTTACACTGTGTGTGTGTGCTACACTGTGTGTGTGTGCTACAGTGTGTGTGTGTGCTACACAGTATGTGCTACGCAGTGTGTGCTACACAGTGTGTGTGTGCGCTACACAGTGTGTGTGTGCGCTACACAGTGTGTGTGTGCTACACAGTGTGTGTGTGATACACTGTGTGTGTGTGCTACACAGTGTGTGTGTGATACACTGTGTGTGTGTGCTGAGGGAGGGTGGCGTTTGTGCACAGACTGCCCTATATGACATCATAACAACAGTCTGGACCACTGGACGGGTTCCGCAGGACTGGAAGGATGCCCTGGTGGTTCCTCTCTTTAAGAAGGGGGACCGTACCGACTGTAACAACTACAGGGGCATCTCACTCCTCAGTGTGCCGGGTAAGGTCCTGGCAAGGATTATTCAACATCGCCTTGCTAGGCACGCTGAGGAGAGGCTTGCGGAGCCCCAATGCGGTTTCAGGAAAGGGCGGTCCTGCACAGATGCCATATTTTCTGTCCGTCTGCTACAGCAGAGGTGTAGGGAATTCCAAAAAGACCTACATCTCTGCTTTATTGACCTGGTCAAGGCCTATGATACCATCAGTAGGACTGGGCTCTGGGTTGTTCTTCATGCTTTCGGAGTCCCTGACCCTCTGCTCACGATCATTAAGGACCTTCATGATGGTGAGCGGGCCCGGGTAAAACTACGTGGCCGGGAGTCGGAGCCTTTCCCTGTACACCTTGGGGTGCGACAGGGATGTCCTCTGGCTCCCACATTATTTAACATCTATTTTGACCGCGTAGTTCGTGAAGCCTTCAATAGCTGTACCGGAGGAATTTCCATTTGGTACAGATATAATGGGAGGCTGATCGACGCCCGGGTGCGATCAAGGGATGGCTCCCTATTGGTCAACCACGTTATGTATGCCGATGATTTGGTAATAGCTGCTCACTCAGAGGAGGAGTTGGAGACGCTGCTGCTGAGACTGGAGCGTGCCACTAAGAGGTGGGGCCTTACCATCAGCCCCACCAAAACTAAGCACCTGCCTGGGTATTTTGTACCATCGGACACTCCACCCCCACAACTCCCAATTGGTGATGGGGCAGTTGTGGAGAGAGTGGAGAGTTTCCCATACCTGGGCAGTGTGCTTATGACCGGCTCCAGTCTATCAGCAGAGGTCTCACTCCGAATCAGTCGAGCGGCAATATCTTTTCATCGGTTGCGTAACGCTGTGTGGAAGCTACCTGGTCTGTCGCTCCGCACGAAGCTTCAGGTCTTCTCGGCCACGGTCATTCCCTCCCTTCTCTACGCTTGCGAGACGTGGACCCCCCTGGTGGAGCATCTTCGCCGGTTGGAAACATTTAGGCTGGCCTGCCTACGATCCATCCTGGGTTTAACCAGGCTGGATTGTGTGAGGAGCTCACAAATCCTTGAAAGATCTGGGCAAAGTCCCATCAGTGAGCTCCTCCGGCAGGCAAGGCTGCGTTGGCTGGGTCATGTAGCCCGCATGCCCAGCCACCGCATGCCTAAACAGCTTTTGTTCGGCCGGATCGAGGGGGCTAGACGGGCGCGGCACGGGCTGGAGAAGAGATGGAGTGATGTGGTACAGGAGGACGTGGAGCTGAGTGGACTTGCCGATGACTGGTACCAGCGGTGTCAAGATCGGCCTCAGTGGAGGAGGCTCGTGAAGGACGCTACTGGGCAGTTGGAGGCAGTCGCCCTCCAACAACAACGGAGGGCGGAGGAGCGACGCTCACAACAACGAGCGGAGCGCCGGGTGGCTAAAGCACAGCAAGTTGGCACAGTAGGGGGCACAGGTGGTGCATCAGCCAGTCATCTCGGTCATCTCGGTCAGTCGACCCGTGGCACCTGGGTCTGCCCCGTGACCTCCTGCCAGCGGGCTTTCGACACTTCACGTGGCCTCAAGGTGCACTTGGCCTGGCACAAGCATCGTGGTGACGTCACCGCCACTTAGTGGCGAATGGCGGTTGTTGTTGTTGTTGTTGTGTGTACTACACAGTGTGTGTGTGTGTGCTACACTGTGTGTGTGTGCTACACTGTGTGTGTGTGCTACACAGTGTGTGTGTGTGCTTCACAGTGTGTGTGTGCTACACTGTGTGTGTGTGCTACACAGTGTGTGTGTGGAGTGGTATAGCGGTTAGCGCGCTGCACTACGAACGCAAGTGACACGAGTTTGATTCCAGTTTACAGGCCAACAACGGTGACGATTATCTGAAACGGTCCTGGGCCTCCCCTAGGTCGACTCAGCCTCAAATGAGTACTTGGTGTGGTGTGTAAACATCGCCACTGGTGAGACAAAGGCGGCCGGGCACGGTACTGGCCACCCACCCCCTCGTATGGCAGTCTGGCCTTCATAGGTGCTCCCACTTGCCCCAGCAGTCTGTTGAAGCTACGCAGGGGAGGGGGGGGGGGCCTTTGTCTTTGTTTGTGTACGTGCCGGTGTCCCTCACCGCTGCGGCCGTGCACCACCAGGAACCTGTGGGCTGGCGGGTCGCGCACCCGCACCCCGCCCGGCGGGAGCCGCGTGGTTTTCTCGGAGGGGCTGCGCTGCAGCTTCCGCCCGCGCTCGTTCCGCATGCTCTACGTGATACACTCGGAGGACGTGCTGTACCGGCGCGGTGCGCTGCGCGCCGCCAGGCAGGTGGGTCGTCGCCCCACGGCACTGCGACTTATCCCCACCCCCCTCCCCACGATACGAGGTCCACATTACGGTTTTTATGAATGCGCCCGATCTCAGAAAGCTAAGCAGGCTAGAGCCTGATTAGTTCTTGGAGGGGCAGCAGTTGTCGTCGGAGGCTGCGGGGGCTGCCCCACGTGGCGGTCAGCAGGTGGCACTCCAACGTCTATGCTCCGACGTCTTCTCCGACCTGCACTGACCACCAGCGTGGCGATGTACGGTTAACCAACCCCCACGATCCGTGTGCACCGCATTGTGCAAGACACACAACGTCGTGGAACGCGCGCTGCGTTAAAGCACGCGGCGTGCAATGCGGTAGAACACGCACAATGCATGGGGGAGGGCCCCATTCAGCAGTCGCTTATCTAAAGGGCTGTATCGATTTAAAGCTTTCGTGACTGCAGGGATTCATCTTCTTGGTTATTTCGGTAAAGTCATGTAGAATGGAAATAATAAAATAATAAAAATGAAACATAATAAAATAATTCTCACGACGTTTCGGCTACAACGCAAGTAGCTCCTGAGGACGGCTACTTGCGTTGTAGCCGAAACGTCGTGAGAATAATTGTATTATGTTTTATTTTTATTATTTTATTATTTCCATTCTACGTGACTTTACCGAAAGAACCAAGAAGATAAAGGGCTGTACTTGTCCGTATGGTAGTGTGCGTGCGTGTGGCGCGTGGCGAACTGGCGATGTCGCGACGGGCGGCTGAACGCGCCTACGTGTCTCCGTTTTGCATTGCAGACGCTGACGGCCTGCTCGGAGAGGCGGCGCAGAGCGTTCAGGAGGTTCGTGCGGACCTGGCGGGAGAGGAGGGCGAGCCGGGCCGAGGCGGAGGGCGGTCGCGTCGCGTAGCCTCCCGCGTTCCCGTGACCCTCGCCACGTTCCATTCAACTCCCGCCGACGCCACCCACGCCCCGGGTGCCTTCAGTGGGCACACACACCATGCGCCCCGCTAATATTACCCACAATATTCAAACCACCCACGCAGCACATAAGGTCACGCCACCTGCACTACCATCATGCACACCACACCGGCACCACGGGTGGAGTGTGTGGTCACCGCATCGCGTGCGGTCAGATGCGCTTTTGCGGTCGTCTGGAACGCTCGTCCTTCTGATATTAGGAAGCCATTGGGAGCTGCGCACTTTTGCATCCAGATTGAAATCTCATTTATTTAGAACTGCTTTTTGTAGTTTGTCCTTCCCCCGCACCTCCGATTAGCACGGTTGTCTATGTATGGTGCGAAAGAAATTCAACATGTGTACATACATACCACCATCTAAAATAGAGGTGTTTTTTTGGGGTTAGATCGCGTAAATATATTAAAGGGTTGTCACATAACAACCCTTACTGACAACCCTTACTAGTTGGCTGTGTCGGGTGGTGGCAGGTTTTAACGACACATTTATATATTTACGCGATCTCACCCCCCAAAAAAACCTCCCTCTATCATGGATGATATTGGTCGCGAAAGCCTACGTGTTCAACATACCACCCTCTCTTATGCCTTTCCACGCTACCCACGTCTCCTATACCAACCCGACATCACCTACATCTCTAATCGCCCGTCCCGCCGACACCTCCCGCTTCTCTCCCGCGTGCCTTGGATGGTGGCTCCATCCCGCTGAAGGTGCCCCACCCCGTGCCGCGCGAGTTCTGAGCGAGTGTGGGCAATGTTTGTACCTTCACCCGGAGCCGCCGCTCCTACGCAGAGACGCCAGCTGCACCCACGTCCATTTAATTCGCTCGTTGAGAGCTCAATACCTGCACTGTGTAAATATATATGAACGTGTACAACTGTTGTGTTGTTTTATAATTGTTAACCCGTGTTGTCTCGGTGTTTCTAAACTAATTAAAACAACTTGCCAACGGCACGGCTGTGCACTGTCTTTATTTTCCCCATGGCTGAAGTGTTGCGAGTCGGGCGAGGGTGGGAAACGACAGTTCCTGTCTCTCGTGTGGCCCAGCTGTGGTAAGAGGCAGAGGTCGCAACCGGGTACCCGATACCCGTACCCTACCCGATACCCGGCTACCCGTACCCGGCCGGGTACGGGTAGCCGTTTGCGACCCTGGTGCGGCCGGGTACGGGTACGGGTAGGCCGTGAGTCACTGGTGAGTAACCATTTGTCACTCATTTCGGGTAGGGTACGGGTACGGGTAGGGAACGGGTACCCCTACCCGGCCGGGAACGGGTACCCGTACCCGGCCAGGTACGGGTACCCATTTGCGACCCTGGTGCGGCCGGGTACGGATACGGGTAAGGAATCAAAACCCGTTTGCGACCTCTGGTAAGAGGTCAGCTGGCGCCAGACCATTGACGTGGCCGTCGAGTGGCCAGGCGGTGCATCTGCATCAGGGCCCACGGGCCGCATAGACGCAGGTTCCCGGCTGTGAAGGGCGGAGATATAAGACGTACGTACGTTGAACTTCTTTGGCGCCGTACGTAGCCAACCGTGCTAATCGTAGGTACGGCGGAAGGACATCCACTGCACTGGGGCTCATGCCAGTCGCGCTATGCCACCAGGCCCGGACACCTCAAATTTTTAAATCCTTTATATTAATCTTCTTGTTTCTTTCGGTAAAGTCACGTAGAAGGGAAGTAATAAAATAATAAAAATAAAACATAATTTATTATTTTATTACTTCCCTTCTACGTGACTTTACCGAAAGAAACAAGAAGATGAATCCCTGCAGTCACGAAAGCTTTAAACCTTTATATTAAGTTCGCTTGCTTGCTTGCTTACGACCGTGCAAATCTTTCGGTCGTTTTTTAACCCACTTCCCGTGATCCAATCGAGCTGACATTTTTCACACAGACTCGTTGTGCCAGACAATTAATGTTCGTGAAAAAAAATTCCCAAAATTTTACACTTTTTAGGCAAAAATTTTTAATTTTACATATATTCAAATAGAACTCATTCATCGCTTTGGCTGAACGTCACAGTATAAGAGCCCAGAGCGTAACCCCTCCACAGGCCGTGGCGGAGTAGTGCAGTTGGTAGCGCCCTCGCTTCCCATGCCAAAGGTCGCGGGATCGATCCCCGCGTCCTCCACAGGCGAATATATTTTTAAATCCTTTATATTAAGTTCGCTGCCACGCATATAAATGATTTATAGTGAAAAACTTTGTTTTTACGGGTTATACTTATTGGGGGTGAGGCCACAGCCAAGAGAGGCCGCGGGAACTCTGAACACCGGGCACGAATGTTGGCCACAAACTGAGAAGTCCGTGTGTGTGTGCCCCCAATGGGGAGGAAGGGCCAACCAACCACGGAGCCCTTAATGCTCACCAGCTCGGCAACTCATCGCTGCCACTTAGCCTCAGCGTTACCCAACTAGCCAGATCTCATCACCAGATCTTCCACTTACCCTGACCCAAGCTTACTAACCAATCGGTCACTGTTACTAGCCCCCTCACTGACTAATTCTAACCAACACGGGTTGGCTATGTATGGTGCGATAGAAGTTCAACATGCATACATGCCAAACGGTCACTAATAGTAGCCTTGTACGCCTAAATAAGCAGCTCACTGTGTCCCACTCTATGGGAAAGCCTCGCTCGACAAGACGATCGGAAGGAGCCTGCATTGGGAACAACTAAACATTTAATGAATGAGTGACGTGGGAGGAAACCAGATTAGACCGAATGGAGATAACCCATGCACACGAGGGAGATATCACACAAAGCTCCGCACAGATCGATTCAAGAATCCATTGCTGTATTCATACCTCCCGGCCACCTCCACCCCAGAGGCAGTCTGCCCGAAACCTCCGATTGGCACAGTTGGCTACGTACAGTGCGAAAGAAGTTCAACATACATAACAATCGCGTATTCACCAGGCTCAACTTCTGCTTTGCTGCTGAGAATGCAACAACAAGATCGGGACGCGTGTCTTTGGCGACGTGGGTGTAGGCAGCAGCCTTTGCTCTCTGGACGTACTGCACTCGCCAGAGCAATGTGGAGTTCGGACTGTCCCGGGGGCTCTGCAGCATCAGCTGCAGCCTGGCCTTGACTGATCCTGACCATGGTTGTTGGGCAGATTTCCCTCTCAGGAGACCCCCAAGCTCCTCCTCAACTTCCAAATCCGGCGCAACCACATTCCAATCGGCACCGCGTGCACTCACCTGGTCACGGGGACGCTCTGGACACACCTGTACACTCACATGTACACACACAGGTGCACTTACCTGTACACTCACCTGTACACTCACTTGTGCACTCACCTGTACACTCACCTGTACACTCACATGTACACTGACCTGTGCACTCACTTGTACACTCACTTGTGCACTCGCATGTACACTGACCTGTGCACACACAGGTGCACTTACCTGTACGCTCACCAAGAACTCGTATGTATAGAGGCACTCGCCTGTGCACGTGTACGGGGTCACCTGTACTTCACGGGCGTGCGAGCACACAGACACCTGAACCCGGACTACGAGCGTGATGGCGGCACCGTCATTGGAGGAAACTTACAGGTAAGTCCAACAGAGACAAAGACCGCAGGCTGTTGGGGCAAGTGCTGTCAGCCAGCACCCATGGAGGCTGATGGACGAGGGGGTGGGTGGCCAGGACTACGTCTTGCCAGTGCTACCGCACTAAGTTTAAGGCTGAGTCGACCTACGGGAGGGCCAGGACCGAGCGGGAATTGGACTAGGAATGCCGGTCTCGTACCGCTGCACCACCGCTCCCCACACGGACATAAAGATAAAGATCCCCCGGATAGACTTAACTGGATCTTGGGGAAAGTGTTGTTAGCGAGCACCTATGTAAGCCGGCACGGCAACACAAGGCGGTGTGCGGCCAACACCTTTTGTCTCCCTCGTGGCGATGTTTACACACCGGACCAGGTACTCATTTGAGGCTGAGTCGACACACGCACACAGGTACACGCGTGCATGCACCATAGACCGAAGATATCATTAACCCCGAGCGGATTTCAGAGATTCGCCACAATAGCAACACGTATGCGATATTGGGACTGATTTTTTTTGTACGTGCCTATTATATCCATAATAATACTTTTGTAGAGGGGAGAAATGCGCGGTGCGTACAGTGAAGTGGTGCAACTGGGGTCGAACAGAGAAGTGCGTGTTTCAGCACGAGGTTTTCACAGACAACCCGCCAATAATTAAGGGGAGAAGCGGTGTGTAGCCGAGGTCGAACAGGTGCTGCGCTGTGACCGGTGGTTGACGCCTAGGAGACGGGAGACGGGGGGTGATGATAAGAGATTAATGGGACAATTAGATGCTCGGGATGAGCCGGGTGATATAAGCGGGAGTGGGTGGGAGGGTCGGGAGTTGTTGCCGGTGACGAAGAGTGAAGACATCTCGCCGCTGCCGCTCCAGCCGTCAACGGGACCTCAACCCTCACGCCGTCGCCGGGCGGGTGTTGGCTGATCCCCCCGCCCGGGGCAGACGGGTGAGCGGGTCTGAGGAAGCGTAGGTGAGGGCAGCGGTGCAGATGCGAAGACGCTGTGTGCAGAGTTGCTGAGTGCGAAGTTGCTGTGTGCGGAGTCGCTGAGTGCGGAGTCGCTGAGTGCGGAGTCGCTGAGTGCGAAGTTGCTGTGTGCGGAGTCGCTGAGTGCGAAGTTGCTGTGTGCGGAGTCGCTGAGTGCGGAGTCGCTGAGAGCAGAGCTGCTGAGTGCGGAGTCGCTGAGTGCGAAGTTGCTGTGTGCGGAGTCGCTGAGTGCGGAGTCGCTGAGTGCGAAGTTGCTGTGTGTGGAGTCGCTGAGTGCGGAGTCGCTGAGAGCGGAGCTGCTGAGTGCGGAGTCGCTGAGTGCAGGATAAGTGAGGTGCAGAATAGATAGGAGCGGGGAGAAGTTGAGTGTACGTGACCATACAGATAGTTTTAGGTGCGCCTAAAACTGGTGCAAGAATAGGTGAATAAAGTGTAAGCAGGTGACTTGGTACAGCGTGTCGGTGTGAGTAATTTTTGAAGACACTACATTTGGTGCCAGAAGTGCCAACGAACCTTCGCCGTCATGTCCAAATCGGCGATGAAACGGAAGAACCCACCTGTGACGACGACGACGAGCGAGACCTCGTCCCTCCAACAGCTGTGGTAGCCGGAGCTCCGAGCGCCCGCTCCGACAACGTGCTGCGGTCGGCTCCAGAATATGTGGCGGGTCCAACCCAGCCGCCTCCTAACATGTTTCCCTTTTGCATATTCATTGATGTCTAAAATAAACCTTCTAAGAAAATATGATAATTAAATGGGGGTCCCAAGACATCTGGACCACCCCCGTACATTAATTTTGTCCTGTCATTGCTGATGGCCTTCCCCACACCCATGTCAGTCATGGAGGTATTTATCTATCATACTGAGATCCACATTGTCACCAGGGTCATGTGGTCAGTGTCTGTGTTGGAGTGAAGTGTCCACGCAGTTGCTTGGATAAAGCAAGAAAGCGTCCACCCACCTACTTACCCATCCACCCACCCACTCACCCATCCACCCACTCATTCACCCACTCACCCACCCACTGACCCACACACGCATCCACCCACTCACCCACCCATCCACCCACCCACTCACCCACACACGCATCCACCCATTCACCCACCCACCCATCCACCCACACGCATCCACCCACCCATCCACCCACCCACTCACCCACCCATCCACCCACTCACCCACCCACCCCACCCACCCCCAGATTTGAGCGTTCCCCGTCGGGCCGCCAGAAGTGGCGGCGTCTCTACGGGGGCCTCTTGGGCGAGAAGCTGCTGGAGCCGCGAGGCCCCGCGGCCGCCCGCAGGGACGACGGATCGCCCGACGGCGGCGAGGACGCCGACGACGGCGGCTGTGAAGATGCGGCGGACGCCGAGGAAGAGGTGCTGCCCTCGCCGCGTCGGCCCGACCGGCGCGGCGCCGCCGCGCGCCGGGACTGGTGGCGACTACCCCCGCTGCGACCGGTCGTGGGAGCGGACGCGGACGGGCAGAGTTCGGGGGACGCCAGGCCCGAGGCGGTGGGCGACGGCTGTGGTGGTGGCGACGCGCCCCAGGTTCGGTTGTTCAGTTTCATTTGGGAGTACGCCGTGAGCCAAGGAGCTCTTCTTGAGTCGGTGTTCCACCGACAGCAACCAACACCGCCGCTTCTGCGGCAAACGGAACAAGTCGCAGTAAAATAAATGAATAATAAGCAATGACAGATAAGAGAAAAAAAAAAATTGGCAGCAAATCATAATCGAAATGTAAAACTTTTTTTTTAAAGAAAATGTCAGTTAAATATAGATTCTAATTTTAACACGTAGTAGGCTTTCGCGACCAATATCATCCATAATCGAGTTTTTGTGGGTTAGATTGCGTAAATATATAAATGTGTCGTTAAAACCCCCCACCACCCGACACAGCCAACTAGTAAGGTTTGTCACGTAAACAGAACGTGCCAATTCGTCACTAGTACAGCAACACCGGTGTGTTGGAGAGCCAAGCCACAACATCTACAATCTGAGTACGACGTTTCGCCAGTAATTACAACCAGCTTCATCAGACGACAGCCAGATTTGTGGAGAAATCATCCTCCTGTTTCGTTCCTAAAATAGAGGCGTATTTGTGATGACGTCACTTGTGAGTACCTCTTGAGCGATGTGGGGGGGGGGGGGGGTTAATGAATGAATATAAATGGCAACTGATATCCATTGCCGTTTTGGTTATTTAAATGGTAATGAATGCCAGCCCATTGTTCTTGTATCTCATGTCCATTGTGTCTACTAAGATAGCCGGAGCTAATCTTGATTTGAAGCTTTCGTGACTGCAGGAATCCATACTCTTTGGTTCTTTCGGTAAAGTCACGTAGGTATTTTATACCTATTGTTCAACGGCAATCCTATTGACGTATGCTGACCGGTATAGGCATGCATTTATACAATGTATTATTTCATCATAGTATTCGCTTCCAAGCAGCACTAAGCCTGTAGCTATCCATTATAGATGATCATCAAATACCACGCCGTATCTCAAAACAATAAAACCCTACTGATTTGAACGTGCCGTAGTGAATGCTAACGCAGACACGGCGTCAAACACGATGGGCGACCCGGTATCGTGCGGTGTCGTGCGGTGTGGTGCAAAAATCTCCGTGTCTTGCAATCGGCATTGTGTCCGTCTCCTTTCAGGCGGGGACGAAGGGCGAGCGCGCACACATCATGGCCAGCAGGTGCGAGCATCTCGCACGGGATCACTCATTTGGGCTCGCACCCCCCCACCCCCAAACCGGGACACTCCATCTAAAGAGGGAAAAGAAGATGATTATTGTTGTTATTGTTATCTCGCAACGAGCCGACGAGGGGACGACTCCGCATGCACGTGCACTGTGACCTTTGAGCCGTGCATTATTCACGCGACTGACCACAAACTAGCTGAGAGGCGGGTTAGACTTTGCAGACCTTCTCACAAGGCGGGCAGCCGCACTCTACAAAGGTCAAAGATCACAGAGCACGGACGATCCGGGGGTGGTGGGCGGGGGGGCACACGGGGGCAGGCGGCGGTGACCTCTTGCAGGGGTCACGTTTAGACAGTCCCAGCAGAAGCTCGTTGTGGTCGCCTCCCTTGCTTGATACGTTCACGATTGATTTGCTTATTCATTCTTTAGTGGAGAGGAGCGAGAGAGGTTCTTCAGCGCCCAAGACGTGACCGTCGTTCCTCGGGTCTTCCCCGTGAAGCAGCGACTGTGCTCAGACATATCCAGACATTCAGGCATATCCAGACATTCAGGCATATTCAGACATTCAGGCATATCCAGACATTCAGGCACATCCAGACATTCAGGCACATCCAGACATTGAGGCACATCCAGACATTCAGACATATCCAGACATTCAGGCATATCCAGACATTCAGGCACGTCCAGACATTCAGGCAAATCCAGACATTCAGGTATATCCAGACATTCAGACACGTCCAGACATTCAGGCATGTCCAGACATTCAGACACGTCCAGACATTCAGGCATATGAAGATGAGATCCAGGCATATCCATACACCCAGGCACGTCCAGACGTTCAGACCAATGGCAGCGCTGGACGATGTTGCGGAGGGAAGGAAGGCGTGGGGTGCGAAGCGGTGGGAGCTGGGGGTGACTGCCGCAGACGTTGAGTTGGAAGAAGATCGGCGGTGTCCTGCGTGGAGGAGCTGTAGCCAACGGGGGGGGGGGGGGGGGGTGATAGGAGGCGAGGAGGTGGTGACGAGGCCGAGGCCCTAACGGCGCCAGCCGGAATCCCTGCCACAGATTTATTTTGGCGACCTTTTAAAAAAAAATCTCACTCGGCCCCCCCCCCTCTCTCTCCCTCCCTCGGCTACAGCGTCACCGCGCCGAGTGACAGCGCGTTTAACTCTTTAAAACGTTATATTTACGTAGATATGTTGGGGATAAAACGTATATCTTGTTTAATACTAAGATTACCGAATATCAATTGGCTCCTATCAACCTGTCCATGTTAGCGTGCTGTGACTGATGCATTTGTTTTGCCTCCCCACTCCAAAGTGAGCCAAGTCGGCTGATGATGGCTCCGACAATCGCCCCCCGCTCTTGCCGCCTGCGTGCGCTGCCGATGAATTGGATGTCAGGCGCGTCGCTAATCCCGCGTGGCGCTCTTGCCCTGCGTGCGCTCAGCGCCACCGATCGCCTCTTCGACGGATTCGCCGTGGACGGGAGGGTGCACGTGGCCGAGTTCGTCAAGGTCCGTCGACGGCGAAAACTCCACGGCGCATTTTTGTTGCGCTGCCATCGGTTGGTCACAACTTGCCAACCGGTCCGAACCTCACCGCATCGAGAGAGACGAAGGACTGCCCCGGGCCAACATTTCAAAAAGTGCCTTCACGGAGACCACCGGCGCGGAGACATTGCTTCCACAAAGAAGCGACAGATTTGTTGGAACGGGGGGGGGGGGGGGGCTGAGACGATGTTGGGGGGGAGTTTTCTTAAGTGGCCGAGGCACGCGAGGCGGGCCCCACCTCTATTTGTGCGCGCGCCGTGCGTTGCCGATTGCCATGCGGCGGAGATTCATCTGCCGTGGGGGGCGACGTGGTGAAGGGTGAAGGTCGGGAGGTGTCACGTGATTCGTTTCGTGACAGCTCCCTCCCCGTTCTCCAACACGGAGTCACGCACGCTGCTTTGGGAGCATTTCCGAATGGGTTTGCTCCGGGTTCTATTTTTTTAAATCTATTTTATTTCTATATCTATTTTTTTAAACTCCACTCATACATACTCTTTGGTTCTTTCGGTAAAGTCACGTAGAAGAAGAAAAATAATAATAGATCACGACGTTTCGATCGCCACACTAGCGATCGTCCTCAGGTGTGGCGAACGAAACGTCGTGATCTTTAATTTCTTCTTCTACGTGACTTTACCGAAATAACCAATGAGTATGGATTACTGCAGTCACGAAAGCTTCAAATCAAGATTCCACTCATACAATGTAACCGCTAATGGTCAAAGCAACGCAATGCTGAGTGAGATAACACATTCCTGCGGAGGGAGCTGGTAGGAACGTTGGGTTACTCGGTCAATGGCCAGAGTCAACGGCGGCGTAGTGTATTCCGCAAATATGGCCGACTGTGAGGGTGGGCACAAGCCGGCGTGAGTAGGTTAAACGTTGCGTTTTATAAGGGCACCACGGGGTGACCAGCCCCTCCCCACTCCTCCCACCCCCACCCAGCCCCTCCCCACCCTCCCCTCTCCACCTAGCCCCACCCTTCCCATTTTTTGATGCACGACGGACGGACACAATAATCCCTTGTGGGCTGATGTAATCAGGAGGTTCCTACCAGTTATATCTTCAAATTATTCCAAGGCAGATTAGAACATCGCTCCGCACCCCCCACCCCCCTACAGAAAAAGAACTTGCCACGACTCAGCGAGGCTCGTCTGAGTTCATGAGCGTTCCAATAATCATACTAAATATAATGTGTGCAGGCCGTGTGTGACGCGGGCTTGCTCAAGTCCGACCCACGCTTGAGGCCGGGGCTGGAGGCGCTGGCACGTGACACAGACCCGGCGGGCACCGTGACTCGGGAGCACTTCTCAAGGTCAGTGTCGTCATCATCGTCATCATCATCACAACAAGCACAGACAACATCATCGTCGTCATCATCATCAAACAAACCATAGATATCATCAAAACAACCACAGACATCACCGTCGTCATCATCGTCATCATCATCAAAACAAGCACAGACAACATCATCGTCGTCATCATCATCAAAACAAGCACAGACAACATCATCGTCGTCATCATCATCAAACAAACCATAGATATCATCAAAACAACCACAGACATCACCGTCGTCATCATCGTCATCATCATCAAAACAAGCACAGACAACATCATCGTCATCATCATCAAACAAACCATAGATATCATCAAAACAACCACAGACATCGTCATCATCGTCATCATCATCATCAAAACAACCAGAGATATCATCAAAACAAGCACAGACTTAATTTTCATCAACGGTGTGGCACTTGTGTGGTTTGTAACAGGTGTGTGTGTGTGTGTGACATGTGCGTGGCATGTGACAGGGATCTGTGTGTGTGACATGTGACATGTGTGTGTGACATGTGCTTGGCATGTGACAGGTGTGTGTGATGTGACAGGGATGTGTGTGTGTGACATGTGACATGTGTGTGTGTGACATGTGCGTGGCATGTGGCAGGTGTGTGGGCTTGCAGGCTCGGCTGCTGCTCCGGGCCCTGCAGGGCTGTCTGGCCATCCCGAGATTCCGATCCTTCGCATCGACGCTCGAACGCATCTTCCTGCAGTGCCGACGCGAGACCCACGAGCAGAGCGACCAGGTACGCTGACACCCCCCGGCACACACAGCGAGGGAGATCTCCGGTACACACAACGAGGAAGACCCCCGTGTCGCCTTGACAGGCTGTTGTTAGCGAGCACCTACGAAAGCCGACACGGCGCAGGGATCAGAGCGGTGCGGGCATCATGTACTCATTTAAGGCTGAGTCAACCTAGGAGAGGCCCAAGACCGCTTCGGATATTCGTCACCGATGTTGGGCCACGAGCGGGAATCGAACTCTGGTTGCCAGATTGTGCAACGCAGTCCGCTAACCGCAGCACAAGCGCTACCCTAGGACCGTGCACACGCATTAGGCGTGGGTACGCACGCACACGGTGGCATTGACACGAGTCGCTCAACCCCTGTGGGTGTTGTTGCAGGGCGCGGCCGAGGCGGTGACAGGCTGGGGTCTGGCCGTCTGCACCGTGGACGGACAGAGGTGAGCGGGCACGTGTTCGTCTCGTTCAGGAGCATAAATCACCGTCACGCGAACTCCGGTGCAGCAGCAGCGGCAGCGGCTTTCGGCTGCCCCATCGGACACAGACGGTGGTCAACGCATCGCGTGGCGCTTTCAGATGCACTTATGCGGCCGTCTGGAACGCTCTTCTTTCCGATATTAGGAAGCCCTTGGGGCTGTGCGCTTTAAAATTTAGATTGAAAACTAATTTCTTTAGAACTGCTTCTTGTGTTTAGTTTGTTGTCCTTCCCCCGCACCTCCGATGAACACGGTTGGCTATGCACGGTGCGAAAGAAGTTCAACGTACATACAACATGTACATATGATCCAGCGCGCGGGAGGCGAGGGTTGGTGGACCACACACACGCACACATTCGTGAAGCTCGCTCGCCTTCGCCAACGCCCGTCGAACCGGTGTGGCGAAGTATGATCAAGTGACCCCCACGACCAGCACTGCGTGTCGAGGCCGTGATTCAAACCCGAACGGCGACAATGTTCTTCGGTCGCGTGGAGCTGATTTGAGACGAGGCTAAGACGATAACCGCGATGCTGCCCGCGGTGGGTCGGTGGGTGGGTAGGGTGGGTGGTTAGGGTGGGTGGTTAGAGTGGGGTGGGGTGGGTAGGGTGGGCGGTTAGGGTGGGTGGTTAGAGTGGGGTGGGTAGGGTGGGCGGTTAGGGTGGGTAGGTGGTTAGGGTGGGTAGGGTAGGTAGGGTGGGTGGTTTGGGTGGGTAGGTGGTTAAGGTGGGTGGGGTGGGGTGGTTAGGGTGGGTGGGTGGGGTGGGTAGGGTGGGTAGGGTGGGGTGGGTGGGTGGTTAGGGTGGTTTGGTAGTTAGGGTGGTTAGGGTGGGTGGGTGGCTGAGTGGTTAGGGTGGATGGTTAGGATGGGGTGGTTAGGGTGGGTTTTTGGATTTGGAGAGTTTGGCAACAGAAGCTGAATGGTTCAGTGAGTTCGAGGCGCGTGTGGGGGGACACTTCGCACGCGTCTCTGCTTCTGCCGAGCAAACGGAATCGTGACGGTGCCTCACCCGAGCCCTCTTCTCTTCCCTCTCTGACGCCGCAACTTCTGCTGCCTCTGCCGCACCGCTGCTGTTCCTGCTGTCTCTGCCGCTCCGCTGCTGTTCCTGCTGCCTCTGCCGCACCGCTGCTGTTCCTGCTGCCTCTGCCGCACCGCTGCTGTTCCTGCTGCCTCTGCCGCACCGCTGCTGTTCCTGCTGCCTCTGCCGCACCGCTGCTGTTCCTGCTGCCTCTGCCGCACCGCTGCTGTTCCTGCTGCCTCTGCCGCACCGCTGCTGTTCCTGCTGTCTCTGCCGCTCCGCTGCTGTTCCTGCTGCCTCTGCCGCACCGCTGCTGTTCCTGCTGCCTCTGCCGCACGGCTGCTGTTCCTGCTGTCTCTGCCGCTCCGCTACTGTTCCTGCTGCCTCTGCCGCACCGCTGCTGTTCCTGCTGCCTCTGCCGCACCGCTGCTGTTCCTGCTGCCTCTGCCGCTCCGCTGCTGTTCCTGCTGCCTCTGCCGCACCGCTGCTGTTCCTGCTGTCTCTGCCGCTCCGCTGCTGTTCCTGCTGCCTCTGCCGCACCGCTGCTGTTCCTGCTGCCTCTGCCGCTCCGCTGCTGTTCCTGCTGCCTCTGCCGCACCGCTGCTGTTCCTGCTGTCTCTGCCGCTCCGCTGCTGTTCCTGCTGCCTCTGCCGCACCGCTGCTGTTCCTGCTGTCACCGAAGGCTTTCGCTGGGCACGAGCACCCTGCCGTTCCGGCTGGGCCACGTCTCGCGCCTGCTGAGCCACGCGCTCGCGAGCCACGCGCTGGGAGCCGCCCGGCTGCACGCCCGGCTCGAGGCGGCCGGACACGCGGGAGCCGGCGGGGACCCCGAGTCCGAGGCACGCGGTACGACCCCCACCGGCCCCCCCACCGCCCCCCCACTGCATCCTTCGCTCGCCCCCCCATCGTGCACGCCGCGAAGTCGGACTCCGCCCGTTACCGTCGGCGTGAGGATAGCGCGTTGCCCCCCACACAGTGCCGGATGATGATCGTAGTAGCGTCGGTAGCTGCACGTGTAGTAGCTACAACACGTGTAGTAGCTACAACACGTGTAGTAGCTACAACACGTGTAGTAGGTGCACGTGTAGTAGCTACAACACGTGTAGTAGCTACAACACGTGTAGTAGCTACAACACGTGTAGTAGCTACAACACGTGTAGTAGCTGCACGTGTAGCAGCTGCACGTGTAGCAGCTGCACGTGTAGCAGCTACACGTGTAGCTGCGGGCCCCGCACTTTCAAGGGCCCCGCGCTAAATGCTTTCAAGCTCTCAATTCCGGTTCGGTGATTCTGCACTTGCTCTATTACTATAGTACTATACCGCCTTTAACTTTTACGAACCACCGGGTGTTTAAGGTTAGCGATTTGTCGTATTATCTGGCTGTATAGCGAATGAAAAAATACAATTACATTACTATGAAAGTTACAAATTTGTGTTTTAATATTTTTGTGGCGGGGTTTTTTTATCGGGTGCTCCGGTTTCACCCCCCGCGTGTAAAAAAGAAACTCACTCCATAGTTGGCGGGCAGGAGTGAGAACTCGTCTCTTGCCTTGCGTTTGTTGCCCTTCCCCCGTCGCCTCCGATTTGGCACGGTCGGCTACGTTCGGTGCCGAAGAAGTTCAGCAGCAACAACAAACACGCAGAGCAACTTCATATATAGAGGACCGCAGAGCTTTGTGGGGAAGGAGGGTGGGGATTTGGCGCCGGCTCACTGCCTGGCTGCTGTCGTTTTGCTCGTTTGTAGTTCCTCCTCATGCCTCTCGAGTCGAAACTATTATTATATTTGTGTGCGTGGTGTTGTGTGTGTGGTTAACACGCTGCACTACGAACCCGGCGACCCGAGTTCCACTCTCGCTCACGGCCATTACCGGTGACGATTATCTGAACCGGTCCTGGGCCTCCCCTAGGTCGGCTCAGCCTCAAATGAGTACCTGGTGCGGTGTGTAAAAACATCGCCACTGGGGGAGACAAAGGCGGTCGGGCGTGGTGCTGGCCACCCACCCACTCGTGTGCCGTGTCGACCTTCATAGATGCTCGCTAACAGCACTTGCCCCAATAGTTTGTTAAGGCTACGCGGGCGATGTTTGTGTTTTTGTGTGCAGGATGCTCCCTTAGCCCTTTGTCGGATTCCGGGAGTCTGCTGGTGGCTGCATTGCTGCAGGTAAACTGGTTGTGTGAAATGGCCATCGTGGTTTATCATTCGGATGAACATTATTCGTATGATTATCATGCCCATATCTTCTGCACCGTCTTCGTTCATTGAGCACCGACCTTTACCTGATCAGCTCCGTCGTCAGCTCAGCACAACACAATCGTTCAGTATATAAGTAATAAAACATTTTTTTAAACATGCTTTTATGAAATGTACTAGTAATGGCAGAACTCCACGACTCCATGAAGTGGCCGCATATCTTTTTTATTTTTCATGATAAAATATAATATTGTCATCAGTATAGCATAAGTATACCAAGTTTGCAGTCGATACCACATTGGGAAGTGGGTTAAAATTGAGTTACAAGATTTGAGGATACAACAACGACAACAACAACAGAGTGAGTTAAATGAAAGCGTGTAAAAAATGTGCATCTTCATCGGCATCGGCGGTGTGTTCGGCACGTCCATGAGTTCTTGAGGACAAGGATCTATTTTAGAAGTACCACTGTCCGAAACCTCACCTATTTATTCCCTTTTAAAGGCCACACGCTGCTTTATTATTGACCAATGTGTCGTCTTAATCGACCGGCCGTTACCTGCCCGCTACCCTCAGCCAAAGCCGGCGATCCTTAGCGTAACATTTTAAACGACTCGATAAACTATTATTTTATTTTCACCAGGTTAAGGCTCGCTGAGTTGTATAGCTTTTTTTGCATAAGCGACCTGGCCACAAATGATGGCCCAACGAAGTGGCTTATCATGTCGACATTTTATTGCAGCCAAATACTTTAAACGCATGGTGTTGTTCATTCTAAATGTGGAGGGAAATACCGGAAGACCAGGCAGACAAATCCACGCGACCACGGGGAGAGAGACACGCAAACTCCAAATATAGAGCAGCAGGCGTCAGGGTCAGGATCGGAACCCACGACCTCCTGTATACCAGGCGAGGTAATTAACATCTCCTAGCCACCGTGATGATGATGATAATGATAGAGAGACACGCAAACTCCAAATATACAGTAGCAGGCGTCAGGGTCAGGATTGAACTCACGACCTCCTGTATACCAGGCGAGGTAGTTAACATCTCCTAGCCACCTTGATGATGATAATGAGAGAGAGACACACAAACTCCAAATATACAGCAGCAGGCGTCAGGGTCAGGATCGGAACCCACGACCTCCTGTATACCAGGCGAGGTAGTTAACATCTCCTAACTACCGTGATGAAGATGATAATGAGAGAGAGACACGCAAACTCCAAATATACAGCAGCAGGCGTCAGGGTCAGGATCGGAACCCACGACCTCCTGTATACCAGGCGAGGTAGTTAACATCTCCTAGCCACCTTGATGATGATAATGAGAGAGAGACACGCAAACTCCAAATATACAGCAGCAGGCGTCAGGGTCAGGATCGGAACCCACGACCTCCTGTACACCAGGCGAGGTAGTTAACATCTCCTAGCCACCGCGGTGGCCGGGTTGATGTGGCGACAACGCCTGCTGCTGCTGCTGCGGTCGGTGAGAACCGCATCACGAGTGGTGCTTCTCTCCTTCCCGATCGTTTCAGGCGGCGCTGAGGGAGCAGTCGCCCGGGAGAGACGCGCTGCAGCTGGTGAGGTCGCTCGCCGGACCGCGTGGCGTGGCGAGGAACAGTGCCGGATTATCCGAGTAGCACAAGTAGCTACTCCATGTGTAGTAGCTACACGTGTAGCAGCTACATATGTAGTAGCTACATATGCCACGGGCCCCGCACTTTCAAGGGCCCCGGGCTAAATGCTTTCAAGCTATCAATTCCGGTTCAGTGATTCTGCACTTGCTCTATTACTATAGTACTATACCGCCTTTAACTTTTACGAACGACCGGGTGTTTAAGGTTAGTGATTTGTCGTATTATCTGGCTGTATAGCAAGTGAAAAAAATACAATTACTTTACTGTGCAAGTTAAAAATTTGTGTGTTTTAATATTTACGTGTTTTTTTTATTTAGGGCCCCTTTATAACATCGTGCTACAGGCCCCACACTAGCTTCATCCGGCACTGGCGAGGAGTGCTTGGTAGTAATATAAAGCAAAGACAAAGATCCTCCCACCCCCGTGTAGCCTTAACAGACTGTAGGGGCAAGTGCTGTTAGCGAGTAGCACCTATGAAGGCCGGCACGGCAAACGAGGGGGTGGGTGGCCAGCACCACACCCGGCTGCCTTTGTCTCCCCCAGCGGCGATATTTACCAAGTACTCATTTGAGGCGGAGTCGACTTAGGGGAGTTCCAGGACCGGTTAAGATAATCATCACTGGTGTTGGCCGTGAGCGGGAATGGAACCTGGGGAGCCAGGTTCGAAGCGAAGCACGCTAACCACGACACTACCGCTCCCCATATTAAAACACGCACAAACACAATTTCAGTTTTTTTCAGTTTCATTTATTTGGTATAGCCATGTGAGCCATTCGGCTCTTGAATCGGGTGCAACCGCAACAAACAAAAACATGAACAAGAAAACATCTTAAAGTGACTATGCGCAAACAGAAAAATCCAGGAAAAAACTGCAAAGTCTTCCAGTAACAAAAACACCTTACACCAACGCTGTGCAAAAATCCCAGTGGGATGCAAGTTAAACAACAACCACAAGACAACTTAGATTAAAGCCATCATTCTAACTCCGTACTACAACAAACAAACATGGCCAAACCAAAAAACTTTTCGAAATCACCAAAATAAAGCCATAAGCAATGTAACAGTGATCATAGGAACTGTGACCGAAATTTCACAATAAACGACAAACAACATGTACCACCAAACCCTGTAGCCATAGCTGGCTGCATGAGTCACTCCACAACAACAACACACTCGCTGTGAAATGAATGCGAAATAAGGGAAGCTCCTAAAGAACTCTTACACCAGCATTTGTGTCTGATTGCTGTGTTATAGACAAATGTGTGCCCGTTGCATACACACAGGCCTTCACGACCAATTGTCCATGATTCATAGTTTATTTTGGCTTGCATCCTCGCGTTGGTATGTTGTACATTAATTTAACCATAACCCTCCCTGTCGTAATTTAGTTTGGCGAAGAAAAAAAATAAGAAAAACAAAACATAAACGGTGCATTTGCCCACGTCGTTGTGACAGCTTGAATTGATCGGCTCCGTCGGGTGGTGGAGGGCAACAGCTACAACGACGATGTGACCCAAAATCAGCGAATCGTGAATGGAGGTTCATAATAAAGGTTTTTTCGTGAGAATTATTTTATTATGTTTTATTTTATTCTTTTTATTGTTTCCATTCTACGTGACTTTACCGAAAGAACCAAGAAGATGAATCCCTGCAGTCACGAAAGCTTTAAATCGAAATATAAATGTGTCGTAACTCACCGCTCCGTAGCCGGGCACCAAGCGCAGTTCCACCGCCTGCACACCCGGCAGGCCAACACCGCCACCGCCTTGGGGCGAGGGGTCGGTAGCCGCTGCGGGCGGAGAATCAATCACCCAAAGGCAGAGGTCGCAAACGGGTTTTGATTCCTTACCCGTACCCGGCCGCACCAGGGTCGCAAACGGGTACCCGTACCCGGCCGTACCCGTACCCTACCCGTACCCGGCCGTGTACTGGTAGGGTACGGGTATCGGGTACCTGATTGCGACCTCTGGGATGAAGCCATGTTGCAGGCTAGGGTGGGTTGATTCTAGGAACTTGAATTGTGAGAAGAGACAAGACGTTGGGAAATGAGTGACAAACGGATACTCACCAGTGACTCACGGTCTACCCGTACCCGTACCCGGCCGCACCAGGGTCGCAAACGGGTACCCGTACCCGTACCCGGCCGGGTACGGGTAGCCGGGTATCGGGTAGGGTATCAGGTACCCGGTTGCGACCTCTGCCCAAAGGGTGTTCGGCTTCCGTCCGCTTAAAAACAAAAGCCTAAGCAAAGGGAGCGCTCCGTGACGCCACTTATCAAGCACCGCCGTCTCGTATCCACGTCGCATTGCGACTCGGGCAATGTTGAGTTCGTTGAATTGTTCGACCGAATTCGATCACGAAAAAAAAAACTATTTTGGCTGCCCTTGTTATTTTGGTTGCCGGCTCCACGCTGGCCTGATGGATCGACTCATCATCTTAGCCTGCACCCAAGTTCAAGTTCATCCCCTGCCTGTCTGCCTTGCCTGCCTGTCTGTCTGCTCGCTCCTGTCACGGCAGGTGTTGGAGGCGTACGGTCAGCTGGCCGGGCCAGAGGGTGCAACACAGACCCCACGCAGGTGAGGCCACGGCGTGGCGAGTGGCGGAACCTTCCCCTCCCCTCCCTCGAGTCGGTGAGCCAGAATATACTTCGGTAACCCGCGCACACCACATCCATTCATTCCTCTCCACGCTGGCTGTAGCTACTGCTGGTCACGCAACCCGCCCCCTGCTCATTCCTCCAGTTTCCTCCTCCCGTCGCTAAATATGATGCGCGCAAATGTAACGTCACTCGGTCAAAACATCCCAGTGCTGAAAGGCGATCTGTAAATTGCTGAATTGGGTTTACATACAGAAGCAGGAGCAGCGTCAACATTACCCTCACACCCCCACTGTGAAAACATGGCAGGATCCTCCTGAAAGAGAGTCTTGAGACTCGTTGAAGCTTTCCTGGGTAAACAAGCAGCAGCAGTAATAATGATGAGTCAATCTACGTAAGGTGCCAATAGCCTGTTGCCTACTCTCACGTTGAACTTCTTTCGCACCGTACGTAGCCAACCGTGCTGATCGGAGGTGCGGGGGAAAGACAACAAACTAAACACAAGAAGCAGTTCTAAAGAAATCAGTTTTCAAATTAGATTTAAACGGGGTGGTGTGTGTGTGTGCGTTTATCACAGCTTGTGGGGAGCAGTAGTGTAGCGGTTAGCACGCTGCGCTACGAACCTGGCGACGGCCAATACCAGTGACGATTATCTGGGCCTCCCCTACGTCGACTCAGCCTCAAATGAGTACCTGGTGTCGTGTGTAAAACATCATCACTGGGGAGGCAAAGGCGACCGGGCGTGGTGTTGGCCACCCACCCCCTCGTGTGCCGTATCGGTCTTCATAGGTGCTAATCATTAACAGCACTTGCCCCAACAGTCTGTTAAGGCTATCGGGGGATCTTTGTACTTTTTTTTATCATCAGCTCACCAGGACCCATTCCCAACAGACTGCAGGCAGTGAAATACCTCATGAAGGACCGCCAGGTACACACGCCTGCCCTACCTACACGCACGCTCACACAGACACTCAATGTCACACTCGTGTCGCGACGCAGTCGCATACAATCACACATTCACATGTCTTGAGATTGTAAATAATCACAGTCTCGCGTTCACTCGGTCACATATTCGCACAATCGCACATTCACATGCCTTGAGATTGTAAATAATCACAGTCTCGCGTTCACTCGGTCACATATTCGCACAATCGCACATTCACATGCCTTGAGATTTAAATAATCACAGTCTCGCGTTTACTCGGTCACATATTCGCACAATCACACATTCACATGCCTTGAGATTTAAATTATCACAGTTTCGCGTTCACTCAGTCACATATTTGGACAATCACACTTTGACACAATCGCACGTTCACAGATACTCAGTCGCACAACTGCAGAGTCAAATGATCACCCAATCACTTGTTCACTCAGGCACAAATTAACGCAACCAATCGTAAGTACACACAGCTATACGGTCAGGCAAATCGCCTTCACTCAAACAACACGATGACGCATTCACACAATCAACAAATGTGTATTGGCATTATCACTCAGCGTGTGTCGTGTGTGCCTGCTGTGGTTGTTGTTGTTGTGTGGCTGTTGTGTTGTGGGGCATTGCGGTTGTGGCTCAGCCCGTGTCGTCTCTGTTTGTCTCTCTCTCTGTGTGGACGGCACCCTCGTGGTGTTCACCTTCTGAAGCGCTCGCTCGTCACCGTGGCGTGCGCGATGACCACAACCACCACCACCACGTGGCTTTTCTTTTGTGTTGTGCGCGGTGCTTTTAGCGCCACAGCGCGTCGATTTGTAGCGTTTATTTTCATTTATTTGCTGGTGACTTTGTGTGTTTCATATCGAAATCTCCTCCAGTGCTTTTGCTGCTGGCGGCAATAAAAGTTAATTCTAGATTTCAAGCTTTCGTGACTGCAAGGATTCATACTTTTGGTTTTTCGGTAAAGTCACGTAGCTTAAAAAATAAAACAAATAAATCAAATCACGACGTTTCGGAGGCAACATAAGCTTCCGTCTTCAGGTGAAACCGTCACAGCAAAATTGCTGTATTCACTTGATACAGCAATTTTTATTCACTTGATACAGCAATTTTGCTGTGACGGTTTCACCTGAAGACGGAAGCTTGTGTTGCCTCCGAAGCGTCGTGATTTAATTTATTTGTTTTCTTTTTTAACCTACGTGACTTTACCGAAAAAACCAAAGAGTATGGCAATAAAAGTTGTTTAAAAGTCAAAAGTCTCTCTCTCTGTGTCTCTCTCTCTGTCTGTCTCTGTGTCTCTCTGTGTCTCTCTCTCTCTCTCTGTCTCTCTCTTTCTGTCTCTGTGTCTCTCTGTGTCTCACTCTCTCTGTCTGTCTCTCTGTCTCTGTCTCTCTCTGTCTCTGTGCTCAGTGCTTCCCGGAGAGGACGGACGCCGACTCGGCGCTGGAGCTCCTCGTGCAGGTAACGCCAACGCCCTGTCCGCGCACGTGCGCCCCAACAGTCTACGGAGGCTCCACGGGGGAATTCTGTGTCTTCTGTGCGAAGCTGTCGGGCGTGCAGGTGACGTGCGAGTGGTGTGCGGGCGTGGCGGGCTGCCTGGCGGCGGGCGGCGTTCCCCCCGCGGTGGCGGGAGAGGAGAGGGCACTGGCGGCAGACGCGGTGCGCTCCGCGCTCTGCTGCGCTCACGCGGACGGGCTCGGCGGTCTGTCCGCAGATGCACATCACAAGGCGAGAGAGATACAGGGAGCGAGCGAGCGGGCATTGACCGCTCGCAAATTTTTTTTTTTACAAGGTCATGCCCACTGAGCTCTACAGCTCTTTTTTCAGAAGCTACCTGGCCACAAACGATAGCCTAACGAAGTGGCATATATTTCGATTTAAAGCTTTCGTGACTGCAGGGATTCATCTTCTTGGTTCTTTCGGTAAAGTCACGTAGAATGGAAATAATAAAATAATAAACATAAAACATAATAAAATCATTCTCACAATTATTTTATTATGTTTTATTTTTATTCTTTTGGAAATAATAAAATAATAAAAATTAAACATAATAAAATAATTATCCCAATTATTTAATTCTGTTAAATTTTTATTATTTTATTATTTCCATTCTACGTGACTTTACTGAAAGAACCAAGAAGTGGCTTATCACGTGAAATGTTTATAACAGCCAAATACTCGAAAGGCGTGTTTTGTAAATGTGTATGGAAAAACCGGAGGACCCGGAGAAAAATCCACGCGACCACGGGGAGAACACGCACATTCCAAATATACAGCAGCAGGCATCAAGGACGGGATCGAACCCACGACCTCCTGTATACCAGGCGAGGAAGTTAACATTTCGCCACCGTGGCACCCGCAAACGTTCACGCCCCGAAAAAATAAACCATGCGTCCTTAATCTCTGAAGCACGCGCGCACGCCGTTCACATCCGGAAGAACGACTGCGAGAAAGGGAATCGCGCAGCCCTGCGATGGCTTGATCGCGTCACCGCTGGCATTAGAAGGAGCTCTAGAAGAGCCCCGCTCGTCTTGAATGAGGTGGAATCGCCCACACTTTACCCCATCACACGCGACTCGATGAGCGGCTGCGGTGCACCCATTTACACCCGGAGGAAGGGGGTGGGGGCAGGAGAAAGGAGGTGTGAAGGGAACCTGCACAGACTGTTGACGAATAACGCATGGAACCTCCACAGGCGGGCGGTGCGCGAGTGTTCGAACAGATCTGTTGTAAGACGGGGATATAAAAAGACTCAAGCGACTTAAAGAGTCCAGAACATTCTGGGGAAGAGAGCGGTTCTGCGGACGATGAGGAAGAGGGAGTATGGAGGGAGGAGGTTGGAGGAGGAGGAGGAGGATGGAGGGAGGAGGATGGAGGAGGAGGATGGAGGCGATCTTGTGACTGTGGGTCTCTGTGCTCGTTTCGAAGGTGGGCCACCCCGTGGTGTCCTCGCGCACAGGAGCGCTGATCGTGATCGTGCCGCGCGTGCTGGGCCTGGCGTTCTGGTCGCCGCGCCTCGACGACGCGGACCTCCCACGCGGAGGCCTGCGGCTGTTGGAGGTGAGCGGAGGCCGCCGGCTCACGCTCGCACGTTGAGCTTCTGTCGCACCGAACGTAGCCAACCGTGCTAATCGGAGGCGTGTGGGAAGGACAACAAACTGAACACCAAAGCAGTTCTTAAATGTACGACACGAACTTGGTCAGACCATTTCGATTTAAAGCTTTCGTGACTGCAGGGATTCATCTTCTTGGTTCTTTCGGTAAAGTCACGTAGAATGGAAATAATAAAATAATAAAAATAAAACATAATAAAATAATTCTCACGACGTTTCGGCCACAACGCAAGCACCCGTCCTCAGGCAGGTGAAGACCAGGTCTGTCGGGGAGACAGCGTCTGAATGACCATTAAGTGGCGTCATCCAAAAATCAATTCTAGCTCATAATGGCTGGGAAAACATGCCGTGTGTTAGGCTAGTTAGTTAAAGTTTTATTTTAATCCGGTGAGGGCCCACGGATCCCATCGGAGGTCTGAGTTTGCCAGTTGGATTCCATTTGTGCCTTCGGTCGGGCAAACGATGGGGTGACGCGGGGGGGGGGGGGCTGTAGCGTATGCACGGCGAGTTGGAGGCTGTGGTTGGCTGTGGTTGATCGGGTCCGCTCTGCGGTGGTGACGGCATGCGGTGCGGTCTGCGCGCAGGAGTTCGTGCAAACGTTCGCGCTGCACCCATACGACAGCGCGCCCCGTCGGCCCAGACCTCTGTCGTCTTGGTCTCACGAATCGGAGGTATCCCTGGACGCGCGCGTGAGCATTGCATTCACAGTGAATGTATGAATGTACGTTGCACTTATTTCGCACCGTACGTAGCCAACCGTGCTAATCGGAGGTGCGGATGGGCTGATCTCGTCCCCTGGTTAAAGTGCAGGAGTCTGACTCACTAAAGACGCGTGGGACTTTGGAAACAAACCGTGGGATGGTGAGCAGATTACCTCACGATTTTGGGCCACCTCGTCCCAACAGAGACCCAATCTGGGTTTAAATCTATTTCGCACCGTACGTAGCCAACCGCAAACTAAAGACAAAAAGCAGTTCTAAAGAAATTCGTTTTCAAATGTGGAAGAGTCCGGCTTACGTGACTAGGCTTGCTGAAGGTCACCTGGGTTCACACTTCTAGGTTTGCCTCAGGCTCATACGAGTGAAGCCAGACCTATGGTGGAGGGACGGCAACCGACGGGAGGGAGTGACCGTGGTGCTGAGCCCGTGCTGACTCTAAACTAAATTAAAACTATGTTTTTTATTTTACCAGATAAGTCCCGCTGAGCTATGTAGCTCTTTTTCAGAAGTGACCTGGCCACAAACGAGAGCTCAGTGAAGCGGCTTATCATCATGTGGAAATTTATAGCGGCCGATTACTCGAAAAGCACATGAGTTCTAAATGTTGAGGGAAAAACCGTAGGACCGGGAGAAACATCGACACGACCACAGGGAGAGAGAAAGAGACATGCAAACTCCAAATATACAGCAGGAGTCAGGGTCAGGCTCGAACCCACGACCTCCTGTATACTAGGTGAGGTAGTTAACATCTCCTAGCCACCGTGGCAACTTGGCACTGACCTGGTACTGACTTGGTGCTCGTTCGGTGCTGACCCAGCGATGACTCGGTGATGACCCGGTGATGATTCGGTGATGACCCGGTGCTGTGTGATTACCCGGTGATGACCTTTTGCTGACCCGGTGATGACCTGTTGCTGACCCGGTGATGACCCAGTGATGACCCAGTGATGACCTGTTGCTGACCCGGTGATGACCTGTTGCTGACCCGGTGATGACCCGGTGATGACGCGGTGCTGTGTGATGACCCGGTGCTCTCTTCGTCTGGCCGTGCCGCCAGGGATACCGGATCATGAACCTGCTGCTGGCCGCCTACCGGGGTGACGTCGCTTCCCTCCGCAGGTGAAGGCGGCTCCCGCACCAGGCGGAAGCTTCGGGCCTGTGCCCTCTCGCCATCAGCGTCTTGTACACAGCACAGACTCTGTTATTCATAATCAACGTTTTTGGGTTTAGATCGCGTTATTTATAAATGTGTCGTAACCCTCCACCACCCGACACGGCCAATCAGTAAAAAAGTGTCACGTTGACAAAAGACAAATAGTTCACTGCTTTAGCCCACCGGTGTGTTGAAGCGTGAAACCATTCTGGCGAATTGCCCGATGATGCTGGTTGATGTAATTACCAGCGAAACGCCGTGGGCTGAGTTTTAAATGTTGTGGTTTCACGCTTCAACACACCGGTGGGCTAAAGCAGTGAACTATTTGTCATTTGTCAACGTGACACTTTTTTACTGATTGGCCGTGTCGGGTGGTGGAGGGTTACGACACATTTATAAATAACGCGATCTAAACCCAAAAACGTTGATTATGGACAGACTCTATTAGTGGTATATTAGTATTGTGTTAGCGTGCACATTACCATCACATTTGCGTTATATGAGCATGATGTTCGTGTGATATATATTGGTAGTATATTAGTATAATGCTCGTGTTATATTCTTTTAATATTACCGTGATATATTCGTATTTTATTGGCATTATCTATTAGCGGAATATTACAAAACATGTTTGCATTATATTAACGTTATATTTGAACATTATATTAGCATAATCGCACTACATTAGCCATATATTGGACTAATATTCGTGTTATATTCACATTTTATTACCATACTATTATTACATTCACCAAATATAAGCGTTGTATGTGCATTATATTATATTACCGTTATAAAGTATTGAACTATAAACTAAACAAATTATTTTTTTAACCAGGTAAGGCCTACTGAGCAATACAGCTCTTGTTCAAAAGCGACCTGGCCACAAACGAGAGCTCACCTTAGTGGCTTATCATGTGAAAATTTATTGCAACCAAATTCTCTAAGCGCACGTTTCCAAATGTGGAGGGAAAAACCGAAGGACCCGGAGAAAAATCCACGCGACCACGGGGAGAATGTGAAAGCTCCAAATATACAGCAGCAGCAGGCGTCAGGGTCGGGATCGAACCCACTAACTCCTGTATACCAGGCGAGGTAGTTAGCATCTCCTAGCCACCGTGATGATGATGATGAGAGAGACACGCAGACTCCAAATATACAGCAGCAGGCGTCAGGGTCTGGATCGAACCCACGACCTCCTGTATACCAGGCGAGGTAGTTAACTTCTCCGAGCCACCATGATGATGATGAGAGAGAGAGAGAGACACGCAGACTCCAAATATACAGCAGCAGGCGTCAGGGTCGGGATCGAACCCACGACCTCCTGTACACCAGGCGAGGTCGTTACATTTTGCCACCGTGGCACCGCTAGGGAGCCACGAGGTTGACAAAGGCAGCCGGGTGTGGTGCTGGCCACCCACCCCCTCGTGTGCCACGGCAGCCTTCGCCCCCCACAGTCTCCCGGGGGCTACGCGGGGAACCTCTCCGCCATCCCTTTCGCAGGATGGTGCTGGCTGGCGTGCACCCTGGCCTGGCCGACTACGACGGCCGCACGGCGCTGCACCTGGCCGCCTCGGAGGGTCACCTGCATGCCGTGCGCTTCCTGCTGGAGACGGCTCGGGCGGACTGCCACGCCCGCGACCGGTAGCTCGCGCTCACGCGACGCTCACACCCGGCCACCCGGCACGCACCGTTCACTCAGACAAAGCCACCCCCCCCCCCACACCACTGCCTATACAAGGCGCCACCACTGAACTTTGCCATGTCCGGGAATCGAACTCAGGTGGGCGGGTTCGTAGCGAAATGCGCTAGCCGCTACGCGACCGCTCGCCGTACATATGGACAAGGGGACAAGCACCATCCCCCCCACCCCTCCTTGTATAGCGGTATGGAGCAAGTGTTTATTCACTCCGTGCGTGATCAACGTGTTTATTCACTCCGTGCGTGATCAACGTGTTTATTCACTCCGTGCGTGATCAACGTGTGTTCATCCAGTGCCATGCTAACCGTGTGTTCACTCTGTGTTCACGCTGTACTGTTTTCACCGAGTGTTCACTGTGTGCTCACCGTGTGCTCACCATTGTGTTCACTGTGTGTTCACTGTATGTTCACCGTGTGTTCACCACTGTGTTCCCTGCTGTCGTTGCGCGCAGCTGGGGCAGCACTCCGCTGCACGAGGCCGTGCGCTACGCCCACGTGGCCGTGGTCGCCCTGCTGTCCGCGCACATGAACCAGGCGACGGTGCTCATGTAGACAGAATGGTGAACAGCTGCACCGACACAGCCAGCCACAATCACCGTTCACACACTAATGCAAAGCCTGCCCCAGCCATCATCCAAATACACAGCCAACGTTCATCATCACCACCAACTTGCCTTATCCATCATCACCATCATCACCATCATAGTAACATCATCTCAGCAATGTTCACCATGATCATCATCATCATCTTCAACCAGATACTTTACTCAAATTGTAAATGTTGTGGATTTACTCTCCAACACACCGGTGGGCTAAAGTAGTAACTAATTGGCTTTTGTTTACGCGACAACTCCCTTACTAATTGGCCGTGTAGGGTGGTGGAGGATTACGACACGGTTTATTATGAATAATATTCGCTGAGAAAGCCATTGCTAATATGCATAATATAGGTTTTTTGGGTTCGATCGGGTAAATATAAATTAAACCCGCCACCACCGCGATGCAGCCACGTAAACAGAACATGCCAATTCGATACTAGTACAGCAACACCGGTTTGTTGGAGATCAAATCCACAACAATCTCACCCAAAAAAAAACACTTGGGTGATATTGGTCGCGAAAGCCTACGTGTTACACTGATTGCCAATATCATCAACACGATCTTCGCTTCTGTCTCCATCTCAAGCAAATCTCTTGGCTCCATCTCCACGGCTGGCATTGCCCTGCCCACTTTAGTCTCCGTGTGCCGCGATTCCACGGGAGCAGAAAGAAGCAACCACGTTGGGTTGAATTTCAGAATCTGTCGAGTTTTAAATCGAACGGGAGGAATGAAGCCGACCCGTGATTGGAGCGCTGGGTCAGTTTGTACGGAGCACAAGCAGACAGCACCGTGTCCACTCCTGTGCACCCTGCACTTATTTATGCCACGTGATAATATATATGAAGACTGACTTCCTAGACAATATTTTCTATAGTAAATGTAAGTGGGGAGGGAATGGTATATTTTTTTACCCGCTGTAATTGTTATGTAATCTTGTTTACATGTTTAAAATATTAAATATATAACAACATAAAATATATGTATGTGTAGAGGTGATACGCGCTGGGATTAGGGATCGTATGCCAGCGCGTAATGATTGGCTGTGTAGGTGGTGACGCGCGCTGACGGTGGAGGATCAGGGGTCAGCGCGGGGTCGTGGGTTAAGGGGTACTGATTGGCTGTGGGCCCGTGACGCGCTGAGAGGGAGTGATCGGATGGCAGCGCGGTGTGATTGGTAGAGGAGTGTTAACACGCGCTGGGAAAACGGATCGTAGAGAGAGTGCGTCGTGATTGGTTCACTAGGGAACGATGCTCACGTCGACGTCCGGATCAGCTCCGTCTCTCGTGAGCAGGGGCTATAAAAGGGGATGCACACAGGCGTAAGGGCAGTATGTAACCAGCGAAGAATGAAGACGGGGATGAAGACCTAGGGCCCTGCGGTACCTAGTCCCGCTGTCCTAACGGGACCGGGACTCTGTGTAACCCAGAGGCGAGTGTAGTGTGTGTAGCCAGAGGCATAGAGTCTACACGAGCCGAATGTATTGTGTGTAGCCAGAGGCATAGGGTCTACACGAGTCAAGTGTATTGTGTGTAGCCAGAGGCATAGGGTCTACACGAGTCAAGTGTATTGTGTGTAGCCAGAGGCATAGGGTCTACACGAGTCAAGTGTATTGTGTGTAGCCAGAGGCATAGGGTCTACACGAGTCAAGTGTATTGGGTGTAGTCAGAACCATAGAGTCTACACGAGTTAAGTGGAGTGTGTAGTCGGAAGAAAGGAGACCACACGTTGTATTGTGAACGTAAAGATTTAATAAAAGTGTGTTACCCGTCAAGAAGTTCCTGCCGTCAATTCCAATACTTCAACTGGCGTCAGAAGTGAAACGGTCTTCCAAGCATGGAGACAAGGAAGACCCGTCGGACCCACGGGATTGACCGCGGGGACAACCTCGACGACTCGGGCCAGCTGGCATCGGGGGGTGAGGACGAGGAATTGCCCACGCTGCAGGATCCGCCGATGGCGCCGGACGAGCGACGGGGGACCGACGCCGTGCTTCGCGAGGCGCACTCCCGCCTGGCGGAGCTGCTGCTCGCCGCCGCGTCCATCCTGGCGGAGATCAGCTCGTCGGGAGGAGCGGGGACGGCGGCGGACGTTCTGCAGGGTCGCCCCGCAGATTCCCGCCAAAACGACTTGGCGATTCCCGCCATTTCATCTGCGCCGACTTTTGGCGGGAACGGCCATCACCACGTGGCAGCGGTTCTCCAAGCGCGCCCGCTTACGTCACCAACGCGCGCTGCGGACCGCCATCAGACACCCGCCACTGGGGCCGCCATCTTACACACCGACGGGGCGGCGGAGAGGAAGCACGAGGAGGAGGACGACTTCATCTTTCAACAGCGCCTTCCCACGTTGTCAGCCTTCAAGGCGGAAGGCGGGGATTGGAGCCAATTTCAGCGCAGGTTTTTGGCGCATCAGGAGATGTCCGCCTGGTCCGACGCTACGGCACTGCGGGCACTGCCTGCCATGCTGGACGACAACGCGCTCGCGGCCTTCACGTCCGCACGTAGGTCGGACCGCTCCACGCTCAAGGATGCGCTGGCTCTCATGGCCAAGGTCTATGGTCCTCCCTCGGCGTGCCGCCATCATTTTTATGCAAGACGGAAGGCGGACACGGAGACTGTGCTCGCCTACCGCACGGCGTTGCTTGCTCTCGCCGACGCCGCGTTCCCTCGTATGGACGAGGAGGGCCAAGATGCGATGGTTTTGGAGCAACTGCTCAAGTTGGCGCAGGACCTGGGGGTCCCCATCAACACGGCCGACGAGACCGATATTTCTTCCTTACGGGTCGCTACGAGCATACAAGCGCACGAGGTCCTTCAACGTAAACAGGGGGTCGTCTGCAACGCTGCCGTGGCCTCAGCTCCGGGCCCGGTAGTCACCGTGCCCCAAGTCGTCAGCCCACGAGAGGAGGCGTTCATCGTGGAACGACCGGGGGACTGGAGGTCGGGGGGCCGTTCGCCTCTGCGAGCGGCCCGCAAGCTGGAGCAACCGAGATCTCCGACGACTGTCATCACGTGCTATAACTGCGGCCTCCGGGGCCACGTGGCCTCCGGTTGCCGCGCCCCACGTCAGCGCGCCATGGGACCTCGGCGGGACGACGAACAAGGCCCCAAGTCATCCCTGCAAACCCCGGCAAGTCGCGGCACCTCACATGCTCGGCCCGCATACTCGACACGTATGGGTCGTCGCGTTGCGGCGGGGGAGAGCCGAGTAGAGTTCGGGGATTCGGTTCGAAGAGGGGGAAGGTTGTCTTGGCCGCACACGAACGCCTCTTGCATTTGGGAGTTAACAAAACGCTTGCCCTGCTTCAGCGTGACTATTATTGGCCGGGAATGGGGGGTGACGTGGTGAATATTCTGAAGGGTTGTGTTGAGTGCGCCAGACGGAAACCACCGCCTGTGGCAGCTAATCCACCGCTGCAATCTATTCAGGTCTCGCGCACTAACGAGCTCGTTGCACTCGATATTCTGGGGCCTTTTCCAGTCACGCCTAGGGGTAATAAGTACCTGTTGGTGGGGGTCGAATATTTTACCCGGTGGCCTATGGCGTGGCCACTCGCCAACCAGTCGTCGGCGGCTGTGACGGACGCCTTTGTCCAGGGCTACGTCCTGGACAAGGGGGCTCCCGAACGCTTGCTGACCGACCAAGGGAAAAATTTTTCGAGTAAATTGCTGCAAGAGGTGTGCGACCTGTTGGGTACTAAGAAGGTGCGTACCTCCCCGTACCACCCGCAGACGGACGGGATGGTTGAGAGGCTCAACAGGACATTGACTTCTATGCTGTGCCAGCAGGTGTGTGAGGCACATGTTGATTGGGACCTGCAGGTTCCTGGGGTCCTCGCCGCGTATAGAATGGCCCCCCATGCAGCTACGGGATTTTCCCCGTTTTATCTGATGTACGGTCGGGAAGCCGACCCGCCCATGGAAACGCAGCTGGGTCTGCCCGCACCACGGACTAATTCGAAATTGGCAGAGCATATTAAATTTAACATTTACAAGCTGACAGAGGCAAGGGAGGCCGCACGGCTTAATTCGCGGGCTCGCCAAATTGCTAACGAGCGGTTGCGTGCACGGAAGGTGTCCGTGCACAACTGGGAACCAGGTGACAGGGCCTGGCTGCATTGCCCTCAGGCACCTTTGGCTACGTCGCCTAAATTGTTGAAGCCATGGCGGGGACCCGTGGAGGTCGTGCGGGTTGCACGCCCCCAGTGCGTTCAGATAAAATGGGGAAAACACATTTTCACACGCAGTTCGCTAGGAAGACGGAGCCCGTTAAACTCTCCGACGCGCTTGCGGGTCGCAGCCACGCGCTGTTGCTCGGCACGGTGTCCAACGTTTCGCCCCACGTGCCGGGACAACCGTGCCGAACGACACGCTGCGGTGCAACCTGAAGTTCCGCCCGAGAGCCCCCGGTATGCACAGCGTTGACGCGACACTGAAAGGCGCAGTCTAAATGACTCCTCTCGGTGTTTTCTGTTCAATAAAAAAAAATAACACACGAATAACAGAAGAATTGTGGATAATATTTTTTTTCGGCCCTCATTTTAGTTTTTTTTTATTAATTTTTTTATTCAGTTTTTATTTATATATTAAAACATTTATTGTTTTATTTTCATTATTTTATTATGTCCCTTCTATGTGACTTTACCGAAAGAACCAAGAATATGAATCCCTGCGGTCACGAAAGCTTTAAATCGAAGTTTTTTAGTTTTTGTTACTGTGCCAGGAGCGTTACTACCACGTGGGTCGACACACACACATGACGTCATCCCGGCTGGAGGCTGGAATCACGTCAGGGCCGGTGCTGGACACGTGACCGGATCCCAGTGGGGGCCGGGGGTCCAGGGGGCCCTCGGGGGGGGGGGGGGGCACGTGGACAGCAGCGGGGGGGGGGGGGGGCTTCGAGAGGGTGCTCGAAGGGAGGCGTGGCCGGGGTGGGGCCGGGCACGCCGAGCCCCATATCAGCGGCCTCCTCAGGAGGTTCGGGGCTGTTCCTGCGAAGAATGAAGACGCCTCGTGAAGATGCCAAGAAGAGAAGGCCTCCAGTGAGCGGACTGCCAGCAGCCACCTGGCTGGGTCACGCTGCAGTAGCTAAGAGACACGTGTGTGTTAGCTCGGGCAGGTCGGTGGTCACCACCCTGTGTGTAGAGTAAGAGTAACTGTTGAGTGACCGTTGTGTTCATTAATAAAATGAGTGTTGCCTCCCAAGAAGTGTGTGCGGCTAAATTGAAACCGTTACACAGGCACTAGGATCTGCCTGTGGAGCCCAAGCGGTCATCGCACAGTTGACAAATAAGCATGGAGTGCTGGCACAACGTGAATGCGATTTGTGGTCGGTGTGCGCGTTTCGCGGGGAGTGGTAGCGCAGTGGATAGCGCACTGCGTTATGAACCCGGCGACCCGAGTTCAATTCCCGCTCACGACCAATATCAGTGGCGATTATTTGATCCGGTCCTGGGCCTCCCCTAGGTCGACTCAGCCTGAAATGAGTACCTGGTGCGGTGTGTAAACATCGCCACTGGGGAGACAAAGGCGGTCGGGCGTTGTGCTGGCCACCCACCCCCTCGTGTACCGTTCCGGCCTTCATAGGTGCTCGCTAACAGCACTTGCCCCTACAGTCTGTTAAGGCTATACGGGGGTCTTTGTACACATCAATCTAATGCAGTGGTTCTTAACTTTTCCTGCAGCCTTGCACCCCTTTGGTTCGCAATCATAAAAAAAAAACTTTACCGAAAGAACCAAGAAGAAGAAAAAAAAATGTCTGTTAGTAAATACATAGGATTCGATTAAACAATGTAGTTGTTCTTACGTGCCCATGCTTAATTTGTTTTTTCGATGACTTACCTTCTAAAAAAATCTGCTTATGTCTTGCACTCCCAGAAAGGGGAATTTCGCACCCCCAGGGGGTGCGTGCACCCCAGGTTAAGAACCACTGATCTAATCAATGTCCAAAACATAAGAGGGAGACTTCCTCAATGGACTGGCCAGCTTGCCAGCTCTGGGGCTTGCCTGCGCACGCCCACGGTCAGTTCCAAGTAGTGACGCAAGGCACCAGAATTTCATCATTGCCGAGAAACGCATTCGCACCGCTCACATGAGCCGTGCCAGCCACTGGGTGACGAAGAAGCCAGCGTGGGCTGGCTGCTTGCGTACATCTGTTGCATGTAGGGACCGTGTTTACCGGGACACTCCCGGTGGTTTTAAATGACCTTTGATACGTGGAAGATCTCGTAACGCGAACGCTCCGTGCGATTGGCGGTGTTATCCCCCCCGCTGGAAGGGTGACGACTGACAGCCCCTATGGATACAACACAGGCAGCTGAGAGTGCTGGAAAGGGGAATGTTTTTACGTATTCATCAAATATTCAGGCAATTGTGATGCGTTTTTACCTTCAAAAGCAATACGTTTGATTGGTTTTGGTAACTTACCGATAAGAAAGGAGGGGAAACAACAACTCGATGGACGTTTCGGCCGGCCGGCCTTCTTCAGAAAACATGTCGGTCTTCCTTTACAAGAAGCTGCCCCTCGACACGTTTCTCTTCGAGTTCGACAACCTCGAGTGGGCGTACGGAAGGAACAGCTGCTACATTTGCTTCAAGCTCAAACCCATCCTCGCCACCAGCACCACCGGCACCACAGAATCCGAGCTCTGGGGCTACGTCACTAACAAGGGGGAGGTCGCCGACGGCATCCCACGCGAGAGCCCGGAGAAGCGCGGCATGCACGCCGAGGAGCTGCTGCTGGACGAGATGACACGCCACGTCCGCGAGCACGGCGGCGTGGGCTTCTGCGTCGAGTGGTTCGCGTCGTGGAGCCCCTGCGACCGCTGCTCGGGGGTGCTGCTCCGATGGCTGCGCGACGTCGGCGGCGGCCGACACCGGCTCCGCGTCTGGTTCTCCCGAATCTACCGCGGAAACGTCGGGCCCGTGCGGGCCGGGCTGCGTCACCTATGCCGCGCGGGGGTGCAGCTCGGCGTGATGGACAGGAGGCGGCACGATAACTGCGTGCACATCCTGGTGGACGCGGCGCAGAGCGAAACAACGCCGCTGTGGCTCGTGCAGTGGCACAGTAACGTCCCCCGCGTCCAACGGGAATTCGACAAGATCATGGACGAGAAGGTGAGAGAGCCAGGATGGTGCTGGTGGTGCTGGCGGCCGTGGATGGCTGATGTGCCATCGAATGCTTCCTTCCCTCAATTACCCGTGAATGATGGGGCAATTGTGGACAGAGTAGAGAAGTTTCCGTACCTGGGCAGTTTGCTTATGACCAGCTCTGGTTTGGCAGCGGAGGTCTCAATCTGAATCAGTTGAGCGGCATTATATTTTCATCAGCTGTGTAACGCCGTTTGGAAGCTGCCTTCTCTATTGCTCCATACGAAGCTCCGGGTCTTCTCGGCCACAGTTATTCCCTCTTTATGTTGCGAAACATGGATCCCTTTAAAGGAACATCTGCACCAGTTTGAAACATGCAGGCTGGCCTACCTATGCTCCATCCTGGGTTTAACCACACTGGTTTGTTTGAGGAGCTCACAGATCCTTGAAAGATCTGGAAACAGTCCCATCAGTTGACTCCAGCAGGCAAGGCTATGTTGGCTGGGTCATGTAGCCTGCATGCCCAGCCACCGCATGCCCATGCAGCTTCTATTTGGCTGGATAAAGGAGGGATAAACGGGCACGGCATGGGCTTCAGAAGAGATTGGGCTGATGTGGTATAGGAGAATTTGGGAGTGTGTGGACTTGCGAAGGATAAGGTACTAGCGGTGTCAAGATTGGACTCTGTGAAGGAGGCTCGTGAAGGACGCTACCAGGCAGTTGGAGGCAACCGCCCTCCATCACCAGCGGACCATCGCCGCTGCATGCGCAGTGTCTCCCCGTGTTTCACTGCAATGCCACTACTGCCCAAGTACATTGCTAACAAAATCATATCTCTTTTTGTCTTTGCAGGACGACAACGGGAGTGATAACTCAGGTAAATGGATGGCCAATGTATACTTTAAATATGCAGTATTTCCATGAGAGGGATAATCCAGTCAATTGGAATGTGAACCCAGTAAACATGCATTGTCGGGCCAAATATTGGTCTGTTGTTGGAATGTTTGCACCAATGTTGGTTCAATATTGGTCCAACATTTCCTGTTGACTAGGGAGAGTCTTTAGTTTGCTTGGAGCAACATATTTAAAAAGTAAAAATGTAAATAGTAAAAATGCCCTTTATTTACCCAATAATTGCCTCACTGATCTCAAGTACTCGTTTTCGGGAGGGCCGTGCATTGGGACGTTTGACCAGTCCCATGAATGAGTGTTAAGTTTGCCCACTGTCGCCTAGCCAGTCCGCCATGAGGCGGAGAAGAAGTGCAGTACAGTAGTTTTATCGTTCCACTTTTGCAAGAACGAGAAATGACATGTGGTTTCACATCAATCCCAACAGACGCGGCACTGTTATCATTGTGTTAAGGAGAGCCGACACAAGGTTGCAGGGGGTTCGTCCTTTAATCCTTTTCTCCCATCCACACCTGTCCCCAGCCGTCCCAATCTCGTTCCTGGCAAAGGCCCCTTCTTCCCGTCCGTTCTCCCCTTGTATCTACTCGATTACCCCTCCCACTAACCCTCCTATTGGTGGGAATTCTTCCCTTGACACCCATACAATTGTATTCACCATGAAGCGATTAGCATTCAATGTGAGAGTATTACTTTTAACTTACATCCGTTTATACAGTTACGTTTGACTTTTCATTTGTAAACTTAAAACTGTGTTTGTCACCATTATTAAACACTGCCAGTTCATAGCACGTAAAATCGAAGGGTTATCACGTGACGATCTTGTTTGGTGGTGGAGGGTTAATGACAAGAATGTTGTCATGAAACTGCTCACCACGTGGTTTAGCCCCAAACAAGTAAGGCTTCATAGGAACTTGGGAAAATAGGCGATGGGAGGTAAATCCAAGGGCAGTGTAGAATTCAAAAGTCGAGGAGTGCGAGGGGAAGGAGCTGAAACAGTTCCAATTTTTAGAGATCTCATTGCCAAATGTATTCACCACTAGCGTGAGAGAGGATGATGATCGAACACAATACAGGTTTTTGGGTTAGATCGCGTAAGTATAAATGTGCCGTAACCCCACACCACCCGACACAGCCAATTAGTAAGGGATTTGTCGCGTAAACAAAACGCCAATGAGTATTGTAAATTGTAAATGTTGTGGATTTACTCTCCAGCACACCGGTGGGCTGGAATAGTAACTAATTAGCGTTTTGTTTACGTGACGAATCTTTTACTAATTGGCTGTATCGGGTGGTGGAGGGTTACGACACAACATTTATACTCATGCGATCTAACCCAAAAAACTTTATTCTGAATAATATTTGTCGCTAAAGCCTACGCGTTAAACTGATGATCGAACGCGTGTTTCCGCTCCCCCCAGACCCCGGGAAGCTGTCGGAGACCACCAGCGGCGGGCACGAGAGTTGGCATGACGATGATTGGCACCTGCCGCTTGAGGATCTGACGGGGGTCGTGGAGTGCACGCCCAGCAAGCAAGGACCTCCCGAAGCCACGGCCGCCCCCACGCTGCCCAGGAAACGACAACAAGAAGACCCCATGGATGCCTTGACGGCCAAGAGGGCCCTCTTTTAAATTTTGTACCTCGTCATGCATATACTTGATCAGGTGCGGCACCGCTACATTTGCTAAACGTATGTATGGCATCGTTTTTAATGTTGTGTATGTAAAAAGAAACCAAGTCCAATTGTTCATAATCAAGGTTTTTGGGTCAGATCGCGTTATTTATAAATGTGTCGTAACCCTCCACCACCCGACACGGCCAAACAGTAAAAAATGTGTCACGTTTTTCAAAGGACAAAATAATTCACTTCTTTAGCCCACTGGTGTGTTGAAGAGAGAATCAACAGCATTTTAAAATTTGAGTACGACGTTTCGCTGATAATTACAATCAGCTTCATCGGGCAAAAATGGTGAAGCTCTCCTATATTATGAATAATATTGGTCGCGAAAGCCTACGTGTTAAAAAGTCCAATTGTGTTATAAATGATGCTGTCGAAGTTCGTGTCGGGCGATGAAGAATTTACGTTGAGAGATACGCCGCTCGCGGTGTATCGTATTCACCGAATGGCCCCTGAAAGATGCCGTCACAGGACTACTTTTGAGGTCGCTGCAATAGACAGTTTATTGTGTTATTCACCCTTTTTATATGCACGGGAAAGATTGCTGGTCGCGTGTCTATCGGACCAACATTTTAAATCTTAGAAATAATCTAACCCATTTAAGAGATAAGAGATTGGGCTGATGTGGTACAGGAGGATTTTTTTTGGGAAGTCATTAGTTACTGGGTTAAGACCATCAACTTTCCATGCTTGAGAACCTGGTTTAATCACAGATAGCTTGCCCGGTTTCTCATCCGGGAGAAGCAATCGAATCGGCAACCTTTGGCTTGCAACGTCCAGCCTGCTAACCATTGCACCACGACAGAGGCTGCTCTGATACGCGTTTCATGTGTCCTTGTTCACCAGTTGCCAATGCAATTTTTGGTAAATTTTCTAAAAACACAGCAGCAATGAATGCATTTCATGCCTCGGATGTTAATGGACTCACATAATTAAACTGACGAGTGACTGGGCCATGCTTTTTCTCCCAAAAAGTAGAGCTGGCGATATGAGAACTAAGCACAGAGGAGCCAGTTTCGGTGTGGGATGATGTCAATGGCTATTATTGCTCAGGTTGTTTGATTGACCTCTGCAGTATTTTCGATGGAGCTGAATATGACGCGTAACCTGCATATTTTAGTTACATTCCTCTCCAGAAATTATGTTTAATTTTATTCGTTAGTCTTTCACGACCAATGTGCTTTAAGCGAGAGCTGAGCTTGCTTAACACCTGGTGATAATGGACGTAGTCTCCAGGTGAAATGTAACAAAAAAATGTAAACATTTTGCTCGCCTAATTCTAGATTTGAAGCTTTCGTGACTGCAAGGATTCATACTCTTAGGTTTTTTCGGTAAAGTCACGTAGGTAAAAAATAATAATAAAATGAAATAATAATAAATGAAAATAACTCAATTAAATCACGACGTTTCGGAGGCAACACAAGTCTCCGTCTTCAGGTGGGACCGTCACAGCCAAATTTAGTGTATCAAGTGAAGAGAAATCCAGGAGACAAAATCTTAATACTGGTTCAGGGGAGGGGGGAGGAGCTTTTCTAAATGTGGCAGTCAGGGACTGGGCGGGGCTAGAAGGGAAGGTACAGCTGATACACCTCGGCAAGCTTATCTAAATTTTGCTCGCCTTTTCAACATCCGTCCTCCGGTTTGTTGATGAGCCACATCAGTTGGCATATTTGCGCATGACGTGACAACTTTGGTATGGCTCTGTCGGGTGGTGGAGGGTTGTGGGCCGTCCATAAATGACGTCACGCACCTAGACATTTGTGACGATGTGTGACGAGGGTGGGGGGGGGGTGATAATGTGACGTCACATCAAAATGCGCAACTTTAAATAAATATAGAATTGTTATAACAACACTAATTTTGATTCATTTTGATTATTAACTATTTGATTATTTAAATTTACTAAGGTCACCTTTTATTTATTCCATGAAGGAGCATTTTGCTTCTCCATGGGAGAATGGAGAAGCATAAATTTAGATTTCTTTTTTAATGATTGTTACTAAACATTTTGATTCTAATGATTCTACAAGGGCTTTTCATTCTGTGGAACTAATACAGTATATGATTGCTATAATTGTACTCTCTATTTGGCTTCGTTCTGCTACGAAGTTTCAAGTAGTTTTTTAATAGTTATAATTACTTTTAATATTTTATAATCACAGTATAGGATAATTTCAATATAATATTATGAACATCTGCAGTTTTAGTTAGACGTTGAATATTTTCAAGTTAATTTTATGCTAAATTTAAGCTTTCCAACGCCTCCTTTTTAATGTGTTTTCTCCGACAGAGTTCAGCACCACATTAAATACGCACTACAATGACAATAGTTTAAAGCGATTTGAAGCATGTTTTTTTTGGGGGGGGGCAGAGCTTTGTGACGTCATATTTGAGGGGGGTCTGACTTTGTGACGCCATGTGTCGATGGAGGGGGGGGGGTAAAAAATCCTCCAAAATCGCATGACGTCATTTATGGACGGCCCCTTATCGTAAAAAATCAAATGACATTGTACCTGCACTATGATCTAACATATTTTTTGCTATTACGAATTATATTCCGTGTATGTTTAAAACTTTTAAGTGCAAATTCACATTCTTGGCATTGCAAAAGCCACGCTGTTTCATGCGTTTCAAAATATGTTGAACCTATCTACGTGACTTTACCGAAAGACCCAAAGAATATTTCAAAATATGTTGAACTTGTTTGGCAACGTACGTAGCCAACCGTGCGAATCGACGGCACGGATGGGCTGATCTTGTGTCCGACCCGACTGAATGGACACGTCAAGGGTCACAACTAAAACACGTGTGGGATATTGCAAACGAGCCATGGGATTTCGATTTAAAGCTTTCGTGACTGCAGGGATTCATCTTCTTGGTTCTTTCGGTAAAGTCACGTAGAAGGGAAGTAATACAATGATAAAAATAAAACATAATAAAACAATTCTCACGACGTTTCGGCCACAACGCAAGCAGCTGTCCTCAGGTGAAAACCAGGTCTGTCGAGGCGACAGCGTCTAAATGAAACAGCACACGTGCTTGGATCACATATATATAAGCTGGGTTGGAAGGGGGGAAAAGGGCGCCTTGCGTTGTGGCCGAAACGTCGTGAGAATTGTTTTATTATGTTTAATTTTTATTATTTCCCTTCTACGTGACTTTACCGAAAGAACCAAGAAGAAGAGCCATGGGATGGTGAGCAGATTTCCTCATGAGTGTGGGCCCTCTCGTCCCAACAGAGACCCCATGTAACTCCACCTTGGTTCAAATCTCTGTACACGTGCAATGCAATTTTCAATGAACGTCTATTATGCTGCCTATAGCCCATTGGACGTCATGATTTTATGCGGATTTTAAAGACTATATGCTTATTTTAGCACAATTATATATTTCCCGGTACGAAAATAATACATTGCAAATGAAAACTGTATGTATATACAGATACATAATGTATTGATTGCAGTATTGCACTGATTGCACTCTGAATTGTATTGCTGTGTTATAATCCAAATATATATTTAATAAATTTTACAATATGTGTCTCACTGCGTTGCATTCAACCGAATGCTGTAGCTTATATCTTCATAATCACCGTCAGGCATGGCCAATCCACTGCTGGATGAATGGCTCCCACTAACTATTGTGGTTGCCACTTGCAATGAAATACACAGACTCCTCTACGTATGAACGAGTTAGGTTCCAGAGGTGTGTTCGTAAGTCGATTTGTTTCGTAAGTACAACTTTATTTCCGTCGATTTCAAGCACGTTGTACGGCGTTCACACTAAACCCGGCGGAATGGCTTTAAAAGTTGTATCATCTCCTGTAGATGCCACTGGTTCTTCACGTTCTGCAGATGTAGATGCCACTGGTTCTTCACGTTCTGCAGATGTAGATGCCACTGGTTCTTCACGTTCTGTAGATGTAGATGCAACTGGTTCTTCACGTTCTGCAGATGTAGATGCCACTGGTTCTTCACGTTCTGCAGATGTAGATGCCACTGGTTCTTCACGTTCTGCAGATGTAGATGCCACTGGTTCTTCACGTTCTGCAGATGTAGATGCCACTGGTTCTTCACGTTCTGCAGATGTAGATGCCACTGGTTCTTCACGTTCTGCAGATGTAGATGCCACTGGTTCTTCACGTTCTGTAGATGTAGATGCCACTGGTTCTTCACGTTCTGCAGATGTAGATGCCACTGGTTCTTCACGTTCTGTAGATGTAGATGCCACTGGTTCTTCATGTTGTGCAGATGTAGATGCCACCACCGCCATCTATTGGCCGGCGGTTGAACTTACGACTCTCGGTCCGAACAGGCAACTCGACATACGGACAGGTTTGTTCGTATCTCTGAAAGTTCGTAAGTTGAAAGTTCGTAAGTAAAGGAGTCCTGGGTAAGCTGGACCCTGCAACCTACAGCTGACTTGATTTCATCGCTCCATCTCCTCTGGGTACGTATTTTATAGATCTTGACTTAAAGCTTATTAAAGCTTGTATTTATATTCTTCTTTCTTTCGGTAAAGTCACGTAGAAGGGAAGTAATCAAATAAAATAAAAAATAATAAAATGTATTGTTTTATATTTGTATTATTTTATTATTTCCCTTCTACGTGACTTTACCGAAATAACCAGAGTAAAGCTAAAAATATTTTTTATTATTATTTTTCTATCTACGTGACTTTACCGAAAGACCCAAATAGTACTTTATAGATGTCCACGCGAGAGAAAAAAAAACGAATTTATTGGGTTCTGGATGGTCCTAGATTTAAAAAGAAATGAATTAAATATTTAAATGGATAATATTACCTACAACGGATAGGCACCGCTCGCCCCTCTGAGCCACGCGATTGGTTGAACGGCAGCAGGCGACGTGTTTCCATTGGCTAGCACGTCGGCGTCGCTTATGTGTGGTGGGAAATATAATAAAGGGGAGGCACTACAGCTGACCAGCGTCCCGATTCAATTGCGGACGACTGCGCATGCGCAAGAGTTAACATAATTTATTCAAAAGAGAGAGCGTGCGATAACTGTATTAAAATCGTTAAAAAACGAAGCCTTTCACTTGATATAAAATATCTAAATGAACGTACATATTGTTTAATGAATGTAAAAATGTATTCCCTTTTCTTATATTTAACGCGCGGTGAAAGTCTCCCCATAGCGTATAGGTACCACCGAGTTCGTTACTATATAAACGCGGGGGGGGGGGGGTGCGCTCACGATACAGTGAGTACGAGGCGACTTCAAGGTTGCCGGGTTGAGAAGTCCCCAGTGACTGACAGTGACCTCGGTTGCAACTCCCCTCAAGATGCCTGCTATTGTTTTACATCAACTCTGTTGTTATACAATGGTAATTGCGTAAGTCCGATTTAAAAATAAATTGCTTAATTCATTTACATGCAGTGGCGCGCTTACCGTTCTCTAAAATTTGCACACTAACCCTGTGTGTGTTTTTTTATTGTTTATGTTGTAACTTGCTGAGCCGCACACCACTGGACGTCTGAGCTAAAGAGCTTTGCAGCTCATCGGATTCCTGCCCACCGCCCCCCCCCCCCGGTATGAGAAGTGTAACTTTTCAAACGATTTAATGAAGGCGTTTATGCGTACGTTTCTATATTTTTGGCTTTAAATAAGCTATCGGTCCACGTGGACATTCTAAGCCTATTTCGTCTAAAAATATTCAAGAAAATTACATTTATATCGTGGGCCCCGTGGCGTTATCGGCGTTTTCGCACCAAATACTGTCGTGTATCGGGGGTCCAGATGTCTTGTGACCCCCATTTAATTCTATAAAACAAATTTGTTTTAAAGTAAACTTTTTTTGATTAATATGCAAAGGGAGGGAGACATGTTAGGGGTTAATTGGGGAGGTCACAAGACATATAGACCGCTCCTGTACAGTAGTAACTCAATCTCTGTGGCATCTCTGATGAAGACGCCTCCATTGTCGATTTAACGACCTCGCCCAACGAGTCGCACTTTCTCGCTGGTGCCCGCACCGCACGTGGTGGTGGGGGGGTGGTGTTGTTGGTGGGGGGGTTGGTGGTGGTGGTGGGGGGTTGGTGGGGGGGTGGTGTTGGTGGTGGGGGGGTTGGTGGTGGTGGTGGGGGGTTGGTGGGGGGGTGGTGTTGGTGGTGGGGTGGGGGGTTGGTGGTGGGGGGGTTGGTGGTGGGTGGTTGGGGGGTGGTGGGTTGGTGGTGGGGGGGTTGGTGTTGGTGGTGGGGGGGGGTGGGGGGGTTGGTGGTGGGTGGGGGGGGTTGGTGGTGGGGTGGTTGGTGTTGGTGGTGGGGGGGTGGGGTGAGGGGTTGGTGGTGGGGGGGTTGGTGTTGGTGGTGGGGGGGTTGGTGGTGGGTGGTTGGGGGGTGGTGGGTTGGTGGTGGGTGGGGGGGTTGGTGGTGGGTGGGGGGGGGGTTGGTGGTGGGTGGGGGTTGGTGGTGGGTGGGGGGGGGTTAGTGGTGGGGGGTTGGTGGTGGGTGGGGGGGGGTTGGTGGTGGGGGGGGGGGTTGGTGGGGGGCGGGGTGGGGGGGTTGGTGGTGGGGGGGCGGGGTGGGGGGGTTGGTGGTGGGGGGCGGGGTGGGGGGTTGGTGGTGGGGGGCGGGGTGGGGGGTTGGTGGGGGGCGGGGTGGGGGGGCGGGGTGGGGGGTTGGTGGTGGGTGGTTGGGGGGTGGTGGGGGGGTTGGTGTTGGTGGTGGGGGGCGGGGTGGGGGGTTGGTGGTGGGGGGGTTGGTGTTGGTGGTGGGGGGCGGGGTGGGGGGTTGGTGGTGGGGGGGTTGGTGTTGTTGGTGGGGGGGCGGGGGTGGGGGGGCGGGGTGGGGGGTTGGTGGTGGGCGGGGTGGGGGGTTGGTGGTGGGCGGGGTGGGGGGTTGGTGGTGGGCGGGGTGGGGGGTTGGTGGTGGGCGGGGTGGGAACCTCCCGCGCTCGATTTCCTGTCCATGTTGCACCGCGGGCGCGTTGTGCCGTGACCCTCTCACCCCCCGTGTGCTGCGGCGTTTTCGAGCGATCCACGACTGAGACGTCCGCCCACCAGGGAGAGGGGGGAGGGGGGCAGGTAAGAGGAGGAAGAAGAGGACGAAGAGTGGGACAAGTGAGGAGCCGCATGCCAGGGCGGCGTTCTCTTTGTGTGCCAGTGTCGTCTTCGTCGTGGTTCGGGCAGCGAGGGAGGGAGGGAGGCAGGGAGTCAGTCTCGTGTCCCGTCCTGCGTGGTCCTCATTCATCGGCGGCGATTGGCCCCCAAGGCGAAGCGAGAGAGAGAAGCGAGTTCCGAAACAACCACCTCCCCCCCACTTCCATTCCTCCTGTCTAGAGGTGAGTGACTGACTAGCGGTGAGGAGTGCCATGACAATGAGACGTGTTTGACAAGAAGTTGATTCTAGTACGCGAGTGTTTCACAAGAGGGAGTGATTGACAACATGAGCATAGTGACAAGAGGGAGTGTTTTGACAGCTTAAGAGTGTCTGACAGGTGAGTGAGACGAAGGGAAAGTGACACGAGTGTTTGACACGAGTGTTTGACACGAGTGTTTGACACGAGTGTTTGACACGCGTGTTTGACACGAGTGTTTGACACGAGTGTTTGACACGAGTGTTTGACACGAGTGTTTGACACGAGTGTTTGACAGGACACGAGTGTTTTGCAGGAGCGTGTTATCGAATCGGCGTGGCCGTCAGGAGAGTGTTTTATAGGAGAGTGTTTCAGAGGAGGATATGCAGTATCAGGAGGACAAAACAGTGTTTGACAGCACGAGTGTTTGACGGTGCAGTACTCTTTGGCAGGCGGAGAGTGTTTCAGAGGGGGTGAGTGTTTTACAGCATAAGAGTGTGTGGCAGGACCAATACACCCCCCGTATAGCCCATTAAGGTTATACGGGGGCTGTATTAGTATGGCAGGAGATGGGTTTTTGAGAGGAGGAGGGAGAGTGTTTATGGAAAGTGTCTGGAGTGTTTGACAGGAGAGTTCCGTTTGACAGGACCGAGGATTTGACAAAGAGGATAGTGTTACAGAAGAAGCGACAGTCTTGACAGAAGAGAAGAATAGTACCAAGGGAGAGAGCCTTTGGAGGTGAGTATGACAGAAGAGTCACACACTGAGAATGTTTAATTCAATATAGCAGCGAGTGCCATTGTAAGCCTTGTTATAAATAGCATTTCAAAATTCTACTGTGATGAATAATGTTGTTTTGGATCGCCTACAAGATTTCCATTGCACACAGCACTGGTTGTTATACAATGTCCCCGCTTTTTGCTCTGTGCAAATCCCTTGAAACCCTCCCCTTCCCATGTAAAAAGTTCCTGCCGCTTTGGCCGGGTTCCCATTTGAAGGAGAGCTCGCTGCAGCTCACAGCGGTCCTTGCACCGCCACCGACTGAACCGACCGTCGTGCAGGAGACCTGGACGGGAGGAGATGGCGCTGAACGTGGCTGGTGTGGTGGCCGTCCTCGTCTTCTACATCATCATCCTGGTCACGGGCGTCTGGGCCGCTCGCCGGTCCAGAGCCACCGAGAGGGGTTGCCAGGCCGGGCAGAGCGAGATGGCCATGGTGGGAGACCGCAAGATGAGCGTCATCGTCGGTGTCTTCACCGCCACCGGTACGCTACCTCAAGACGGCCCCACCGGGAGGACGGGGGCCATCCGGGTAGGGTTGCCACCTTGTACTGGTTTTCTCAGGATTCGCCTCCGATTTCGTGTTGCTGTTCTGGGAAACCTGTAAACCTTCCCTGGACATCATGGGACCTGCTTTGCCAGTACCAAAATATACTAATAGGGTTTTTCCCCTTTTTTTCCTGGCAACAAAACTGATACCTTTTGCAAGGAATCATGCTTACATTAACCACAATACTTGCAGTCAAATGCAAACAAAAAACAATACTCTGATCATTTATGCATTGTCCTTGAAACCGATTGGTCCACACCAGAGACAGCTTTCTTTAGAGCCTGGTCTCATATGGTGTTCGACCAGATGACGCCAAAAGGCGCACAGTTCAAAGACAACGCACTATCAGAGTAATGAGAGCTTGGGGTGAGCAGCTACATCATGGGACCGCCTTTGCCAGTACCAAAATGTACTAATAGTAAGCATGATTCCTTGCAAAAGGTGTCAGTTTTGTTGCCAGGAAAAAAAGGGGAAAAACCCTATTAGTATACTTCCCTGGACAGTGAACGTCTCGGGTCTCGTCAGTTGCGTAATATTCCACCACTCAAAGAACGGGGTTTCTGTATGGGATAGAGTGTTGCTAGATTGCACCCGTGGGATTTCTGGTTCCCTTACACATTTAAACGCCACGGTGGTGAGATGTTAACGACCTCGCCTGGTATACAGGAGGTCGTGGGTTGGATCCCAAACCTGATGCCGGTATATTTGGAGTTGCGTGTTCTCCCCGTGGTCGCATGGATTTCTCTCCGACTCCTCCAGTTTGTCCCTCCACATTTAGAATAAAAATGCATTTGGAGTATTTGGCTGCTATTCATTTCCACATCATAAGCTTACTTCGTCGAACGATCATTTGTGGCCAGGTCACTTCTGAAACAGTGCTATATAGCTCAGTCGGCCTTACCTGGTAAAATTAAAAGTTTAGTTTAGAAAACATCTTCATATAAAGAGGACCACAGAACTTGAGCAATTGTTTGTAGCGCCGACTCACCGCCTGGTTCCTCAGTGATTGTGAGAGATGCAATTTGAATGAAGGACAGCTATAGCTCTTCCCAAATATGAACTAGCCTCAATCCTGTCATTGTATAGTCAAATCTGTTATCTGGGGGAATAAATGTATAGCCCCCCCCACCCCTTCAGATGGGGGAAATTCCCTGCCATCAAATTGAACCCTGCTTATGACAACGCACTGACTCGTTGTTCCTCTATTGTGAGATATTCTTCCCACGATGTGTCCGGGTTATCTTGTACATCAGACGTGACAACTCTAGATCAGGGCGGCAGGCCAGGGTACACAGCTGTGTGTGAGGGAGAGATGTTAACTACCTCACCTGGTATATAGGAGATCGTGGGTTTGATCCCAACCCTGACGATGCCTGCTGTATATTTGGAGTTTGTATGTTCTCCCCGTGGTCATGTGGATTTTTATCCGGGTCCTCCGGTTTCCCCTCCACGTTTAGAATCGACGTGCGTTTAGAGTATTTGGCTGCTATAATTTTCTACAGTGATAAGCCACTTCAGTGGGCTATCATTTGTGATTGCCAGGTCGCTTCTGAAAAAAGAGCTACAAAGTTCAGTGGAAGTTTACCTGGTCAAAAAAAAAAGTTTTAATTGTAGTTTTAGTTTATAAACACAGAGCACCCTTACAATGTGTCGATCAAATTGCGGTGAATATTCTCTCGGGGTGCGTTCCCTCCTTTGGCTTCCAGTCCATCATTAGTCTCGACCACTGACCATCATCCCTGACTATAACGTGTCCTGCCCTAGCGCAATAAATGAAACGTACCTTAAAGTACAGCAGCCTAGCTTAAAAGAAAACCTAATGCGGCCTTCCCTGTGTGTGTGCGTGCGTGCAGCGACGTGGGTGGGAGGCTCGTACATTAACGGCACGGCGGAGGTGGTGTACACGCCTGGACTTGGACTGGCCTGGAACCAGTTCCCCCTGGGCTGCTCCCTCAGCCTCTTCTTCGGTAAGGGGTGGAATGGCGGGGGGGAGCAGCGGTGTTTTGCAACAGCGAGCTCCGCATTGAGGCACTCATTGCGTGGCGAACGGGGCCTATCAGACAAAGACGGCGGTCACCGCATCGCGTGGCGCTTTCAGATGCACTCCTGTGGCCGTCTGGAACGCTCTTCCTTCCGATATTAGGAAGCCGCGAGAGCTATGCACTTTTAAATCATCATCTAGATTGAAAACTCGTTTCTTTAGAACTGCTTTTTGTGTTTTGTTGTCCTTCTCCCGTACCTCCGATTAGCACGGTTGGCTATGTATGGTGCGAAAGAAGTTCTACATACATACAGAGCAACTTGTGACGATGTAGCAGTGTCGTAGGTTTTATACCAGCATCAGTGTCGGCCTCTTGTCAGAATCCGAAGAATATTTTCTTTATTTAATGTGTTCTCCCTTGCATCTGAATGTCCTTATTAAGTTCAGTTTGTACACATTACAAATTGAATAATGAATGAACGCGATCGGCTGGTGCAGTGGGACCGACGACACAATCCGTAGCAGCAGCTCTTATGAGAGATTGAGAGTTGCGATCCCACTCCCGACAGACATAAGATCCGTTTTTTTTCTTTTAACATTCAGGATCGTACTACAATTGTAGCCTGGCGGACTTGCCACAATTCTTAACAGAACTTTCTGTGTTCTATCCCCCGGGTAACTGATATGTATCCCTGGCTATTGTAGCACGTGGATTGGTGGCGAGCGATGGCTTTTTTTACTTTGGGCAGTCATTGGTCGTCGGGGCTGAGAGACAGTCAATTCAATGCGCTTGACCTGGTTTAACCACGTGCGGCTGAAACGTGGATTCAAACCCAGATTCTCTGCGGCGGTGCTCATTGGTCATTTGAGAAGGGTGACGCTTGCTATGTGTTAATGGTTCTCCCTTATCCAGTGTGTCATTGAAAGCCAGTGGCTAGGTGCCACTACTGTAATGTACACACAACTGAACTGTGCAAAGTATAGGGCCTATAAGAAAACAAGGGCGTTTCTCCAGTTCAATCATTAACCATGAGGTGTATGAATTTGCGGTCACTAAGTGCTTAATCGTGTTTCAACAACGGACCTACCAATGCGTTATAGAATGGAAAAATAAAGAAACGTCCTACGTTCGTCACGTAACCAACCACTGCCCATCATTGTACGTACCAAGGCCGTGATTATAATATATATTAGGGGGGGACCCCCAATATTCAAATATGCTTAAAATGCCCCCCCCCCCCCAATATATTGCTATAAAATAGATTTCTGTTTATATGATTGTGGTTATGGTTGTACTTTATTAATCCAGAATCTCTGCCATTACATACAATGAAACAAGAAAAGGTAAAAAAGAAAAAACAGAGCAATGTAATACAATACACTATTATACATTATTGTAACAAAAAATTATAAAAAGTCCATCCTATGTGTTAGTGAACTTTTTAATATTTTAGGCAGGAATTGGTAGGAAATTAATTTTCAAATTTAGATTTTTTTTCTGGGGGGGGGGGGGGGACCCCAGACCCCCTGGAAGATTTGGTCCCCCCCAATGTTGACTCCATGGCTATGGGCTTGGTACATACACTCGCAGAGGAGGTTCGGACACTGTACACCAAATGCCTCCTGACGTAATCGAATAGTTTACCAGATTCAACACGCAGTTTACATTGTTTTGTCAGTTGCTTTTCAAAACGGTGTACAAAGAAAGAAGTGAAAAAGAGCATTTCTGGGTGTGTGGTTAGTCCTGATCATATTCCGATGGATTGTGGTGATATTTTTAGTCGCGATTCGATTCCAGAATCGATCCTGTTTTTATGCCCTTGCAGTTACTGCATAATTCTACAGAGGCTGCAGGGTTTACATAAACAAATTACGCACGACGTATATTAATTGTAAATCATCGACTCCCTTGGTTGGGTGGGGGTAAAATGGTTCTATCGGCATCATGCCATGAGACAGAATACACTGTGTAACAAAAAAAAATTCCTGGGTAAGAAGTGTTATTTTCTAATAGCTTATGCCTCAAAAGTACAGAAAATGGCTATTATTCCCCACAAACTTTGCTTTTGTTAGCAGGACAGTGATATTTTGAAATGTACCTATTTTCAATGAGAAAACGTGGTGTGCATTTGTGTCTTTCGTTCACAGAAAGTCCTGGTCACAAAAGCAAAGTTTGTGGGTGAATAATATCCATTTTCTATACTTTTTAGGCATGCGCAATAAAAAAATAACACTTAGTACCCAGGAACAAAAATTGTGGTACATAGTGTTATCCATTCTGAACTCACAGACAAGTGTGTGTATCTCTCTCTGTTTTAGAGAATGGCTCAAAGAAGGGTGATATCATCTTCAGATAACCTTCAAAGTAAATTTTCATGTAATCCACACAACTCGAGGGAACATTTTTCTAAAAGCCTTGCCACAGATATTTGTCACTTGGCAGGGCATATATACTGTACGCATATTCTCTGGGCTGTAATTCGAACAACATTTGATCTGATGGATGTCATTTACACATTCCTGCGGAGGGAACTGTAGGAACGTTGGATTGCTCGGTCAATGGCCAGGGTCAACGGCGGCGTGGTGTATTCCTCAAATATGCCCGACTGTGAGGGCGGGCACAAGCCGGCGTGAGTAGGTTAAACGTTGAGTTTTATAAGGGCACCACGGGGTGACCAGTCCCTCCCCACCCAGCCCCACCCTCCCCACCCCCTACCCAGCCCCACCCCTCCCACCCCCCACCCAGCCCCACCCTCCCTACCCAGCCCCTCCCCACCCAGCCCCTCCCCACCCTCCCAACCCAGCCCCTCCACACCCAGCCCCTCCCTCCCCACCCAGCCCCTCCCTGCAGGACGGACGGACACAATAATCCCCTGTGGGCTGGTGTAACCAGGAGGTTCCTACCAGTATCATTTATGTGAAGTAAAATGCTGCCTAGACCATTAACTCGCTGTACTTGACATCCCCGTTCAATCACGGGTGGCTGATGCCTAGGTTCAACGTACACGTTTTCAGCACTGCCCCCCCCACCCCCCCGGTCACCTACAGAAAAGAATCAGTTCTGAAACGTCACAAATGCTTTGGCAGATGAATCGACGCTCGCCCAACAATCATCGATCATTTTAACGCGTCGTTGTTGCGTGCCTTCTCAGTGGCCCGCGGTGGCTCGCAGTGGCTCGCAGTGCCGATAACGAGCTGAAGAGAAACGTGATGGTGATCGTGTGGGTGGCTCGAATCTCGTCCTTAAGAGGCGATTGTCCCACGGGTCACCTCGGCCTTAGCTTTTCCGCTTACACAATACAACTGTAAATCCTCTGCTGATAAAGTTTAACTTTGGCCTATGTACCTTAAGCTGTAGAACTCCAAATCGAAGCTGTGATTACCCTGAGCCTAAAGCTGCTGTGTGTGTGTGTGAGCATGTGCGTGTAGATGTGTTCAATTTCCAGCCTTGCAAAAATTGGGGGGGGGGGGGCTATCATACGCCCCCTCCCTACCTCCCTCCACTTGATTTAAAGCTTTCGTGACTGCAGGGATTCATCTTCTTGGTTCTTTCAGTAAAGTCACGTAGAAGGGAAATAATAAAATAATAAGAATTAAACATAATAAAATTATTCTCACGACGTTTCGGCCACAACGCAAGCAGCCGTCCTCAGGTGAAGAACAGGTCTGTCGGAAAGACAGCGTCTGAATGCTGTCTTTCGCTGTCTTTCCGACAGACCTGTTCTTCACCTGAGGACGGCTGCTTGCGTTGTGGCCGAAACGTCGTGAGAATTATTTTATTTATTTGTATTATTTATTATTTCCCTTCTGCGTGACTTTACCGAAAGAACCAAGAAGATGAATCACTGCAGTCACAAAAGCTTTAAATCGAAATTTATCCTGCATACCAGGCGAGGCAGTTAACATCTCCTAGCCACCGTGGCGCCCCTGGTCGTGCAAAAGCCGCAGGCAATAACATCTCTAACTCCGTTTCTCTTGGATCTCGGTGTAATTCCAAGATATTCCCCCTTGGACGTTGCTCTGCCGAGCACATTATAAACACACTGTAGGAATTCTAGATTTGAAGTTTTCGTGACTGCATCAAGTGAAGGGAGCTTTGTCTCTTAGAGCTCTCTTCACTTGATGCAGCAATTTTGCTGTGACGGTTCCTCCTGAAGACGGAAGCTCGTGTTGCCTCCGAAACGTCGTGATTTAATTTATTTTCCATTTTTTACCTATTGTGACTTTACCGAAAAAACTGTAGGAGCACATACACACACTGTAGCAACACATTATAAACACACTGTCGGAGTGGGGTTGTAGGGTTCGGTTAAGACTGGATGACATCATACTTGGCAATCTTAGTAAAAAAAATATGTTGTGAGAACCACTTATAACATGTCCAAACATGGACATTTCTCCCACGTAATTGACAGGCATGCCAGCCTGATGTCACGCATATGTGAATGAAAATTGGCATCCAAAGAGGATGCCATCATTTATGCTCCATTTCCTCTAAGACTCAATGCACTTTCCTTGCTGTTCATTTCGATCTAACACAAGTTATCGTTCTTGCGTTGTCTAGGTCACCCATGCAAAATTATTTGCCAATTGGCTGTTCTTCGGCTTAAATGTGTCTTTTAATCCTGGAACACTTGTAAATCTACATACGTGCACGACATTCTTTTGTCATTCCACTGCTGGATGAGGGACCTGTACTCACTCGTCTTGCGGGAGTTTATTTGACCATACTTCACCACGTCGGTCAAGGACACTAACAAGCCCCTCACGGTCTTCCCCGCTACGTGGGTGAAACACAAGGAATGTCGAATACGGTCACGGAACTGCCAAGTCATAACAGCAACATTGGGAATAACCCTTAAATGCTGACGAAGAGGCCTACTGAAGCTCGCTCTTTATCGCGCGTGTTTGCTCAGGAAAGCCGTGCTGTCTTACCTACTTTTGTTTGGAGGGTCCTGCTAAGTTTTCGCTAGCAGTGGGGAGGGGGGGGGGTGCGTGGATGATCCATTGCCGTTTTGCCATTTAAGTAGCATTCTGTAAGTGATTTATCAGCATTGGTATGTTTTGGCCAGACATCAGTTTTACAATGTACGTGGTAATTAAAAAAAAAAGTGGATTAAAGAGTACTGGCAAACCCTGTCTCGAGACCACGTGTGGGCAGGGGGGTTGGGGGGCCTTTTCTGAATTAAGCAACAATGATTAATTTATTTGGAAAATAGTTTGACGATTGATGAGTGTGCTGGTTAATGAGTGTGTAGACGTTCTGAAGAGGGGCTGGTGGTGGGGGGAGGGAGACACTGGGCAGAAAGCCCAGAAAAATGTGGGGCAAAGGGCCTTGCAATCAATGGACCGAGAAAATGTTGGCCACTGACATCGTGGGTGGGGCGGGTGCCGAGTTAACAAGAATCACAGGGGCAGTCGGTACAGTAAAAAAAAATGTGGACTCCACCTGTTCCATCGGCGTGGGATAGAGTGTTTCCCCCTCACCCTCGTGGGTTTCCTCCCGCATTTAAGCACTCCTTAATCGCCCGGTAATGCCTTAGTATATAGAGCAGCGCAGAGCTTTGGCAATTGTTGGCACCAGGCTCGCTGCTTGGCTGTTGCCTTTCCTTTCTCGTCTGTGGCTCCTCCTCAATCCGTATTCCTCTCGAGTTTTTGAGAGTGAGCAAAGATTGTGCTGCACGTTACAAGTTGAAATGATTTTAAATAAAAATAGACGATACATTATATGCCTTCACCGCGAATCTACGTTGATAAACGGTAAATATGTTGTTTTTTGCGTCAATTTATGTCTTGCATTATCTGTGTTTTTGTTTTTCAGTGCCACACCTCTCCGCATTATTACCCTAGATAATTGAGCGTCGTCCGTTTTCATTTTAAGAACTTGCGTGAAGAAATTAGAGGCTTGACTTGCGTGCAAGGGGTTTGCAGACAATTAAAAGCGTTGATGGGCTGACATTTGCCGACGGGGTGGAAGCTCTTAGAGGAGGTTATGACAAAGTTACGTATCATGGATTTAAAAACATATTTATAAACATAACAGGTGGCCACGCGGCTGAGGGTTCAGGACACTGAGCTCGATTACAGCTCTTGGCTGATTGTGTTTATTTTTTTTGTTTGGCGACGAATATCTAGACTGGGTCGTGGGCCTCCCCTCGGTCGACTCAGCCTTAAATGAGTACCTGCTGGAGTGCGTAAACATCACCAGTGGGGAGACAAAGGCAGCCAGGCATGGTGCTGACCATGCATCCCCTCGTGCGCCGTCAATCTCAAGATTTGTAGCACCCCATATTCAGCAAAAAGCTGAGGCAGTAGCGCTGACAGCGCTGTTTTTAGTCCGGTCTTAACCACACTGATTGTCACGGCTGACTGTACTTCAGATGGCAGACAGTTCCAGACCATGGGGCTGTAAATGAAACGCTCCGTTCTGCCGAGTGGATTTTACACACAGCAGAAAGCTGTAGGTCCATAGCAGACGCGCGTAGGTTTCGTGACGGGACATACGGGTGGATAGCATTGCTCAGGTTGACCTTCATAGGTGCTCACTAACAGCACTCGCCCCAACAGTGTTCCCATTTCCCAAAATACTATCTCTTCCCTCCCCTGGACTCTCCACTCGGCCCTTGCCATCGAAAAATGACTATTTTTGTTACCCTTTTTTAAACCGCGTGGAAAGTGCCTTGAGCTAAGGCGCTCTGCAAATACGAAATAATAAACGAGGTTTAAAAGCTACACGGTGGGACCTTTCGTCTTTGTGTCGCACGCTCAGGTGCCCTGTTCTTCGCCAAGCCCATGCGCATGGGCCGCTACGTCACGATGCTCGACCCCTTCCAGATACGCTACGGCAAGTGGCTGGGGTCGCTCTTCTACATCCCGACGGCCTTTGGGGACCTCTTCTGGGCCACCGCCGTCCTCACCGCCCTTGGTAAACGCCCGCGCCGTGTCGCACCAGTGGACGTATTCGTGCTATTTTTGCCCACCGGGACACCCGAGGTGAGCCATGCCGGGACTGTGCCGAGCCAATCGGGTGCGGCTCAAAGAGCCACCAGGTTTTTTTTTTCTTCCCCTTCCCACTGCGCAACCCGAGCAGAGACTTTGTATGAGGTAGCAGGACATTGCCCCCCATGAGACTGCTGGAGGTCGCACAGGGCTTACGCGTATCGTCACCGCACACTCTGCCACGTTGTTCACACGTGGTATAGCGTGGGGTGATGGTTACACGTGGGCGGCAGCTGCCCCCAGGAGTCTTGTGCGTGCAACTGTTCGTGTGCCAATGTGAGAAGGTGACACGGCCCAGCGGTAGTTGCGTTTGCCCCTCTTGTTTGCGGAGGTTCGCGGTTCGAGGCCGCGGCTGCCTTCGTTAATACTGATGGGGTGTATTGACCCGAAATGTACGCGGCGTCGCAGTGGACTTTCCAGATCTCGTGATGTTATCCAAAAGAGGTCGGGCCACGCGGCGATGGCGTCTTGGTCCAATTGTGCCAAATGGGATAAAAATGACCCCGCAAGTCACTTAATGGAAAGAGACAAAGGGCTATTGTTGCCCCCTACTGCAAAAAAAACCCAACAGGATCCAACTGAAAATACAGTAGTTTTAAGACGCAGTGCGGCTTTCCTGGATAAATAAATGTAATAAGAAGAATAATAAAGATTTAATTGAAACACATTCTTAGATAAACATTTGTATGAGAGCCCCATGGTGTATATGGTGAATGGTGCGGTCTCTGTCTTTCACTCGTTCTTGCTGTCCGCTTTCTCTCTCCTTTGAAGAAGGGCCATTTCCTGAAACGTCGCCTATCACAGGATATAATAGTTCCTTTTTTAGGGCAGTGGTATTCATAAATGGGTTGGGATTGTTGTTGTTTGTGTTGTTTTGTGATTAATACTTCCGGTAATTCGGTTTCCTGAGCATTAGAAAAGAACATCCACATGTCATGTGAGAACACTTATTGAACAGCCAAAGATAATTACATTTATGTACCATCCACAACACAGGTTTTTTTGGGTTGGATCGCGTAAATATATAAATGTGTCGTTAAACCCGCCACCACCCGACACAGCCAACTAGTTAGGGTTGTCACGTAAACAAAACGTGCCAATTCGTCACTAGTACAGCACCACCGGTGTGTTGGAGAGCCAAGCCACAACATTTACAATCTGAGTACCGTGTGATGTTTCGCCAGTAATTACAACCAGCTTCATCAGGCGGTAGCCAGATTTGTGGAGAAACCCTCCTGTTTCGGTCCTTAAATAGAGGGGTAGATGTTGATGTATTTACCATGATTGCTTTTGGTAAATTATTATTTTATTGCTGACAATGTTTATTAACGTATTACCTAAGTTATATTGCATTGTGTAATGTTTAGCGTGCTGCACTCTGACCCCGGTGACCTGTGTTTAATCATCGGGCCACAGTTAACGTCAGCGGCTAGCGATAACTGAACTGATCCTCGGAACCCCCCCCCCCCTTGCCCCCACCCACACTGATCAGCGTGGGGAAGTACGGTCAAACGACCCCCATGGCAACATGACATGGGAAGGCTGTCATGGTCCCAATTAGCCTTTTTTAAAATGACTCGCAAATAACTAATTTGTCAAAGCTATGTAACAACACCGCCCCCGACTTCAAAAACTACTTAAGACTATAATCATTTGGGAAACATAGCGTCTTCCTTCTTAATAGCCTTTGTCAAAAGAGTATTGTCAAACAAGTCCCTTGACCGACACGGCAGTGGACTGACAAAGCAATTTTAAATGAATCGTTTTATTTTCTTAAACTTGCTCGACAGCATATCATCGTTTTTCTCTGGCGGAGCCAGAAACGCCTTCCGACTTCTCCGCATATCCCAAAGGTGGCAGCGGCACTTGGTAAATGGCCGTGTCAGTCAGGCAGCGTGACATCGACACTCTGTGCGATGCGGACGTGTGTTATGGATTTTATAGATGCACTGATAGGCAGGCTTACGGCAGGCTTGTGTGGAGTGAATTACAGTCGAAGAACGTTAATAGGTCATCTTTATTTGAGAGTTACTGGAAACTGATATATCGTGATAATATCCATCGCGTGAAGATTAATATCGTATCACGGAAATTGATGTCTCGGCGACCCGAGTGAAAACGCTTCCGAGGCCTACATTGCAGGCTCAACCATCAGCGTCATACTGGACATCGACAGGTCCATCGCGGTCATCGTGTCAGCCTTCATCACCATCATCTACACGCTCCTGGGCGGTCTCTACTCTGTCGCCTACACGGACATCATCCAGCTTGTCTTCATGGTCGTGGGCCTGGTAGGTCACAGGTCTCAGCCAATCGCTGTTTTTGTTCACTCTCAATGTGATTATCCCTTCCAACTAAATTGAAACCTTCAATACATTACCTCTGCCAGCCGGCCTTTCGTATATATATATATGTTGAACTTTTTTGCACTGTACGTAGCCAACCATGCTAATTGGAGGTGCGGGGGAAGGACAACAAACTAAACACAGAAATCTGTTCTAAAGAAATGAGTTTTCAATTTAGATGATTTAAAAGTGCAATAAACACTTTTATGCACTTTTAAACAATTCATAACATGCGCATATTTCTCTAATCGAACGCAATGTTCGATCAAAAACTCGGAGGCGCAGAGCCAGAGTTCGGAGTCCCTCGTACAATGACCTGAACAGGTGAGAGCCTAAATGTGGGAGCCTGAACGGGTGAGAGCCTGAATGGGCGAGATCTTGAATGGGTGAGAGCCTGAAAGGGTGAGATCTTGAACGGGTGAGAGCCTGAAGCAGTTGAGAGCCTGAAAAGATGGCAGGCTGAATGGGTGATAGCCTGAACGGGTGTGAACCTGAACGGATGGGAACCTGAATGGATGGGAACCTGGACGGGTGAAAACCTGAACGGGCGACTGCCTGAATCAGCTGAGAGCCTGAAAATGCGAGTGCCTGAACGGGTGAGAGCCTGAACAAGTGAGAGCTTCAACAGGTGATCGCCTGATCAGGTGGGAGCCTGAGCCTTGAGCTTCTGCTTGAAGGCTGCTGTTCATTTCACCACAGGGAACTCGGGGTTGAGTTGCATTTCACGTGGATGGGAAACCCATAAATTAAACAGTCAAGAGGATATCTCTAATCTAAATAGCTTAAATGAATTAAAATTGTTCTGAATGTTAACAAGCTTAGTAAGGAATGTCTTTATACAATGGGTTTGGATTTTAATGAGCACTGCAGATTAACATTCCGCACAGAGCTCGTTAAATTTACAGCCCCCTGTGGTTGAAAGTGTACTAAATGTACTTTAAAAATGACAAATTATGGCCTTGTTTCTGTTTATTCGACTACTCTGTTGTTTTATGTTTAGATTTTTGTTATGTTTGCATGGAGTGTAATGTCATAATATTTCCAGGCCTTTGTTAGTCCACTGCTGAATGCATGCCGCTTATCGCCGTGTCGTTGTCGGGGTCGATTGACCATACTTCACCACACCGGTCAATATGGGTCGGTGAAGGGTGTGTCCAGAACCATTTTGGATATCGCTTTCCCCTGATGTTACCGTTAGCCGGGGAATTAACTCGGGTAGCCGGGCACATAATAGCACTGCGCGCTAACTGCTTGCGCCATTGTTCCACCCTTAAGTTTTTACAGTGATAAAATACATGAATTAACTTGACCGATGAATACGATGAATGCAACAAACACGTGCACAGTGCAGGTGAGGGTTAATGTCAGCAATTGAACCTTATGGCGGCACCCCGGGGTACCACAGCACCCCGGGTCTCGCATAATGTCCGTGATGCAGTCATTTTTAGTCTGTTGATGGTCGGCGATGCGGCAATCGACTCATCTCGACGAGCTGTACACGATGCACTGTTCTAAGTAGAATTTTTCGATAACGGATTTTGTTATTCCGATGTTTGTCGTTTCGACATCGCGGCGTGGCACTGATTTCGGATTGATTGGTACCCCAGTCGCGGAGTTAAGTTACACCCCTGAACAAAATAGTGTCCCAGAAATAAAATATTTAACTGCCTCGGCCAGTTTGTATTATTTGGTATCCCGGGGTACCGCCATGAGGATCAATTGCTCCGCAGTGCTCCTCCGTAGCTTAGGAGAGGGGAGATGAATGGGGGTCAAGAGTGGTGCCGCTCACACCAAACACTCGTGAGCCGAGTGGGCCCCAATCGGTGCTCGCTCATAGAACCTGCCTCCAGTAGCCTCTACAACTCTTAAGGGGATCTTTGTCCCATGTGACACGTGACAATCTCGTTGCTTTCGACATCACAAACTATTTAAAAAAAAAAAAGACTAAACTTTTTTTTATTTTACGATGTAAGTCCCATTGAGCGACGTAGCTCTATTTCAGAAGCGACCTGGCAACACATGATAGCTCAAGGAAGTGGCTCATCACGTGGACATTTATCGCAGCCATATTCTCTAAACCTTGAGATGATAACTAAAATGATGATGGTGATGATCATCGAGTGTAGTTCCGTGTCGCCTGTCTGAAGTCTTGCCTTCCCCTCCGGCAGGTGGTGTGCGTGCCGTTTGCCATGATGAACCCGGCGGTGAAGAACATTGGCACCACGCTGACGGAAACCGTCTACCAGGAGCCCTGGCGGGGCCGCCTGGAGACCAGGGACATCACGCGCTGGATCGACAACATGCTCTACATGGTGAGGAGCGCTCTTCAGCGGGAGCCCGCGTGCGTTGCCGACGCCACCCGGGAGGAGTCGCGTGTTGACCGAATAACCTTCTGACGACCTCGGACAACTCGCTCAGATTTCACCACCTCGTTACTCACAAAGTGCTTGCCGCAAATGAACCACAATACAGTAAAACCTTGGATTGCGAGCATAATTCGTTCCGGAAACGTGTTTCTAATCCAAAGCACTCGTATATCAAAGCACTCGTATATCAGTTGTGATCACGTGACGCGCGGCAGACAAAGCGTACGTACTACTCGTATTGCAAGACCTTGCTCGTTTATCAAATTAATATTTGTTTAAAAAATTTGCTCGTCTTGCAAAACACTCGCAGACCAAGTTACTCGCAATCCAAGGTTTTACTGTACCTCGCTGATCTCGTCAAGGAGCGATAAACCATCATCGCGCGAAGTCCGGTCACCCTCGCAGCAGCGGCTTTTTGGCTGGCCATCCAACAAAAACTGACACTGCATCGCGCGCTGCGGCCGTCTGGAACGCTCTTCCTTCCCGATATTAGGAAGTCACTGGAGATATGCACTTTAACATCATCTAGATAAAAACTCATTTATTGAAAACTGCTTTTTGTGTTTAATTTGTTATTCTTTGCCCGAATCTCTTATTAGCACGAAAGAAGTTTAACACGCATACGTACAGAACAACTCGTGACAATGTAGCAGTGTCTTAGGTTTCGGACCGGCATCAGTATCGGACTCTTGTTAGAATCCGAAGAATATTCTCTTTAATTTATTCTCCCATGCATCTGAATGTCCTTATTAAGTTCAGTTTGTACGCATTGCAAATTTACGGTGCTAAAGAAGTTCAACAAAGTATACATCGTAATAGGTTTTTACCCTTTTATCTGGCAACAAAACTGACACCTTTATACAAGGGATCATGTTTGCATTAACCACAACACTTGCAGGTCAAAATGCAAGCAAAAAGACAACTCTGATAATGTATGCACTGTCCTTGAAATTGATTGGTCCACACCAGAGATGGCTTTCCTTAGAGCCAAGTCTCATACGGTGTTCGACCAGATGACGCCAAAAGGCGCCTTTTTTGAGACAACAGTCCACTTTAGTTGAGGAGACCGGTGGGTTTGTGCTTCCTGCAGACGCTGGGCAACATCCCGTGGCAGGGCTACTTCCAGAGGGTGCTCGCCGCAGAGTCGGGCACGCACGCCCAGGTCATCTCCTTCATGTCGGCGTTCAACACCCTCTTGCTCGCCATCCCCTCCGTCCTCATCGGCGCGGTGGCCGTGAGCACCGGTGATCAACCCTTTCCCGTTCCGATGGCGTACGCGTACGTCGCTAGATTGAAATAACTTCATCGGTACCGAGGCTCCCACAAGGCCATACGGCAGGGCGCGTGGCACAGTTTTGTGCCAGCTATCATAGCGTGCGGTCGTGTCGCTGCGGTTCTCTGCTGTGAGGACAGTGTCATTAAAAACAACTGCGCTATGCCTCCATAAACAAATTTAACGTTGAGCCGCTTGCGCGTTCCGAGATTCAGCGGCGAATGGGAGCCACCCTCAACTTACAGTCGTCTCGGAACGGGAGAGGGTGAAGGAGCATAAACCATCACGCGAACTCCGGTCATCCTTGCAGCGGCTTTTGGCTTGCGCTCGAACACAGACGGTTACCGCATCGCGCGCTTTCAGATGCGCTTCTGCGGCCGTCCTGAACGCTCTTCCTTCCGATATTAGGAAGCCACTGGAGCGATGAACTATTAAATCGTCCAGATTGAAAACGAATTTCTTTAGAACAGTTTTTTGTGTTTAGTCTGTTGTCCTTCCCCCGGCACCTCCGATTAGCACGGTTGGCTACGTACGGTGCGGAATAATTTAAACATACGTCCATACATTAGTTTGCATTTTCAGCCCTTTGTCAATCCATTGCTGCATTCATCAAATAACATCGTAGTTGCACATTGAGCTAGGAGCCATATCTAATGCATAGGATCCTCGCCTATGAACATCTGGCAGTTCACCAGCATTGGCTCGAGCAAGCCTCACTGCTGATGAGGCAATGAGTGTTGAAACCAATCGCAAGTTTGGTTGTGTTGAAATAACGCCGCTGAACTAATGCCCTCCCAGAATGCCGTGTGGCTGCTGTGGTGTTGAGGGACATACGTGCGATGGAAGCGTCATTTCTGCTTATTTTGTTAGCAATAAAATCAAATCGTATATACAATTGGTATTACGTAAGCCTAAGCCTAAATCATGAAGAAAGTCACCGCCTCCCAAATGATTGCAGTCTTCAGTAGTTTCACAGTAGCGGGCGATGTTGTGGCTTTGGCGAATTTGTTAGTCATTTTAAAATTTGGCAAATTTGGGCCTTGTCAGCCTCCCCGTGCCATTGTGCCATGGGATTGTTTGACCATACTGCCCCAATCTTGATTTGAAGCTTTCGTGACTGCAGGAATCCATACTCTTTGGTTCTTTCGGTAAAGTCACGTAGGTAGAAATAAATTAAAATAAAATAAAACAAATCACGATGCTTCGATCGCAACACAAGCGGTCGTCATCAGGCAAAGGAGTCGGCCTCTAAAGGCAAACCGTTTATAAAGGTTTGGGGATGGGTGTAGTCCAAGTGTATCAACAGCTGTTGATACACTTGACTATACTGCCCCACTCTGGTGAGTCGGTGTGGGTTGCGGTATTTTCGGTTTCTCCTGCAACGCGGTCGTTTTTTGCCAATTTCTATTTGCTCGATTCCTGCACTTCATTTTATTCTGAGACTTTCATCTTGGTCTCTCAAGTTCTCACCTCGTTAAACAAAATCAATTTGAAACTTGAACATGATGACGATGCTCGCCTTCCTGCATAAACGGCTGTGACCGATCCCACGTGCCGCCTGTCGCACGCAGACTGGAACATGACGACCTACGGCCTCCCCTCGCCGCACGAGCGGGGCGAGGAGGGCATGATCTTGCCCATCGTGCTGCAGCACATTTGCCCAAACTACATCGCCATCATTGGCATCGGGGCGCTGGCCGCCGCGGTGATGTCGTCCGCGGACTCGGCGCTCCTGTCGGCTGGCTCGCTGTTCACGCGCAACGTCTACACGCAGATCATCCGCCCCCAGGTGCTGCGGTTAACCAAAGTATCGCCTTCATTCCTGTTTTATTCGGGTCTTGCTGTCAGCGTCGTGAGTTGAAGTGTCCGGGGTCCGGTCGGATTTCCCGCACCTCCGATCAGCGTTGTTGGCTACGTACGGTGCAGAAGAAGTTCAACATGCATGTCTCGTAGAGAAGTGCGTATCAGAGTTCCGTTATCTTTGTTTTGTCCCATGCCATCCCTTGCTCGCTAACCACCGGTCACCGCCTTAACGTGGGAAGTCACCCTAATGAACCTCAAAGAGTCTCTATGTTTATCTTAAGTCGTCACAACTGTCCCAAGACAATTTACCAAGTGTGACACATCCTGAACCGGTACAGGATCTTTAATCATTTAATTACTGTTACGTTATTGGGACAGCGCCCTCCCGCCCCTCCAACTCCTCTAAAACTCATTTTTGGAAATAAGGGATGCGTCTAATCGCGTACGTTTCCACAGCCAGTTCCAGGATTTCACGGACTTCATTCAAAAGCTTTAAGTCAAGATTGGACTTTATTCAAGTTCGCGATTTCCACGATCATCGTGACCGCTCTGCCAATCCCACAGCCTTACTCATCGTCACTCGCTCTTCCGCCGCGGCTCGGACTAGAACTCGGCGTCACCGTATTTCTGAGCGCAGCGCCGCAACCGCAAACAGCAGCTCCCTGACGCGCGCCCTAACGCCGGAACGAATGTCGTTCATCCCTCGCCAGGCTTCGGACCGGGAGTCCATGTGGGTGCTGAGGTCAACGGTGCTCATCACCGGATCCGTGGCCACGGTCCTGGCCCTGCAGACGCAGTCGACCTACAGCCTCTGGCTGTGGTGCGGAGAGCTCACCTACATCGTCCTCTTCCCGCAGCTGTGCCTCGTGCTCTTCCTCAGCGCGTCCAACGGCTACGGGCTCATCGTCGCGTTCTTCTCGGGCCTCCTCTTCAGGCTGACGGGCGGCGAGCCGCTGCTCAGCTTGCCGGCGCTCATCCGCTACCCCGGCTACCACGAGGTGGACGGCCTGGTCCACCAGGCCCTTCCCATGAAGACCATTGCCATGTTGATCTCGCTGACGGTGAACGTCGCCGTGTCCTTCTTGACGAGGCACCTGTTCGTGTCCGGAACGCTGCCCGGCTGCTGGGATTTTTTGAAAGAGTTCACCGGCCCCCCGGCGCAGCCGCGGCCCACCGAGGTTTTCGTGCCCGACGGTGACAAAGAGCAGTTGGAAATGACGTTGGTGGCCGATGAGAAAGGGCAGCTCGGCGGTGAAGCGGATATCAGGCAGACGTGCGCGGGATGACGGCGCTTGGGAAAGCGGCAAGGAATTTTGTAAATAATGTGACGTGCACGATGACCAAATTTTTACACATCTATTTATACTGATCTTTCCTGGGCACCTTACTTTGCGTGGTGTCTGTGTGCTGGTGAGACGTGGGGCCGCACTGGGGCGCAGTGAATTTTACCCAGTAGCAATAATTGACATTTCCACATTCTACATTTCTCTCTCTCTTGTGGCAAGGACTGTACTCTATTCAAGTAATCATTTGAGCAAAACTGGGGCACCGCACACTCAGATTTCGCCGATCAGAATTACTCTGTGCCATAACCGTTGGGCCAAGAGCCCAAAAACCCCCGAGCTCGGCATGTTTGGGGCGAGACGTGTTTGAGTCGTTCGTTTTCCACGGGTGATTAAAGTGGCACGGTTATTGTCTTCAGGAGGACTTTGTTTACCTTCCTTATGCGGAGAAACCAGTGCTCACATACGAGAGAGGCCTTGGAGATTCATGTTTGTCAGCAGTGTGAGAGGCAAAGGTGCACGCCCCGCGATTGCTTACACACGCCACTAGAGGGAGCGTTGAGAGAGCCTCTACAGCAGAGGTCGCAACCGGGTACCCGATACCCGGCTACCCGTACCCGGCCGGGTACGGGTACCCATTTGCGACCCTGGTGCGGCCGGGTACGGGTAAGGAATCAAAACCCGTTTGCGACCTTTGCTCTACAGCGGGTATTTTAGCCTACTCTTCCATCAGTTGAACACGTAGCAGGCTTTCGCAACCAATATTATTCATGAGAAAGGTTTTTTGGGTTAGATCGCGTTATTTATAAATGTGTTGCAACCCTCCACCACCCGACACGGCCAATCAATTAAAAACGTGTCACGTTGACAATAGACAAATAGTTCAATACTTTAGCCCACCGGTGTGTTGAAGAGTGGATTCACAACATTTACAATCTGAGTAGTACGACGTTTTGCATGAAATTACATCCAGCATATTCGGGCGATTTGCCAGGATAGTGAAGCCATCCACGTTCTTCCGGCCTTAAATAGTGCAGGATGACGTCATCATTGTTGAACCCCATCAGGATTCGAGATCAGAGGCGGGGGTCTATGCAATTATGTAATAGATCAGTAATCAGCCACTTAGCATGTGACTCACCTGTAAGGAGTTGCAATATGTGTTGTGTAATACTTAATAATACGCTGCGCTGAGTCTGTCGCTATCACAGCGGTTGAAATTATTTGAATTCTTCTGAATTTCAATTGATTCTCTAACTAGTCTTGGCCAGTAATAATTCGTTCTGCATAACACTTCAACGTGATCAAAATCAATTGAATGTCCTTGTTGGCAAGCATGCTCTGCCACTGTTGACAGCTGTGATTGAGATAATTTAATGTTCCTTTGGTGTTCTTTTAGTCTTATGCTAATGTTAAGTCCCGTCTGTCAAATATAACACTTGCCGCATAAGCAATTGATCCGATATACACCTTCTGTTGATCACTTTGGTAATTCATCTTTAGTACAAGACACTAGTTTTTGAATTTCGTGTACCGTACCAAATCTCACTTTAATGTTTTGCTTTTACAAAGCACGGGCTAATTTGTCAGTAACTCCCGAGATATATGGTATTTTAATTGTTTTGATAATATGATCACTTTCAGCAGTATTGTTCGATCTTGATTTGGCATTCAGTGCTCTGTTAATTTGAGCATTATTGTAGCCGTCCAGTCTTAGTGCTTCTTTAACTTGTTTAATATCTTTCCATAAACTTTCACCATCTGACACTGCCTTTGCCCAATGTATGGCTTTGTTTTGCACATTGAGATGATTTATAAATTAATTAAGTCTATCTTTGAAACAAGAGCACTAGCCTCAAGTACATTAAAACTATATTTTTGGTTTAGATATCTCGATGACACTTGGGTTGTCTGGCCACATGGTAAAGATACACTTAATGCATTTTTAAATAATCTCAATGTGCAAAACCCAGCCGATCAGTTCACCATGGAAATGGAGGTGACCAACATACTCCCCTTCCTGGATATTTTGCTTGGACGCGGTCAAAATGTCAAAATAACACACAACGTTTACCGAAAGGGAATGCACACGGATGCCTATCTGAATGCAGATTCGCATCATCACCCAGCACAGAAATCTTCTCTCATCAAGACGCTCATCGTAAATGTAAATTGTAAATGTTGTGAATCCACTCTTCAACACACCGGTGGGCTAAAGTAGTGAACTATTTGTCTTGGAGAGTGCAGTTGTCAACTGAACGGTAAGTGCAATCGCTGCTCGAACGAGTTTACCAGTGGCTGGCACGCCGGCTTATTCACTTCCGTTTACAATCATCCGTACGATTTTATCGAGTCCAAAACTTCGTATAATATGCAGTTTAAAATGGGGAAGTATTATCGAGGTTGTTTATTTCATTTAGCTTTTTTTCTGTAGTGGGGCCAGGGCCCACGATCCCCTAGTAACAGCGTTCACTTTTTTTCTTAAATCTTCTTTTGTTCTTGTGCGTTTCAGTTGCGTTATCGGCGCCAAGTCACGAGACGTAGACATTTCTGTTTTATACAGCTAAGGCCGAGTTGCTCGGTGATGGGAGGATGCTACTTGAAGAGGACATGACAGAACTACTTCTGAATCACGTCTGGGGGGGGAACACATTTTCTATGCCTTTGCATCGAGTGCCCATTGCTTGTTAATCAAAGCGATGTTCTTCGCTATCGCAGCTAGAATCTAGCGATCTTAAGTCAAAACCACCACTTTATTATCTCGTTTGTGGAGTTGTCGGTGACCAATGCTGAAACGTCACATCACTACACTTGAGAGCCCGGTTATAATCACGGGTGGCCAAGACCTGGGATTTGAACCCCCACTTACTTTATCCAACGTAAACCGAGTCGCCGTGGGGTCATGACGAACCAGCTCGGTTCGGCTTCGGGCACACCAGATTTGTTTTTCCACTACAGAACCTGAGCCGTGCCGTTGATGTCGCACGCGAGGCATATGCAGACAGCCCCCATGTTGTGGAAGGACCCGACTTATGGAAATCCGACCTCACGTAAATGCTCCTGTAAATGTTGTAAAAAAAAAATTAATATGCGGATTTTGTGTGTGTTAGTTATGTAAGTGCATGTCGTGCAGTGCGGTGAGGTTGTGGATGAATACCACGGAGCGAGGTGTAAGGCAGGCTTGGATCAAGGTTCAGTAAATGGAATTTTTTGTTGCGTTACGTAATGCTTTTCCTTTTGTAGCATTACGTAGTTGTTTGTTTTCTATGCTTAGAACTATATTTTCCCCATGTGTCTATTGCTTGTTTTCTTCATTTTAAGTTTATTTCATGAGTTATTCACTGTATATACTTTATTTAACACAATTACCCTTCAATTTCTCATTGTCTCAGCCAACAGCGATCAGTCAGAGAAGTCTAGGCCTAGCCTAATGCACAGTAAACAAACATTCGGAAGTGACCGCTTTCTATTAACAATTCATATAAAAATGTTTTGTGGTATTCATAAACAACTAGATACCGTATATGTTCCATTAGTTTAATTGCGGGTAGTGTTAGGGTAGATATTCGTTGAAATGAAAGAATCACAGGAAGTGCAGAGCGTATGTACAGCGATACAATATAGGTAGTGATAGAAAACGGACGATAGCGTGATGCGTTACTGAAAGAAAACAAACTATAAATCGGCTAGGGGAGGCACAACTACTTCCGGCCATGATATTTTATCGTTGATTTTGGGGGGAATTGTTCAGTTTCCGACGTACGGAAAATTCGGGTTACGGATCGTTCTCGGGAACCTAACCCTTCCATAACCCGGGGACTGCCTGTATAGAGACGCACGTCAATGACGCGGTGAGACACCGTGCCCAAGCGGTGTGCTGGCTCACCGCACACACAATGTACTTTGCAGGGGCGCCACAGTGGCGAGATGTTATCGCCTTCCCCCGCTATGCAGGTGGACGTGGGTTCAAACCCAACCATGGCGCCTGTATATTTGGAGTTTGCGTGTCTCTCTCCCCTTGGTCACGTGGATTTTTCTTCGGTTTTCCCTCCACATTTAGAATCAACATCACGCGTTTAGGGTGTTTGGCCGCTATACATTTCCATGTGATAAGCCACTTCGCTGAGCTATCATTTGTGGCCAGGTCGTTTCTGAAAAAGAGCTAAAGCTCAGTGGGCCTTACCTGGTAAAATACAAAGTTTGTTTCGTTTGATGACCATTATCCTCGCCTCTGGCTTTGTTTGGTCCCGAGCCTGCTTCAGATGTCTTGTAAGGCCAGCGTATATCCCAGTTTGGTTCCAGCTCACCATGGCAAATAGCCAGTGGAAAAAACCACCCGTACCGTGGGGGCCTGGCGCTGGCCTCAGCTTCGGTGTGCCAGTGGACAGACGGGTGTTGGCAATGCCCTAATTCCTGGGCCACCCGGTCAGCTGGTTCAAAGCGAAATTGTAATGAAAACACGCCTGGCAAACTCTGCTATTCACTAAAAATACAGCAAAAACTAACCGTGCGTGCCAGTTGCGGCAGGTGCCAATGTTTCATCGAGACCGAGGTTCTAATTTCGGGGTATAACCAGAATGATGCAACGTTTTTTTTGCCAACAAGTGCCATTGAAAGGAGTACTGAAACCCAAGATTCTTGAAGTGATTACACCACATCCACAATCGGCCAAGGGTGCCTGTCAGCTGCACACTTTGTTGGAACTTCATGACAGCAATCTGACAATTCCAGTCAAACATTACAAGTTCATTTGTTGAGCAATTGTAACCCGCTGTTATATAAACAACACTTCAAAACCTGTTGAGATTTTGGACGGTGCTCCCCCCCCTCCACCACCACCGCACCCCCTTGGCATGCCAACTATTATACTGCACAATAAGTTATACGGTGACACCGCTCTGTTTGCAGTGATGCACAAAGAATAATTCAAACAACTCACTCATTCGCCAAGCCTTGAAAGGAAAACTGTATACTGTAGGCGACGTTTCGGGGAAATGTCCCTTGTACTGTGAAGCAGGTTACTCTGGAAGCACGTGCCTTGAAACAGTGGAGCGTTCCTCTCAACACACATTGGTGTATTCGCCTTTCAAGCTCATCATCATCAGCCATTGTCTATCTACTGCCGGACGAAGGTTTTCGTCGCATGATCACACGATACGTACAGAAGAGAGAACTCTTCTTGTCCACGGTCCTGTTCCCAGTGGCTTCTATTATCCACGGGAGCTCTCCGGTAAAACGAAACAAAAGATGCCTGTTATCCGCCACCCTATTGAACCTTTTTACCCGAGGTTAAGTGGAGCAGATTCGTTCTAAATTGACAACTAATTTCTTGAGAACTGCTTCTTGTGTCGAGTTTGTTGTCCTTCCACCGTACCTCCGATCAGCACGGTTGACTACGTACGGTGCGAAAGAAGTTCAACAGATGTATCCTCCACTTTCCTTGATCCCCCACATTCCTGGTAGGTTCCCCTGTACACGGTGTGGAAGTAACTTAGGGGGCGCCGCGGTGGCTAGTAGATGTTAAATACCTCGCCTGGTTATGCAGGAAGTCGTGGGTTCGGTCCTGACCCTGACGCCTGTATATACATGGAGTTTGCACGCTCTGCCCGTGGTCACGTGGCTTTATCTCTGGGTCCTGTACACATTCAGAAACACGCGTTTAGAGTATTTGGCTGCTCTACGTTTCCGTGTGATAAGCCACTTCGTTGAGCTATTATTTGTGGGCAGGTCGCTATATAGCTCAGTGGGCCTTACCTGGTAAAATAAAACATTTTAGTTTAATGTAGAAAAAGCAGTGTGAGTGTTGCTCATGTTCATCGTATAGGAGGAACTCTAATTATTGCAGCTGACCACAATACGCAACACAATTGCATGCGGTCGACTGCACCAGCCACCCACGCTGCATGCCACGGCCTGTGAATGATAATCGTGGCGTGTTGTGATTACATGGGAACGCAGATTTTGTCCCGAGTGATGGGCTTGTAATGAGAGGGGCACACAGGGTGTGACGAAATCCACTGACCTACCCAGGCCATACCCAACGCCGCTGTGGAATCCACGCATGTGATGCCCACTAATTGACGGAATATAGCGACGCAATCCCAATGACCAAATTAGCCAGAATGTTCCATGGCAGATCTCGGCACATCCTGGACGCTCAGCAGGCGTCTGGCGTTATGTGGTGGGCAGCATGGGGCGGTGCAGCGACATCTGTTGTTGTCCGCTGTGTACTCGACTCGTGTGTGGGTTTTCCCCCATCTCCTTTGTAATTTGCTTTGTTGAATTCGCATAAATGTGAACATTTCGGGTCCCTCATATCCGAGGAACTTCGGGTTTCAATTCGAACCTACGGTTAGAATGAGTAAGATCTAAACTACTATAAGATGCGAATCGGTGTTTTTTTTTCAAAATCAACGTATTAACATGTTACAAAAGAGTCCCCTAGCGCTATACATTCATAGGAGAAGAGTGTTAAGCAAACGTGTCAACCCCTTATCAGTGCCATACCTTACTACAGACAAATTCAGACCTTATTGGTCACCCTGTGCCCCTAATACATCTCAACGTTCATCCTACAAAGTCCCATCACAAGGGAGAGACACAAACAGAGACAAAAACAATGATCTCTGCTTGTCTTCGTCCTTCCTCTGCTTGCGTGAATTGACCTTTACAAACTAAACCGAGTGTCTCTTCGTCCTTTCTCTGCTTGCGTGAATTGACCTTTACAAACTAAACCGAGTGTCTCTCTACCACGTTTCACGGCAACGCTCATCGCTGTCAAGACGAGTTCAGAGTCGCGTGGGAAAATTTGGGTGAAGTGTTTCTGTGTTGTAAATCGATCCACGGTGGCCTTATACAGACGTCATAAACGCGTGTCGCAAATCAAAACTGTCGTAATGTTTCCGAAATTTTAAAATCGGCATTTTTTAAACTGACTTTTAAAACATACATTAAAATTAACACTTACTTGAAGTGATGTTTCACAAATGTTATACGCACAAAAATGTACTTAAATAAAAAACAAATCCGGACAGACAACAGTAAGATACTCACATTTGTTCTGTTTTCGTATAAAATGATGAATGATGATGATAAGACGAGATGGAACAGCATATCGTGTACATATCATTTGGCGAATCGTGAAGTGTCCATTCCTACACATACAATTCTACTACGCGCGTGTCACCCGAGTAAAACATGGCAAGTTGGGCAAACGTTGACCAGACTTTGGCATGTTTACTGGGATCAGTATAACAATCAATTTAATCGTTGAAGCTATGCATCGATTACAATCCCTACTGATTGGGGTCGTGGGGTTCAGTTAACCAGTGCTGATAGCTACATTTGGCATCGCAATCAGGACAAATTGAGAACCGCTGTTAAATTGCGTTGAATAAATGTATTTTATTTGTTACACGTGCGATGGTGGCGGTGATGATGATGATGATCCCGTTCAGCAAGTTGCCCAACTGTTTGTCACGGGATAATTCGCGATGCTGCGTGAGCACAGCAGCAAGGACAAGACAAAAAAGCAACAACAACAAAAATCACGATTTAAAGCTTTCGTGACTGCAGGGATTCATCTTCCTGGTTCTTTCGGTAAAGTCACGTAGAAGGAAATAATAAAATAATAAAAATAAAACATTAAAAAAGTATATATAATGTTAAAAATGTTTTCTTTTATTATTTCCCTTCTACGTGACTTTACCGAAAGAACCAAGAAGAAAAAAACAAAAACCACATCAAGGAATATTACACAACTAGCAGACGAGGTGTAGAACGCTCGTAAACGGAGCGCACGGCAATTTCAAAGCGTGGTAAAGCATTCTCTCACTTCCTCGTGTGTGTTTGGGGTTGTGCCGCGGGCGTTGTCCGGCTCCCAAGATTCTCCGTTCAGTTCCACCGAAGAAGCTCCCTGTTCGTGGACGTCGTGTGTCTCCGAACGGCACGCGTAGCGGTCACAACCGGGAAAACTAATCGGAGAGCACATTCACTCACCGCTTTGGCTGCCTTACAGTCTGACTCGGCACTTTATTTATTATTCTGATGAATCGGCTGGCGTTAAATATATGAAACCTGCTGGGTCGAGGGCTTGGCACGGAACATGTTTTTTTTTGCGCGCTGGTTTTTGATCAACAGAACGTCTTGGGCTCGGCCACCACTCGGCCTCGTCGTCACAGGCATCGGGCCAAGGTGACCGCTGCCACGTGGGGCAGAGCACGTAGACTTCAGCTGGCCCACGCTGTGCCATCACAGGGTCCTCTCTGTATTGGCAGTGGACGGAGGCGCGCGCCATGAGTCACGGATTTCAAAAGAGATTCCACCAGAAGTGCGAACCACTGCTGGCGCCGTGCGTGGGACTAGACCACTCCTCCCCGCAAAACAGTTTTGGACGTATTCTTGGTTCTTTCGGTAAAGTCACATAGAAGGGAAACGATTAAATAATGAAAATAAAACATAATAAAATTCTCACAACGTTTCGGCCTGAGGACGGCTGCTTGTGTTGTGGCCGAAACGTCGTGAGAAATTTATTTTGTTTTATTTTCATTATTTTATTACTTCCCTTCTACGTGACTTTACCGAAAGAACCAATAATATGAATCCCTGCAGTCACGAAAGCTTTAAATCGAAAAGTTTTTTCACGTGGCTAAGAGACAACCACAGCACACACCCAGACACGTGGCGAACACACCAACACATTCACACGGAACACATGCACACGCTTAGCAAACACCATCAACTAACTCACTTGCCAACCTGCACTTGATTTAGGAAGTCACCGACCTACACCAAACCATCCACGCAATCACGCAATCAGTCATTTATCAACATCAACCCAAACGTTAATCCACACCAATTCATCCATCCGCCCACTCACCGACTCAAACACTCATCCACTTATTCGCTTATTTTCTTACTCACCCACCCATAGCTCCACTCATTCACTCACCCACCCACACCTCCGATTCGCACGCTTGGCTGACAGTAGGGTGCGAAAGAAGTTCTGCATACATGCGTACGCCCACTACTCTCTGCCTGGATGTGTTGGCTCGCAATGCCACCGTTCACGAGACGCGGGCTGCGTTCATTCTGAACGGCGTCCGTCACGCACACGTGGGAGGAGAAGCGCCGTCAACCTCTCTCGCTGGAGGAGTGGGGGAGGAGGAGGGGGAGGAGGAGGGGAGGGAAGAACTACGGCTGACCCCGGGTATCGCAATCAAGCGGGGGCGAGGTTTACTACCTCTCGCTGGGGTTACCTCACCATCACCCTCCCAATCATCACCACCACCATCACCCTCCTCCCAATCGTCACCACAACGTCCATTACCACCACCAACGCTCCCCCCCAATCATCACCACCACTCTTCTCCCATCATCATCACCACCACCCTTCCACCATCACCACCACCCTTCCCCATCATCACCACCACCCTTCCCCCATTATCACCACCATCAACTCTCCCCCCCAATCATCATCACCATCACCACCACAGGCGTAGTAACAAGAAGACAACAGCAGAAGCGGGATCAAGCGCAGCGCAGCACGAAGAGCAGCAGGAGCAGCACGAAGAGGAGCACGAGGAGCAGCAGCAGCAGCAGGAGGGTCGCGATGCCGCTGTGCGCGCGGGCCGCTGTGATGGTGGTGGCGGCTCTGGCCGCGCTGCTGGTGGGACGAGTTCGCGCCCGGGACCGGGAGTTCCACGTTGCTGTGCGGGAGGTGGACTGGGATTACGCGCCCGGCGGTGGCAGCGGCGTGTCGCCGGAGCAAGGGTAAGCCGGGCTCCAATTCGTTCAGCAATTCATGTGTTACCGTGTGTCTTTATGAATGACTCATCCTTTTTATTTCTAAAGTCGGGTATTTATCATTCGTGAACGCAATCATGTACAGTCAATTAGCATTCACCAATGAACACGTTCAAACATTTATAAACCATAATATAGGGGTTTTTTGGGGGTTCGATCGCGTAAATATAAATGCGTCGTTAAATCCGCCACCACCCGACACGGCCAATTAGTTGGGGTCGTCGCGTAAACAAAACGTGCCAATTCGTTACTCGTACAGCACGCCGGTTGTGTGTTCGAGTGCAAATCCACAACATTTACAATCTGAGTACCCCTATCATCCCCCGCCGCCCCACCCCGCCAGCCATTCATTCACATAAATGGAATGTGCCATCTATTCATATTTTTTGGGAGATCTGCAATCCATTGATTCGTATTGACGTGGCGTGCCATCCATCCATTCATATTGAAGAGATGCGCCACAGGTCCATTCACTTAACTGCCCTGCCTCCCACAACCTCGCTTCAGCACTAAAGGGCATCCGGTTCGTGCACTTCTTTAGAAAAGTGTGACGCACATAGAAATGCAAAAATATAAAAACGTTGCGAATGTTCATGCAAATCTTCTCGTGCGGTGATTGACGTGAGCCGAGAGGGCGGATTTAATTCGCCTCGTGCAGCGTGATACACACACACACACAGGCACGATTGTGCATTCATGCCCTGAGCATTGCATTTCATTCGCCGTGTATTCTGGCAACTCGCTTCACGTGACATTTAGCCCGCACTGGTTGTTGTTGTGGAGGTGGAATTTGCCTGGCAGGAATTAGTTTCGTGGGTTTTTATTTTATTTTGAAACCAAAGACTTAAATAAATGGGCGTAACGTGGTTGGCATGGGGACCTTGAATCTCATCTTGAGAGTTCGTAAAGTATACGTCTTGGTGGCACACCGGTGCATCATAACAAACCGGCCCTCCATAAAAAAACAGTCTGACGATATTCTTAGGTTTTTTCGGTAAAGTCACGTAGGTAAAAAATTAAAATTAATAAAAGTAAAATAAAAAAAATCACGACGTTTCGGAGGCAACACAAGCTTCCCTCTTCAGTCTGACGATGTCGCCGTTGCCCATGAGAGAGCTGCCGACTCCTCCATCGGAAGTTGCACTTCGTTTCAGCAGCTGCGTTCCCGTTCGAACACGTGGTGGCAACACGACCAGTCGCCGATCTCTTGATCCCGCCGTCCGCCAGGAAATTATCGTGGAAGAAATGAATCGAGGAACCAACCGTCCGACCCAGGCCCAGGGCACGAGGAGTCAAATCTCGCTGCCTTTTGGAACACGGAGCCAAGCCGATCGTTGTCAGGCCTGGGTGCTGCTATACGGCAACAGGCTGTGAAGCTTCTTCGTAATCGGCCGCTGAACACATTCCTGCGGAGGGAGCTGGTAGGAACGTTGGGTTGCTCGGTCAATGGCCAGGGTCAACGGCGGCGTGGTGTATTCTGCAAATATGCCCGACTGTGAGGGTGGGCACAAGCCGGCGTGAGTAGGTTAAACGTTGAGTTTTATAAGGGCACCACGGGGTGACCAGCCACTCCCCTCCCACGCCCCACCCAGCCCCACCCTCCCCACCCAGCCCCTCCCTGCACGACGGACGGACACAATAATCCCCTGTGGGCTGGTGTAACCAGGAGGTTCCTATCAGTATCAACGTTCTTCTTCCAACCACTTCGACATCACGAGAATCGATCTTGACCGCACCACCCTGCAAGATTTTATGACTGGGGGTTGCGAATCTAGGGGAAAATAAAATAAGAATAGGTTTTATTTTCCGTACTTTGATACTGGTCAAAAGGTCCCACGATATAGCTATTTACCCGAGCTACACATTTTCTGATTTCTACATTCACTTTGTAATCTGCACCTTTTTGGCGTTATTTGGTCTGACGCTGTTGAGACAAGGCCCTATCGAAAGCTGTCTCTGGTGTAGGCCAATCGGTTTCGAAACAATGCACGTGCGGTTAATGCACATGTGATGCCTTGCAAAAGGTTTTTATTTGGTGTTTGAACATCCTACCACCTCCTGTTTTATTGCCAGAAAGGGATAGACACCCATTCTTATAAATGATGAGTTGTATTTTTATTATTATTATACCACGTGGGAGGTGGAAACCCGAGCACGTGAAGAGGATTTGGCGGGGTGTTCGATCCCCATACAGATGGAAACGGATGGCGATTAGTCCACAGGGCATGGCACCTCAACGCCCACAGGATGAGGGGAGTTTCACGGCAACTGTGCGGTGAGCCACCAACCCTGGCTGCTGCCACCACCACCACCACCTCCACCACCACCACCACCTCCACCACGACCACAATGCTCGACTGGAGGCAGCCGCGTGCGTAGCCGCCACCGCCCGCCACCAAAAGTGAGGCGATTAAAGAACGCGTTCTTAAAATCAACGAGTGATGATTCATATAAATATTGATAATTACATTTCATACAGCGTCGTTCGTACGATTCCATCTCAAAACGCCTTACAATAATCGCACGGTGACGTCGTAGATGACATCATTGCATCGCTGGAGATGAGGGGTTTGTTTGACTGAACAATAATTATATGCCCAATGGTTAAACAGGAGCGCTTTGTGTGTGTTTTTTGCGTTTAAACAATGGGATTATTGTATCTATTGTGCGACTCGGTAATTTATTTATGTAAATTTTGGTAAATTTCCCCAAACTTTTTGTCTCGCCCCGAATGTGTCGTCACGGGAACAAAGTGTGATCCGTGTTAGAGAACGGTCCACGGAAGCTGATATCACAGAGCCACGTGCTGAGATCTGCTCCACACGTAGAGGGGGTTGCCCTTTTCCCCACCACCACGGGGAGCAACACGCAAACTCCAAATATACAGCAGCAGCAGGCGTCAGGATCGAACCCGCGACCTCCTGTATACCAGGCGAGGTAGTTCACATCTCCTAGCCACCGTGATGATAATGATGAGAGGCACGCCAAATCCAAATATCCAACAGGCGTCATGGTCAGGATCGAACCCGCGAGCTTCTCTATAACCAGGCGAGGTAGTTCACATCTCCTAGCCACCGTGATGATGATAATGATGAGAGAGAGACGCGCAAACTACAAATATACAGCAGCAGGCGTCAGGGTCAGGATTGAACCCGCGACCTCCTGTATACCAGGCGAGGGAGTTAACATCTCCTAGCCACCGCGGCGCCCCCTACGTTACTTCCACACCGTGTACAGGGGAACCTACCGGGAATGTGGCGGATCAAGGAAAGTGACACGGGTCACCGGATCCTATTATCCCGCGGAGTATACGACTGTTGAACTTCTTTCGCACCGTACATAGCCAGCCGTGCTGATCGGAGGTGCGGTGGAAGGACCACAAACTAGACACCAAAAAGCAGTTTTCAAGTATTTAGTTGTCAAATTAGAATGAATCTGCTCCGCTTATCCGCGGGTAAAAAGTTTCGGATAATAGGTATAGGGCAGCTGATAACGGGCTTTTTTTTCCATGCACGCGCGGGTTTCCCCCATGTGTTCTCCTTGTTTCCCTCCCGCGTGTGAATAAACGCTCATCGCGTTGGCCGAAGACGCCTCCGATGTCGAGGGGGGCACAACGGAGAGCTTGTGAACAATGGTTGACAATCACCGGCTGTGTGGTTTTATTTGTTCCTCGGCGATGGCGAGATGGAATTTGCATGAGCGGCAATGCTTGAGTAACACTAGGCCACGACGCTGGCTAAAGAGGGGGGGGGGTGGGAGAGCGACAACCGTGGAGGGAAATGTGTTGGGGCCCTATTGTTGTTCTGGAGCTATTGAAAGGAACATGATGATGATGATGCAAATTAGGCCATTGCATACCGCACATGGTTGGTAATCACGGAAATCTGTATCATGGTGAGGGTGGTGGGGGGGTCATAGAATCTGGAGTTGAGAAACATTGCCCTGTAATAATAGTTTCAAGTTGCAAGCTGATTTAATTTCACCTGGCGCATGAACCCCCCGACACCAGAATTGAGTCTCGTTCGCAAGCGTGACCTGGGTCGCCAGAAAAAAAACGTAGGAAGCAGAAAACGGCGTAAAATAAAACAAATAGACATCTGAGCAAAAAAAACGTGCATCACAAACGTGAAAGAATGTTAGTTAATTCATAACTCCCGGCTGACACGTCAGCTGGGGCAGATTTATTTCTTTGTTATACTGATCAAAGTACAACTACAAAGATACAGAAACAATAAACAGATATAAGGTGATACTTAAAAAAATAGTAACAATTTTGAGAATGTTCAACGATTTGCAAAAATACCAGAGCCTCCGGGCTCTGCAGACCACCTGGAGAAGATTCCAGGCACGTGTTGGCAATGATGGCGAACAAGTGGAGACTTTTTGAAGCTATTAACATTACATTTGTTATCATGTTATAGTGTATTATCCGTTCTTTTTCCATTAAAAACGATAGTCCCGTATGAGTGTTAAAACATTTTAAAGCATCCTGGAAATGTGTAAAGGGACGAGGATGTACGCAGTGCCGGATTAAGCTAGTGCGGGGCCTGTAGCACGATGTTATAAAGGGGCCCTAAATAAAAAAGAAAAACACGGAAATATTCAAACACAAATTTTTAACTTGCACAGTAAAGTAATTGCATTTTTTCATTCGCTATACAGCCAGATAATACGGCAAATCGCTAACTTAAAGCACCCAGTCGTTCACAAAAGTCGAAGGCGGTATAGTACTATAGTAATAGAGCAAGTGCAGAATCACTGAACCGGAATTGAGAGCTTGAAAGCATTTAGCGCGGGGCCCTTGAAAGTGCAGGGCCCGTTCTGTAGCTACTTGTGCTACTGGGATAATCGGGCACTGGGTGTACGTCCTAACACGAGGGCAGTGGACGAGCTGATGGTCCAGAATAACGACTAAGTAGCAGCCGGGGAATGCAACGAGTCTCTGAGTACGCCCGCCGTGGAGATGGAACGCGATGAGATCGACTCGTGTGTAGGTGCGTGGTTAATGATTCCACCATGGGCATGCGAGAGATGGAGAACGGCTTGAAGGGCAGCATCCGACAGCGGATTGATTGTGACCTAACTTATATGTGCTTTGAACTTCTTTCGCACCGTACGTAGCCAACCGCGCTAATCGGAGGTGCGGTGGAAGGACGGCAAACTAAACGCACACGGCAGTTCTGCAAAAAAAAAAAAACCGAGTCGAAAAGCGCATAGCTCCAGTGGCTTCCCAATATCGGAAGGAAGAGCGTTCCAGACGGCCGCAGAAGCGCATCTGAAAGCGCCGCGCTATGCGGTGAGCGTTTTGTGTTCGATGGTTAGCCGAAAGATGACGATTAATGTTAATGGCTGTGGCTAATGTCTCAACGTGTTTTTCGTGTTTGTGGTCTCTCTCTGGTAGCCGTGATGTCACGAATAACAGCACCTGGTCATGATCGGGATGCGAGGGACTTTGTCAGATCTTGGAAGCCAAGCAGCCTGATCAGAATGAGGGCACTTCTTGGGATTGCCAGGCGATGCGAGCTTGGGGTGTTCGGTAGTTATGAAATGACAGTACGGCACAGGATTTGTGAATTATGCATTCCTAATGGTGGTGGAAATTCCACATACCTATGCTGGGGACCTGACTCTTGTCACGACTCAAATGGTGACCATTCGCTGAGTGCGGGAACGTGATTGTACAGGACATCTAAGTCAGCATGGCCACCAGGTGGCAGAGCATCGCCACGTGGTGGTAGTTTGACACACGAGGGCGATACAGGATTTCCATTTAATTATGATGATCATCATGTTGTTAGTACACTAGGAAACCGTAATTTTTCATGCTCTTCTCACGATCATCCTGTACTCGGGGCACCAAAATCAACCTGCTTTTTTATGCAATGATAAAATAACAAGAGCATATGTTTTGCAATAGTTTTTTTTTACATTCTCAAGTATGTAAAGAATATTCATTTGAATGAATGACATGCTTCAAGAAGCACGCCTTGAAAAGTTATAGTAGTTGTAAATGAGCCGACGAGGTCGGGGTTACATGCCAAAGTTCCTGGGTTCGAATCCTGGTTCCGTCCGCCTGTGATCAGAGCGAGTCCTCGAGTGTAGCGAACGGCGTTTGTGATCTCGGCCCAGTCGTCGCTGATTGCACACGCACACACACAAACTACATCCTGTCATTTTAAAAATTTGGTTTTCGCAAAAGTTTCTTCAATTCCAGCTCTGGTAATTATTAATTAACCATCCTCCTAGCAGACCTTCTAGGCATAGTGCGTATGCCCCCTACCGAATGAAATATATAAAGGCAACTTAATGGATCACATTTCGATTTAAAGCTTTCGTGACTGCAGGGATTCATCTTCTTCTACGTGACTTTACCGAAAGAACCAAGAAGATTAATGGATCACATTTTGACGTCCTATGAGCGACGTCTCTTCCACAGTTCGCTGACAAACAGCCGTGGGGGGGGGGGGAGCAGACTGATCGCCAACATTTCCCGATAGATTCCTCCGCTCCGAGGCACTATGCCGACACTACAGTCCGAGTAGCTTGGGGTTGGTCGGGTGTTGTGTACACGGCAAGTCCTCGTTCACCGCCGCAGTCGCGTTGCTGAACACTGCCGCGTTGAGCGACAACACAATCTCCTCCACAAACAATGTCACGATAAAGTTTGGTCAGGCACGAGGTACGACGGTGGGACAATAACCGAGGGCACGCCACTGCATCGCTGCGTCACTCCGTGCGCTGCGTCACTCCGTGCGCTGTGTCGTACCGCTCGGCCGTGCAGCTCTGCAAATTCGTTTGTCGTCGAGTGCTCAGGAACCACGTCACAACGGGGAACTGTGCCGCGTCTATCGCTGAAACTCGTGCACGGTGTGAACGCCACGCGTAAAGCGAGGACCTGCCCTACAAGCGAGCAAAGTGACGGCAAACGCATTCGCAAACGGGTGCATGGCCACACGCACCGAGTTTTGGGCGTACCGCATTTTTAGTACCTTTATACGCGACCAGGGCACATTCTCTGGCAAGTTATCAATTGGGACTGAGAGCTTTAATTCACGCATTTTTGATGATGCAGACACACGAGCATAGGTTGTGTAATGGGAATTAAAATTTCAAATAAAGTATTTGCCGTCTGGCCAGAGGCGGATATTTCATAATTTTTTCGCGGTGTGTCACGCACGACTTTGTAATATGAAAAGTACCACTCTGCGAGCCTCTGCAAGAGCGTGGGTGCTTTTAATTATACGATGCAGAGGCTGCGGTTATGGGTCGATATGATAGGCATTGCATTATGAAAGATGGAATTGTGTACGTTCATTCAGGAGACCTGTGGCGCGTGAGAATTATGCAAGTCCTCCAGCCTTGGTTACGCTTTAAACCCGTGATACTGAACACCTTTTTAACACGTGGTAGGCTTTCGCGACCAATATCATCCGTAATAGAGTTATTTTTGGGTTGGATCGCATAAATATATAAATGTGTCGTTGAACCCGCTACCACCCGGCACAGCCAACTAGTAAGGGTTGTCACGTAAACATAACGTGGCCAATTCGTCACGAGTACAGCACGAACCGGTGTGTTGGAGAGCCAAGCCAACAACATTTACAATTCGAGTACGACGTTTCGCCAGTAATTACAACTAGCTTCATCAGGCGACGCGATCCAACCCAACCCCCCCCCCCCCCCCCCCCCCCATATTATGGATGATATTGGTCGCGAAATCTTACCACGTGTTAAACCGTTCACCCATGCTTCTTCTCTCGAGCCTTCTTTGTCGCACTCAACATCGAGGCATGCAGTTCGCCCCGCAGGGTGTGTGATCACACTTCAGCCCAGGTGGTACTTGCCTCGTGATTAGTTGGCTCTGCACAAGCCGCCGAAACTTATCATTGCAAGCAAGAAACCGTTTCCTACCCGCGCACCGCGTTTGTTTTATTTCCATCGAAGATACAGCAGTCGTACGTCCAGCCAGGTTGCCGTAGCGAGCACCTATTAAGGCCAGTGGTGCATGTGGCCAGCCAGCAACCACGTCCATCCGTGTCGGCCACGATCACCCACACTGCTCCATGAAGGGTTCCTCCAATTTTCCCTCCGAAGCAAGACTGTATGTTGGGCAGTCCTCGGGCTACGAACGTAATTCGTTCCTGATAACCGTTCGTAAGTCGGAACACAACAATTCACTCCGTTTAAATGTCCACACGGGTCAGTGTTGTGACATGTGTTTCGGTTCAACGAAAATGGAAGCATTGTTAAACTCACAATGAAGATGAAATAGTATACACTTACATGTAATACTGTAAAAAAAGATACAGCATAGAAAATAAAACATAAAATAAAGTAACAAAATTAAAAATATATATTTTATTTTCACTTACCTGGAGCCCTGATTCTGGATTGTAGTCGAAAGTTGGCAATGAGTCACCACAATTGCACACACACGGGGCACACTAAGACACACACACACACCCCAACGATCAAGACACACACACACACCCCAACGATCCCCCATGTAGCCTGAGCAGGCTGTTGGGGCAAGTGCTCTGAATGAGCAGCGCCTATGAAGGCCAGCACGGCACACGAAATTCAAGAAACCTATTATAAGATAGATAAGTGGGCGTCACGGTGGCAGTGTTAGCTCCCTCACCTGGTATACAGGAGGTCGTGGGTTTGATCCGGACCTCCTGTATATGTGGAGTTTGCGTGTCTCTCCCTGTGTCGCGTGGATTTTTTCCAGTTCCTCCGGTCTTTCCCCTCCATATTTAGGATCAACATCACAAGTGTATACTGTTTGGCTGCGATAAATTTCCACATTATGATACGTCACTTTGTTGTGCAATCATTTGTGGCCAGATCGCTTTTGTGGGCCCTTGCCTGGTTAAAGTAGCACGCCGTTTTAGTCATAACTTGAAACTGTGTTGCTTTCATTTGCATTTCACCGCCCCAAAAGTATCCTAAACTTGCCACGATAACTCTCCATCTCTCTCTCTCGCTCTCGTTTGGCCACATCCCCCGCAGGCACGCTCACATGTACCTGTCCCAGGGCCCGGCGCGGATCGGCAGCGTTTACCGCAAGGCGGTGTTCCGCGAGTACACAGACTCCTCCTTCTCGCTCGAGTCTCCCCGGCCGGCCTGGCTGGGCCTCCTGGGGCCCGTGCTCCGAGCCGAGGTGGGCGATGTGCTGCGTGTGAACCTGCGCAACTTGGCGAGCCGCCCCTACGGCCTGCACCCCCACGGCGTCTTCTACGACAAGCGCTCTGAAGGCACGGCGCTCTTCACGCGGGAGGGAGGGGGGGGGGTGCCGTTCTGTTGTGGTGGTGGCGGCTAGGGTGTTCACTCTCAACTGACAATAGGATCATTCGGAGAGAGAAATGTATTAATTACTTAGAAAATCAGCCCGGCTCTTTAAAAAATTATGTCTTATACTATCGAAAGTGCACACGTTTTTACCATGCTTGGTACAAGATAAATGAAACTATAAACTAAAGAGATTTTAATTTTGCCAGGTACGGCCCACCGAGCTGTTAACTTCTTCTTTAAAAGCGGCCTTGGTGTCACAAACGATAGCCCGGCGAATTGGCTTATCAAGGCAGCCAAATACTCGACACGCGTGTCTCTAGTCGAGGGCGGTGGGTTTAGTTGGGGAGGCCATTCGATCATGGGGGTCCATTTTACATCACGCCGCGAGGGCACGGTGTCTCACCGCGTCATTGACGTGCGGCTCTAAACAGGCAGTCCCCGGGTTATGGAAGGGTTAGGTTCCCGAGAACGATCCGAAACCCGAATTTTCCGTACGTCGGAAACTGAACAATTTTCCCCCAAAATCAACAAAATCCCATAGCCGGAAATCTCTGTGCCTCCCCTAGCCGATTTCTCGTTTGTTTTCTCCAAGTACCATATCGCGCTGTATATACGCTCTGAACTTCGTATAATTATTTCATTTCAACGAATATCTACCATAACACTACCCACAATTAAACTAATGGAACATGTACTGTATCCAGTTGTTTATGAATACCACGAAATTTTTTACATGAGTTAATAGAAAGCAGTCACTTCCGAATGTTTGTTTACCGTGCATTAGGCTATGCCTCGGCTTCTCTGATCGCTGTTGGCTGAGACCATGAGCAATTGAAGGGTAATTGTATGAAATAAAGTACATACAGTAAAAAACTCATGAAATAAACTTAAAATGAAGAAAACAAGCAATAGACACACGGAGAAAATATAGTTCTAAGCATAGAGAAAAAAATTACGTAACGCTACAAAAGGAAAAACGTTATGTAACACTACAAAATATTCCATTTACTGAATTTGAATTCTATTGAAGCTCGGGCGTGGTGAAGCTGGTGTTTTGGTGGAGCGAGGGGCAAGGCCCCGGGCCGCCTTACGCGGCATTCATCTGCAACCTCGCCACGCTGCAGTACTTGCGCTTGTGTAACTAACGTGAAAATGTCTACATATTGACGTTTTTTTTACATAATTTACGGGAGCATTTCTGCAAGGTCGGATTTTCCACAAGTCGGGTCTTCCGCAACCCGGGGACTTGCTGTATTTCCCTCGCACTAGAACCCGTGCCAGCCGCGCTCTGCTACCAGTTGACAGGGTTGCCACCCGTCCTGGTTTTTAGAGCATTGTTGATTTCTTAAGATGGTTGTCGTTGGGGAAAATCTTCCCAGAACATTATACACCGCACATTACAAGTCCCTGTCTTTGTCATCAACTCTTCTGCTTCTCCTTCTCCTCCTCCTTCCTCCCCTCCTGGCTGATGGCTTGTGTCTGCGTGTACGGTGTGGCGTGGCGTGCCTTGTGTGGCCGTGCGGTGCGGTTGCTGGGGGTGGGTGGGGGGTTCTGCCCGTGCCGGCGGTCGTGTGTCGCAGGAGCGAGGTACCCGGACGGAACGTCGGGCGACGACAAGCTGGACGACGCGGTGCCCCCCGGCGGGAGGCACACCTATGTGTGGGATGTGCGCGAGGAGTTTGGGCCCACGGCCGACGACCCGGCGTGCCTCACGTGGGCCTACCACTCCCACGTGGATGCCTCGCGCGACATCGCCTCCGGCCTTGTCGGCGCTCTGCTCACGTGCAAGAGAGGTAAATGCCCCGGCCCACAGTGCAGACAACGGGGGGAGTTCACGAGAGCACCCTGGCTGGCACCCGAGTTTCGTGCACACCAGTTTCCTCCCGCGTTGGGAGCCAGAGCGCTGGTAAATTAGAAAATGGGTCCTGAGATTTAGTGAGGCTTTCCTGACAAAAAAGAAAAAGAACCGCCATTTTAATGTAATTTGGGATTGTCGGCAGCAATCGGTTCTCTTTTAAAATAATGTAATGTATGATCTGTTCAACTAGTAACGCTCGCAGTATTCCGCTATCTCCTTGTAAAGAGAGTGAAGGATCCGCAGCCCCGAGCAGGAACCACGGACAAACGTGAAGGCAGCCAAGCGGTGAGCCTGTGCCAACGATTGCCAAAGCTTTGTGCTCCTCCATGTATTAAGGCGTTATCGGGCAATAAATGAGTGCTTACATGTGGGAGGATACCCATGTGTGCGAGGGGGAAACACTCTATCCCATACAGACGAAACAGGTGGGGTCCACATTTTTTGCTGTACTGCCTTCTGGCTGGCAAACCAGAGTATGGGCACCTCGATGCCCACGGGATGGAAGTTTCGCAACATGTGTGTGGTGATCGACCAACCCTCGCTACCACCGCCTCCGCTCCCACCACCGCCACCGCCACCACCTCCACCACGACCAGAGTTAACGCTCTCAACCTGAGTTGGCGAGCGTTCACAACTCTAATCCTTTACGTTTGGTTGGCGTGCGCGCGGTGCAGGCATCCTTGACCCCGTGACCTCCAAGCGGCGAGACGTGGACCAGGAGTTCGTGGTCATGTTTGCCATCGTGAACGAGAACCTCAGCTGGTACCTCGGGAAGAACATCCAGAGGTTCTGTGGGAGCCCTGACAGTGTGGATACAGAGGACGAGGGCTTCGTGGAGAGCAACCAGATGCACGGTACATCGTCACAGCTTCACCAAGCTAATTCGGCGGTCGGCTGCCCTGGGATATCAACGTTGTTGTCGTTGTTTCTAACAAAACCCCACGAAGTCTTAGCCCGCTTTCAGCGAGTAAGTGGGCTAGTGTAGGTTTGTGCGGTTGTTGGTGTAAGCGGCTCTACGTTTGCGTTTTTGGGATGTTGCCGCGCGCCGTTCAGCACGGCATCCGGCTGAACTCTGTTCCCAAAAGAAGCTCCCGGTGGCGCGTGGAGCGAAACGTCGGACATTGACCCTGCTATTTCCACGATGGCTAAATTTATCTCGCGCGCAGCTTGCCATGTTGTTTTATACGGGGTTTAAAAAATATTACAAAAAATAATATCTATAATAATGTCGTTATATAAAAAAATCCTTTTAGTTCAATAGCTGCAGTGCGTGACAAAAAAAATCGTTTCGTAATTCAAAACGGTTTTTTGGCCAAAGAACATCAATCACTTGTCAGGTATTTTGTTCACGTTCTTTGTAAAATTAATGATCGAGTCGCCTCCGGGGGGGAGTGTCTGTCTCTCCCGTTCAACCTCCGTCGCTCGAGCACGGCTGCTAACGCGGGGAATTTATTTTCACATTTCACAATCGTGTTAGCCGAGCACGGCGCCCGGAGGCCAAGCGGCCAGCAACATACGGCACAGTTGAGGGTAAAGTGGATAACAAAAAAGGTGTTTTTTGTCGTAATGAATAGCTTGCGACGAGGGACGGTGGGAGGTAATTCCAGAGATGAGCAGTGCGAGGCAAAAACCAGGGAGAGAAGTGCTGTGACCTGCAGTGTCATGGGTGGGTGGGGTTGGCGGGGGGGCGGAGTGTGGTGGTTGAACGCAGTGTGGATGCCATGAAGTTGTCGGCCTGGTAGAGCGGTCTACCAGGCCGACCCGTGGAGTGAAGCTCACGGCAACGGTAGCCATGGCAACTAGCGATGGCAGAGCGACGAGGAGGTGACGGACTGCCCGTGGGCTAATTTGCCGCTCGTTGCAGAATGTCGCGATTGTAGCGCGGTGCGTGGCCGCCCTCATTTTAACAGCGTGGGTGAATTGCCGTAGAAAACCCCACGCTAAAGGTCCCGCCCGCGTGTGCCGGCATCCGTGGCCCCAAATTTGCCGACGCGCATTTATAAACCAACACTAAATAATTGTGAGCATCCTTTGTGGAGAATGCACAAGCGGGAGGCGGCGTGGATATCTCCCTCGAGCATCCGTCCCTCCCACGTACGAACCAAAACAGAATGGCCCCGCGCCAAGCCGACATCCGGAGGCCTTCATCCAGCCATGGATCGATCCGTGGAGCCGCCCGGCCGATGCTGATCGCCGTCGTGCTGTTTGCCCGTCCTCCCCCCTTCCGCAGCCATCAACGGCCTCGTGTTCGGACACCTGCCGGGCCTGGAGATGTGCGTGGGCGAGCGCGTGGCGTGGCACCTGCTGGCCATCGGCGGGGAGAAGGACCTGCACACGGCGAGGTTCCACGGCCAGACGCTCTCGCTGACCGGCGGCGTGCGCGTCGACACCGTGGGCCTCTTTGCCGCCTCCTTCGCGTCCGGGGATGCCGTGCCGACGGAGGTCGGCGCGTGGCTGCTGACGTGCGGCGTCAATCACCACGTGCACGGTGAAAACTGCCGCTCGCGCCGCTGCCCCCGTACCCTCGCGGCGCACGACCGAATGTCCGGTCGCCGTTTTGCGCAGCGCGAGTGGCGTAGTGGTGGTGCGCGGAACCCCGCGGACGACGCCGACAGCGGCAGCAGCGTGGTCCCTGTGCGTGCCTTGCAGCCGGGATGCAGGCGCTGTACACCGTGAGGGACTGCGGGAGGGCGGCGCCCGCGCCGGCCTCGGGCGGCGAGACACGCCGGTACTTCGTCGCGGCGGAGGAGAGCGTGTGGGACTACGGCCCCAGCGGCGTCGACGCCTTCACCGGGAAACGCCTCGACGACCCCGAAACGTGAGCGTGACGGCGGCCTCGTCGCGGACGCAGCGAACGCGCGGCTCCGGAGCGCTGGCACCCAGCTCGCTTGCTCGCAAGCGTGGGAACTGTGGCGTTTGTGCTCAACCCGGAGCTCTCGCGACGAACTCCGTCGTCGTCTTGGCAACGTTGCCAATGGCTGCGACGCCTCGCGAGTGTGAGGCCTCCACCACGAGGCTTAATCATCTCAATGTACGCACGCGTGCGTGTGCTTGGCCTCAACGTGCACGTAGCCTGGCACAGGCGCTGTGGTGACGTCACCGCCACTTCGTGGTGAATGGCGGTTGTTGTTGAGTTTGAGTCTGTCCCGTCACCTCCTGCCGGCGAGCCTTCGACAATTTACGTGGCCTCAAAGTGCGCACCTAGCCTGGCATAAGCACTTTGTGGTGATGTCACCATGACTTCGCGGGTAACGAAGGTCGATGTTGTGCTACGTGTGCGTGCAAAAAGAAAAAATCTCCCTGTATAGCCTTAACAGACTGTGGGGGCAAGTGCTGTTACCAAGTGGCACCTACAAAGGCTGGCACGGCACATGAGTAGGTGACCAACACCACGCCCGACCGTCTTTGTCTCCCCCCTTTGGCGATGTTTACTACACACCGCACCAGGTATCTGCATTTGAGGTCGAGTCGACCACAGGGAGGCCCAAGACCGGTTTGGATAATCTTCACCGGTGTCGGTTTCGTAGCACAGCGGCACTAACCGGTGCGTGTGTGCGTGTGTGCGTGTGTGTGTGTGTGCGTGCGTGCGTGTGTGTGTGCGTGCGTGCGTGTGTGTGCGCGTGTGCGGGCGTGTGTGTGTGCGGGCGTGTGCGGGCGTGTGTGTGTGCGCGCGTGTGCGGGCGTGTGCGTGTGCGCGCGTGTGTGTGTGCGCGCGTGTGCGGGCGTGTGTGTGTGCGCGCGTGTGCGGGCGTGTGTGTGTGCGCGCGTGTGCGGGCGTGTGTGTGTGCGCGCGTGTGCGGGCGTGTGTGTGTGCGGGCGTGTGTGTGTGCGCGCGTGTGCGGGCGTGTGTGTGTGCGCGCGTGTGCGGGCGTGTGTGTGTGCGCGCGTGTGCGGGCGTGTGTGTGTGCGCGCGTGTGCGGGCGTGTGTGTGTGCGCGCGTGTGCGGGCGTGTGTGTGTGCGCGCGTGTGCGGGCGTGTGTGTGTGCGCGCGTGTGCGGGCGTGTGTGTGTGCGCGCGTGTGCGGGCGGGCGTGTGTGTGTGCGCGCGTGTGCGGGCGTGTGTGTGTGTGTGCGCGCGTGTGCGGGCGTGTGTGTGTGTGTGCGCGCGTGTGCGGGCGTGTGTGTGTGCGGGCGTGTGCGTGTGCGCGCGTGTGCGTGTGTGCGTGCGTGTGTGTGCGCAGCGAGTCTGCCACGTTCTTTGAGCGGGGGCCGACGCGGCTGGGCGGCAGGTACAAGAAGGCGCGCTTCGTGGGCTACACGGACGCCAGCTTCGCGCAGAAGACTGTGCGGCAGGCCGGGAAGCAGCACCTGGGCCTCTTGGGTGAGACTCCGGGACCTCGGCGGGGGCCACAAGGGGGTGGAACGACGCGGGCGAAGGCGGCAACCCTGGCTCCTGGAGACCCTTGTTTGTGTGTCTGTGTGTGTCTGTATGGGGAGCGGTAGTGTCGCGGTTAGCGCTACGCTGCGCTACGCTGCGCTATGAACTCGGCGACCCGGCTTCGATTCCCGCTCGCGGCCAACACCGGTGACGGTTATCAGAACCGGTCCTGGGCCTCCCCTAGTTCGACTCGGCCTCAAATGAGCACCTGGTGCGGTGTGTAGTAAACATCGCCACTGGGGAGACAAAGGTGGTCGGGCGCGGTGCTGGCCGCCCACCCCCTTGTGTACCGTTCCGACCTTGATAGGTGCTCGCTAACAGCACTTGCCCCTACAGTCTGTTAAGGCTATACGGGGGATCTTTGTCTTTGTATGGGTGTAGTGGTTGTGGTGTAAGTACGTATTGTGAACTTCTTTCGCATCGTGCGTAGCCAGCCGTGCTAATTGGAGGTGTAATGAGCGGTGGTCAGCATGACTCGGTGACGCGACTTCGATTCGCGTCCGTGACCAATAATATCAGGTAGTGCATATTTTAACTGGTCCTGGGCTTCCCCTAGGTTGACTTGGCATACAAATTGTATTACAAGGTGCACTGCGTGAACATCGTCGCTAGGGAGACAAAGGCAGCCGGGCATAGTTGCTTCCATCCAGCCCCTGGTGTGCCGTGCCAGCCTTCAACGCTGCTCGCTAACAGCACTCGCCCCAACAGCCAGTTGAAAGCTACACGGCGGAATCGTCGTCTTTGCGCGTGCACCCACAGGTCCCGTACTGCGAGCCCAGGTGGGCGACACGGTGGTGGTGACGTTTGTGAACCGGGCGACACGGCCCTACAGCATCCAGCCGCACGGCCTGCTCGTCACCAAGGACAATGAGGGCATCGCCTACACAGACGGCCGCTCCGGTGAGGCCTTATCCTCCTTCCTCCTCACCACAGCTGCTTCCACCGCATCCCCACCCCAGCAGGAAGGAGCTCCCTCGACCTGCCGCAACATTTACAACGCGATAAAATCTAACCGGGAGAAACTGCCATTTCGGGGTGTCCCCGAGACTCGACAATAAAAATCGGCATTTCGAGACGTCTTGTTAGGTCACGAGCAAATCGTAAATGCGTGTGTTAATATTACTATCATTACAAAGGTGCGCAGCCCTGCAATCGCTTGCCTGCCGCCACTGCTGGATGAGCAATCCCGGGACTTAACGACGGAATGGCGGCCAAGAAAGAGGGAATAACCACCACAGGACGAATTGGCGCCACTGAGGTTACCTACAGCGCGCTGTAAGCTGGCAGCCGTCACGCTGACGAGACCGGCGATCAACAGGGAACGGCGATCGTCGTTGCCCGCTGTTACAGGGACTCGATACGAACAAACCTGTCCGTATGTCGAGATGCCTGTTCGGACCGAGGGTCGTAAGTTCAACCGCCGCGCAATAGATGGCGGTGCTGGCATCTAAATCTGCAGGAGATGAAGAACCAGTGGCATCTGCAGGAGATGATATAACTTTTAAAGGCATTCCCCGTGTTTAGTGTACACGCTGTACAACGTGTTTGTAATCGACAGGAGTAAAGATGGACTAACTAATTATATATATTATTTTAGAGGCGCAGCGCCGGGCGTCGCACGTCCCCCCGGGCGGCAACTTCACGTACACGTGGGCGGTGCCGCGGAGCGCCGGTCCCGCGGCCTCCGACCCCGACTGCCTCGCCTGGATGTACTTCTCGGCCGTCGACTCGATCCGCGACACCAACGCGGGGCTGCTCGGGCCGCTGCTCGTGTGCCGCCCCGAGGCGCTGGAACCCTCGGGAAAGCAGGTAAAGGCGAGCGGCCCTTGCTCGTTGAATCTTGACTTAAAGCTTTGCGTGACTGCAGGAATTCATATTCTTTTGGTACGTAGATGGTTCAAATAAAATAACATCTACGTGACTTTACCGAAAAACCCAAAGATTATTACGAACCCCTGCTGGTTGTTCGGGCGCCGCCGCCACTGGCGGTCTGAAGTGCCTTCTTCGCCACTTGATCAAGCTCCAGAAAGCGCGCTCCGAGAAGGTTTTTATTTGGGACCTATTGTTTCGCGCCTGCCAGACCTCTCGGATGTGGTGGGGGAGTTCCCCCACTTTGCGCCCGCCACACAACACCCGGACAGTCGACTTTGCTGTGTGGGGTATGCCCATTGGTGTCCTGCTCGGTGGACAGAGGCTTGCGATGATTTGAGAAACATTCGCGCCATTGTTTCAACTGGCAAGCAAGAGGGCTGCCGAATTCGGCAAAATGTAAATGAATGAAGCGCACGGTAACCTTGCATCAGATCGCGACCCTGGATGGCGACGTCGCTGCTATTTATTTGCCCTCTGCAGAAAGCGTTTGACGAGGAGTTTTTCCTCCTCTACACCGTGTTCGACGAGAACGAAAGCTGGTACCTGGACAATAACATCGAGCGCTTCGCTGGGAACGCCAGCGCCGTGGACAAGGAGGACGCCGGCTTCCAAGAGTCCAACAAGATGCACGGTAGCTGGGGGGACCCCCCCCCCCCCTCCTGCTCATGACCCCCCCCTTCCCCCCCACTCCTGGCCCCCTTCCCTTTCCACTCCTGACCCCCTTCTACCCCCCCCACTCCTGACCCCCTTCCCCACTCACTCCTGACCCCCTTCCCCCAACCCACTCCTGACCCCCTTCTCCCTCCCCCCCACTCCTGACCCCCTTCTCCCTCCCCCCCACTCCTGACCCCCTTCTCCCTCCCCCCCACTCCTGACCCCCTTCTCCCTCCCCCCCACTCCTGACCCCCTTCTCCCTCCCCCCCACTCCTGACCCCCTTCTCCCTCCCCCCCACTCCTGACCCCCTTCTCCCTCCCCCCCACTCCTGACCCCCTTCCCCCCCCCCCACTCCTGACCCCCTTCTCCCTCCCCCCCACTCCTGACCCCCTTCCCCCCCCCCACTACTGCTGACCGCCCCAGTGCGTCAGAGACGTCTCCTCTTCCCCCTCCCTCTTCCCAACTCGCCCAGTGGCCGTAATGTGGCCTAGCTCGCGTCCCCGAGGCCCCTCACGATTCGCCACCCTCCTCCTCCCTCCCTCGTCGGCACGATTTAAAACGCGAATTCAATTAAGAACAAAACTTATCGTAGCGAATGGTAGCACCCCTCGTGGCAGCAGGGGTCACGCGAGCCAATGATGTTCAACGGTCTCCCTCCACGTGCCACATGTCCTTTGTCAAAGACGTTGGTGATGATTGCCTCCTCAAGAACTTTCCATCGAGCACTCCCAGTTGCGTCCACTTGTTCAATGCTTCAGTACAGTACTTGACGCAGTCTTAGTAATGTTACTTTTGTACCTCCTATCTTTAATACGTTGAAAATGATAACGTTTCAGCATCTCGATGAAAGATTGATGTAAATATTGTTGTGGATGCTTTTTCTGCTGCCGCTACTGCTGCTAATACTTCTGCTGCTGTGGCTGCTGCTGCTACTGCTGCTGCTGCTCCTGTTACCTTTGCTGCTGCTACTGCCGTGGCTGCTGCCGTACTGTGCCGTCTCCGCGTGAAGCGATCAACGGCTTCATGTACGGGAACCAGCCGGGTCTGTCGGCGTGCCAGGGCGGCCGCGTGTCCTGGAGCTTCCTGGGCGTGGGCAGCGAGGTGGACATGCACGGCGCCTTTGTGCTGGGCAACACGCTGCTGGCGGGCGGGCGGCGCATCGGATCGCTCGGCCTCTTCCCGCACGTCGCCCGCACGGCGAGCATGGTGGCACGCGTCGCCGGTCAGAGCCGCACGCATCACGCGCGCGCTCTCGCAAACGTCCCGAAGATGGGGGTCGCGCAGATGGTGCTTCTCCGCGCGCGCGCGCGCGCGCGCGCGCCTTCAAACTTTGTCACGGATTCCGAACGCGTCCCACGACTGGCCCCGTCGCAACCCGCAAATGTTTCCGCAACGCATCCAACCAAATGTCCCAAACGCATCCCACCCGATGTCCCCATGGCATCCCACCAAGTGTCCCCCGCTTGCTTATTACTTTCAATATGTTATTGGCAGGGAGCAACACCAGTTGTTTTTTTTCGTACAAGAATCAATAAAATACTAATGCATACAACAAATATAAACGTTTAACACGTGCAAAAATATTTCCCCAGGCTGTGGTAATGCATTTTTTCCAATAACATGCAGGATGAAAGGAACGCGGGATGGGGATTTGTATCTAATGCGGCGATTTTGTCTCCGCAAGCCAACGGCAGAAATATTTTTACGTCCTTAAGACCGCGGCGTGATCGCTTGACCCGACTCCCAAGCAAACAAAATAAATAAGCCGACAATGCACCTCCTTCCCATATTTGTCTCTCCACATACATTTTTTAAAATCACTTCCACACCACCCATTGGCTGCACGGTGGTGGCGAAATGTTATATCTCTAACCTGGGATGCAGGAGGTCGTGGGTTAGACCCCAATCCCGTCGCCTGTAATATTTGGAGTTTGCATGCCTCCGTAATTTAGAATCTACATGCTGTTAAAGGGTATTTGGCTGCGATACATTTACACGTGATAAACCACTTGGCTGAGCCATCATTTATGGGCCAGGTCGCTTCTGAAAAAGTGCTGTATAGCTCAGTGGGGCCTCCTTACCTGGTAAAAAAAAAAAATAGTTTGGTTAAGTTTGAGCAGCAGCACTGGTTTCACCATAAGCACACTCTGGGCCAGTTTCCATTTCTGCCTTACGGGTGGGTAACAAGTCCTGATCTGGCCCGTTGACTGTTCGAGTCAAGCACGTGGAGCGAAATGTCGTAACCGTGCCCGACGATGCCGCGGTACAACCCGAGAACACACCGAGGGCTGTGTACAGCAGCACGACCGTCACATCCGACGCAGCCCTTGCCGCTCGTTCCCATCGCCATCCACCACAGCCAGTGAAGGGAATTGTCGTTGTTGCGTGTGGCTTTATTTGTTTGTGGGAGCGCGCAGGCAAGTTCGAGGTGGGATGCCAGACCGCCGATCACTACCTGGCCGGCATGAAACAGTTTTACTCGGTGTTCCGATGCTCGCGGCCAGGCACCGCACACCCTGGCGGTGCGCGGCGCCAGCGGGTTTACTACCTGGCAGCCCGCGAGGTCGACTGGGACTACTTTCCAGACGACACCTGGGAGAAAGAGCGACACGGGGACAACCCCGAGGCCAGGTGAGGTCTTCGCTGTCGAGCGAGGCGGGCGGGCACTTCCAGGCAGCCGTGTTTCGTCGGTGGATTAATTATTCGCGGCGAATTTCTGAACGGGTTTAGAATTCTTCGGTGTTTTGCCCCGTGAAATGATTGTTGCCGCGTCGCCCGATTTTGTCGAGTGGCGAGCGAGGCGGATTTTAGTCGATGCGCTTCAGTATTCTTGCATGCGTCGATTTGAAAATCTCCGGGCCACGTATTTTAAGTCGTTGATGCTTGGCGAAAGTGTGTCGACACAGTTTTAAATTTATTTTAATTTTCTTTAACCTACGTGACTTTACCGAAAAAACCATAGAGTATGAATCTTTGCAGTCATGAAAACTTCAAGTCTAGAACGTTTAGAGTCTTTAGCTGTTATAAATGTCCACGCGATAAGCCACTTCGTTGAGCAATCATTTGTTATAGCCAGGTCGGTTCTGAAAAATGGCTATATAGCCTTACCTGGTAAGTTTAGTTTCGTTAGTTTATATATACAAAACTATTTATATATAAATCATAATAGATGTTGACCCCTCCTGACTTGTATCCGTGGCACCCGCATTTCCCCGCGGCGTTGCTCACAGCGACGCCGCCAAGTTCACTGCACGCGGGGACGAGCGGATCGGCTCCGTGTACAAGAAGGCCGTGTACCTGGAGTACGAGGACGCGACCTTCACCAAGCTCCGCGCGAGACGCCCCGACGAGGAGCACCTCGGCATCCTCGGTTCCCCTCCGCTCCCAACTCGGCACCGCGTCGCGCACAGCACCAGTGGCAATTTTTTATTTTTTACACTACCAGATTGTTTTTTTGTTTAAACTGCCAGATACGGCCTACAGAGCTCGATTTAGCACGGTTGGCCACGTACGGCGTGACAGAAGTTCAACGTACATATGTACGTATGAAGTTGAGCTATCATTTGTAATCAAAATATATTGCAGTACTTGCTCCATATTAATTGATTTAATATTAATTTATTACGTCAAGGGATGATGATGAATATGATGGGTGGCAGTGCAGTGGTAACATTTGTAACTCGCAGCAAGAAGGGGCCCGGATACGATTTCCTGACTCCGGGCCACCTTTTCTACGCAGAGTTTATATTCTCTCCCGGCTGCGTCTGCGTGGGTTTCCCCCGGCCCTACTCGGTAAAATAAAAAGTTAATAGTTTAGGTGATGGAGCGACAAAGTGTCCCTGCACTGACATTGACACCCCGCCGCCCCGGTGCTGTGCCCCGTCCACCGCAGGGCCCGTGCTGCGGGCCGAGGTCGGGGACGAGCTCATCGTGGTTTTCCGGAACGGGGCGAGTCGCCCGTACAGCGTGCACGCCCACGGGGTGGACGCGGCGGGGAACGACACAACCGCCACCGATCCCGGTGAGTGTGGACCGTGAGAGGTGGGAGGGGGGGGGGGTTCACCAGTTATCGTGAAGCAAGTTGGAAGACTTTCATTCAGACGCTGTCTTCTCGACAAACCTGTTCTTCACCTAGGACGGCTGCTTGCGTAGTGGCCGAAACGTCGTGAGAATTATTTTATGATGTTTTATTTTTATTATTTTATTATTTCCATTCTACGTGACTTTACCGAAAGAACCAAGAAGATGGTTGGAAGACCTTAACACCTTCCCACCCTCCCACTTGAGAACCCAGAATATTGGTATTTTGTTGATATTTTTCGATTATTAATGTTTGGCCCTAATTCGGTACGCAGGCTTTCACGTGCTACACGGCGGGGACGCACATCATACACGGCACGCGCACGGTTCAAGAGACGCACGCGCTACGCGGGACACGCACGCAACACGAGGCATACGCGAAGCATAAGAAACACGTGGGACACATCGATTGCCACTGTAGTTGTGCTGGGAGGCGCCGCATGCTGCAGGACAAGATGCAGGCAGCAGCACAGCAGGGGGAGTAAGGAGACGAAAGCGCCGCGCGGGCCGTTTTGTCAAGGTCGCGTGTTGGGCCCCCCACCCTCCCCGCAGGAAAGACCCACACCTACCGCTGGGAGGTCACGGAGGCCTCTGGGCCTGGACCGAGTGACCCCAACTGTGTCACGTGGACCTACTACTCCAGAGTGGACCCCGTGAAGGTGAGCGCCGGGGGGAATCCTGCTGATTTGCACACGCCCGGGGCTCTGGTGCCCGCGGTGGCGGACGCGGGGGTGGCATTTGTGGCCCGTGGCTTAACCTCGTGCGGTCCCCAGCCACACACGTGGTCCCCGCACGTTCCCAGCGGGGTTCCGTTTAGCGGCGAGGGGGACACCCTCCATAGCAGACGTCGAGCGCCGTCGTTGCGGGGAGGGGGACTAGTCGAGGGGGGCCACGCGATCTCTCCGAGCAAACGACGAGGAGCGATGCAGCACCTCGCCGTCCCGCGCGGGTGCCTGTGACGGTGCCCGTGACGGCGCCTGTGACGGTGCCCGTGATGGTGCCCGTGACTGTGCATGTGCTTCGCGTCTCTGCCAGGATGTCTACAGCGGGCTGTTCGGGCCGCTCGTGGTCTGCGAGGCGGGCGTGCTGGGCACGGAGGGCCGCAGGGCGGACGTCGACCGCGAGTTTGCGCTCCTCTTCCTCATCTTCGACGAGAACCTCTCGTGGTACCTGCAGGACAACGTGCGCGCGTTCTGCGTTCACCCCGAGCGGGTCGACACCTCCGACGAGGGCTTCAAGGAGAGCAACCGCATGCACGGTGGGGGGACGCACGGGGGAGCAGCGTCGAGTGCCATCGGGCAAAGCTCCGCACGGATGGGTCCAAGAATCTGATGTCTTGTAGTGCTTTTTTTTTGCTCCTTGCAACTTTTAAACGAAGTATTGAGGCTTCGTTGTGTAATGTCTCGGCACTCGTTCAACAAAAGTGTCTCTGTGCTTAAGTGATGAGACTTGGCATTGCCTATATTCTTATCCAAGTACATGTTGTTATCTGTTACACTTTTCACGAGTGCTGCTCGTTGCTGGCTCCTTGGCGCTTCGGAAACTCAGCGACTGAGTAAAGAAAACTGTTTTGAAAATGTCTCATTCCTATGGCAGAGAGAGCAGTCTCTCCATTTGCCAAGAGCAGCTGACTTCCCACAAAGTGGTACCTAATTTTATCGACCTCTCTGATGCACGACGATGGGTTGGGTTGTCGACTGTTGACCCCCGAGCCGTTACTGAATACCTCCGATTAGCCGATTAGCACGGTTGGCTACGTACAATGCAAACGAAGTTCAACATACATGTATGCACGTTGAACTTCTTTCGCACTGTACATACATACATGTTGAAAATATTTCGCACCGTACGTAGCCAACCGCACTAATCGCAAGGTTGCGGGGATAAGGATAGCATTAGGATGATTAGAATCACACCATTACGCATGAGCGGGAGCTAGCGAACTCCACTAAACACACCGATGCCTTTGGCAGCGATCAACGGGTGGCTGTACGGAAACGCGCGCGGCCTCCGCATGTGCCGAGGGGAGAAGGTGGCCTGGTACCTCCTGGGCATGGGCAACGAGGTTGACATCCACACGGTGCACTTCCACGGGGAGACCTTCCTCTACAAGGTGAGAGACGACGCCGGGCATCTTCACGGGGATGGGAGGGGGGTCACACGTGGGGAGCGTCGGTAGCAGCATCTTCATCTTCGTCATCATCATCCTAACACCTGGGTTGGTTTGCGCAGCTGAGATAATGATTCGTAATAGATTTTTTTTTTGGGGGTTGGGCCACGTAATAGCATAATCGTCATAATAATCTGGCCGGATATGCATCGTAAGAGCGTCCGCCACCAACCGACCCGTCACCAAACCGACACGCCACCGATTTATAAATTGTTTTGTAAATAGTTGTTTTATAAATAGTTTCATAAATAATTCTGGCTCGCTGGTTAAGTTGAAGAGGCAACTTTTTCCAACCAAAGTTTAGCGACCTGTACCAATAAAGAGATTACAGTCGCTCATGCGTCAATGCGTCCATGCTTTCAACCTCTTAGTTGGGGTAAGCGCTAATATGCGAAACAAAAAGTGAATGAAAACGGGAGCGGAGAGGCAGTGACCTGTGTGTGTGTGTGGGCTGCCGTCGCGCAGAAGCGCCACGATCACCGGGGAGATGTTCACGAACTCTTCCCCGGCACCTCCGACTCCGTCGAGATGAGGCCCCGAAATTTAGGCACGTGGCTCCTGCATTGTCACCTGACGGAGCACATCTACGCCGGCATGGAGACCACCTACCACATCCTCGAGGGCAAAGGTGAGACCGATGACATTCTCCATCACAGACACAGGTGATAACATTCTCCATCGCAGACACAGGACCAGATGGATGTGCTCCATAATGACACACTCGTCAACAACACGTTATCGTTGTTGCAATGAACAGGGCACCATAGCTTAGATGGACTGCTCTTGCCAATAACATCGGGTAACCCCGGCAGTATTTGTTGAACCAGTCTGATTCTGTTGATAAGACCCATGAAGTCAAAACCGATCCAGATTTTGTTGCTGGATAATATTGGTACTGGAAACCCAATGAAGTCTATTTAAAATATAGGGAGATACTTTTGTTTATCCACTATATGAGCGGTAGGTTAGATCGACTGCGTCCTTAAGCCAATGTGTAAACCCGTAACAGATACTTTCATTCTTGATTTGAAGCTTTTTTGACTGCAAGAATCCATACTCTTTGTTTTTTTCCGTAAAGTCATGTAGGTAGAAAAATTATAGATCACGACGTTTCGATCACAACACAAGCAATCGTCATCAGGTGGGACAATCACAGCAAGAAAAAATTAACGCCTACTTGAGCAGGTTTTTCTTGGTGTGGTTGTCCCACCTGACGACGATTGCTTGTGTTGCGATCGAAACGTCGGGATCTATTATTTTTCTACCTACGTGACTTTACTGAAAGAACCAAATGCTTTCATGTTTGAACGATCAATTTCCACCACAACAAAGAATATACCAACCACCACAAACATTTGCTATCTGTAGCAAGTATTCATTTTGCCAGCAACCCTTGCGTGTGTGGTCATAGTATAGGCTCTCCAAATACAACACACATTGTCTGCATGTGTCCTCATTTGGGGATTTGAAGACCCAGGACACATTTTCTCAGGCTCTGCGTTGTTTGTGAAAGGGGACATTTAATTGAAATCGCCAGAGATGTGCCCGGATCTTCGTATCTTCCCAACGGTCGGGGTGGTCCCAAAACTCTAAGCTAATCTAACATCAATAAGCAAAACAAATAAAAAACAAATGGATGCATGTTGTCGTATATAAATGAAATACCAACGTTTGGGAGATGCCCCCCCCCCCCTCTGTCTCGCATACATTCGGTCGTAAATAAAGCCCTGTGTATGTACCGTGGGCTAGCTTGCCCCGGTGTGTGTGCGTGTGCGTAATCGATGTCGCAGCTAAAGCCTGCGTCTCTCTTCTCTTCAACAGCCGGAGGGGCGCTGCGTCCTGTGACCGCAGTTGGCATGACCATCCTAGCTCTGCTGATGGCCCTGGCGGTGGTGGCTGACGTTTAGGCTGCCGCCCTTTTTTCGACCGCTCGACGCGCTGAATTTGTGAATAGCGAAGCGCGAACACTGTTGCGTCATCTTCTTGGTTCTTTCGGTAAAGTCACGTAGAAGGGAAAAAATAAAATAATAAAAATAAAACATAATAAAATAATTCTCACGACGTTTCGGCCACAACGCAAGCAGCTGTCCTCGGGTGAAGCAACAGGTCTGTCGGGAAGACAGCGTCTTAATGAAACACCCCAGGCTTGGAGCGTATATCGTGAGAATTATTTTATTATGTTTTATTTTTATTATTTTATTATTTCCCTTCTACGTGACTTTACCGAAAGAACCAAGAAGATGAATCCCTGCAGTCACGAAAGCTTTAAATCGAAACTGCTGCGTCGGTTTCCACGCGATGTGTGTCCAGGGTTGTTGGCCGCGTGTTCACGGCGCGATGTTAACGGGGACCGGCAGCGAGCCGTCAAACGCGATGTCGTCGAGAGAGGGGAGAGAGTGAGTGAGCCGCTCGGTTCAGTTTCCTGAAGAAGCTCATTTTGTATCGGGGCTAAACGTTGGACATCGTCCTAGAAGAAACACGCGGTACAACTGTAAAATACATCGGAGAATGAAGCACAACAACTGTATTATTTTTGACTTGTTACACACGCTAAGAGTAGAATATCATGGATTGCGGTTTTAATGAAATATATATTTTTTATAAATATCTGGGCATTTAGTCTTAATTTCTACCTGGTTTTTACACTTCCCGTGTGTTTTAATCTTACCACGTAAATTATATCCACTGATCTGCCCCCCTATGCTCTTGACGTAACGAACCCAGCATGGCAAATGCACGGATCTCCAATTTAGCCAAATGCTTCTTCGTTGGTCAATGCTGTTAGCGAGCACCCGTCATGGCCAGAATAACACACGGAACGGGTGTGTTATGGGCCAACTCCACACCTGTGTGCATTCGTCTTTGCAGTGCTGAAGTTTACTCACCGCATCGGGTACTCGTTTTATGGCCGAGTCAACCTAGGGGATACCAAGGACGGGTTTGCACACGACTCTGTGCCTCCTGGCCTTGATTGAGAAGCTGATGTGGTCATGTGACTGAAGTGGGAGAGGGGAAGGCCGCCAGGCGTGGTGCTGTGCACGTCAGCCTTAATAGGTGCTCGCTAAGAGCTCTCGCAGCCTTAACGTCGTTGGCGAGATGTGAACTACCTCGCCTGGTATGGAGGAGGTTGTGGGTTCGATCCCGACCCGAGCACCCTGCATATTTGGAGTTTGCGTGTTCTTCCCGTGGTCGTGTGGATTTTTCCTTCGGGTCCTCCGGTTTTTCCTCTCCACATTTAGAATCAACATCGCGCGTTTAGAGTATTTGACTGCTGTTCATTTCTACCTGATGAGCCACTTCGTTTTGAGCTGTCATTTGTGACAGCCATGTCGCTTCTAAAAAAATAGCTGAATAGCTCAGTGGGCCTTACCTGGTAAAATAAAAAAACTGTTTAGTTTATATTTTACCCAGCGTGCTAAAAACGTGTGCACTTTCGACAGTGTAAAACATGTTTTAGTTTAGTGTTTTTAACAGCTGGCTGATTTATTTAAGTAATAAATTAACCCTTTTTTTATTCTCCTAATTATCCTCTTCGTCAGTTGAGAGTGGATGGGCCCGGGATGGACAGAGACATTGTTACCCCAACTCCCACCCCACACAACACACCCCCAGATCTACCCCTAGAATGTTGCTTGCTGCTTCCCCCACACCACCAATAACCACACGGACCCCAGTCAGGGTGGGTAGGGAGCATCCCCCTGACCCACACCGATGCTTTGTGCGAGTGCCGGAGAGTTCCCCTCCCCCCTGGGCGTGTTTTTGTATCCCCCTTCCCAGAGACCACTGGCGTGTTGTTAGTGAGCTACGCGCGCGCTTGCCTCGATTTCAAATAAAAAAATCTGTACATTAAAAAATAAATCTATAAAAAATTAATTACTTGACCAATTATAATCGGTTAATTTACAATTGCTTGAAGAAGACTGCAAACGTTGGGCGGGACAACAAAAAAGTGTCGCTTCTCTTCTCATGTGTGCCGCTGGACGGGAGGTGATGGCCAAGGCTTGGCAGCATTACGAAACACCGAGTCACGATTGCCATGGTAAATTGGACTCCCGTGGCAAACTTAATTTCCATGGTAAACTTGACTCTTCATCACGGTTATCTAGTTTCCCATGGCAGCCCAGTTTACTCTGACACAATCCTAAACTATGGCCACTCTGCCACATTTCATCTTGCAACCCAGCAGCAATCGAACCTCGTGGCGGGACTCGAATAAACGGAAGTCAAAATCGTAGTTAATTAATTTATTTTTGGCGACTCCGTCCCACCGCGCACACAAACGCCGCGACCCGCCTGGCGCGGATCGTTTTGTTGCCGTGTCGTGTCCAAGCGTAGCGGCGAGGACGAATGCGCAGAAGAAACACAACTTTTAAACTTTGGTTAGTGCTTCGTGTCGAGTCCTCCTCTTACATCATCTGTCGTCTGAAATGGAGCCAGCAAAAGTGCGTGCGTGTGGGGTGGGGGTTGGGTCGCGTAGCCCGCATTCCCAGCCACCGCAAGCTCAAGCAACTTCTGTTTGGCCGCATAGAGGGGGCTGCTAAACGGGCACGACACGGGCTGGAGAAGAGATGGAGCTGATGCGGTACGGGAGGATGTGGAGCCGAGTGGACTTGCCGATGACCGGTACCAGCGGTGTCAAGATCGGCCTCTGTGGAGGAGGCTCGTGAAGGACGCTGCTACTGGGCAGTTGGAGGAAATCGCTCTCCAACAACAACGGAGGGCAGAGGAGCGACGCTCACAACAACGAGCGGAGCGCCCGGCGGATAAAATGCAGCAAGTTGACAGTAGGGGGTACAGCTGGTGCATCTACCGGTCATCTCGGTTAGGCAACCCATGGCACCACCTGGGTCTGTCCCGTGACCTCCTGTCGGCAGCGACCCCTCGATGCTTCACGTGGCCTCAAAGTGCACCTAGCCTGGCACGGGCGCCGTGGAGACGTCACCGTCACTTCGTGGCGAATGGCGGGGGGTGTTGGTGTTATTCAATTATTATTGTTGTTTGTGTGCCGGTGCCGACCTTCATGGGTGCTCGCTTACACCACTTGCCCCAAAGGCTATAGAGGGGGGGGGAACTTTGTCTTTGGTTGAGGGAAGAGGAGGAACATGACATCGTTAATCACATTGCCATTCCCGCCAGCTTACGAAATGTTGGCATTTCACATGTCTCAGACGTCTTGAGCCAAACCCTCGTGTTTGCTTGTCTATGTATTGACTGCAATGTGATCTGGGGTTAAAAGCCCCCCCCCCCCCCCCCATTGCTCCTTAGCCACCTCCCTGTCGCGGATGTTACTTCGGGATAAACAGCCTGCGATGATTTAAGTGACGTCACGCACCGGGGGGGGGGGGGTCAGACATTTGTGACGATGTGTGACGAGGGGGGGGGGGGGTGAGAAATGTGACGTCACATCAAAAAGCGCAACTTTAAATAAATATAGACAACACGTTCTACTTAAGTAAATTGACTTTTTAATAAATGTGTTCTCCTACAACATCAGAGTGCAGCGCCACATTGAATACGCACTACAATGGCAACAGTTTAAAGCGATTTGAAGCATGTTTTATTTGCAAAATGGAAATATGGATTTGGGGGGTGGGGGGGGCACAGCTTTGTGACGTCATATTTTAGGGGGGGGGGGGTCTGACTTTTTGTGACGCCGTGTGACGAGGGGGGGGGGGGTCAAAACACGTCCAAAATCGCGTTACGTCATTTATGGACGGCCCCTTACACAACTGCCTGTCGACTGATGAATATTCATGAGTGACGTGAGTTCAGTTCGCTTATTTTAACCGAATATCGAGGCGTTAAACCGCATTTGTGAGCAGCAAGCCCGACAAGGAGCTACAACTTTAACCGTAAGTGAACTTTTTCGGTTTTTTTCGGTGCCTGCAGTTTCTGGCTTTTACTTGATGCAATCATTGTTATTTTTGTTTCATCGGATAGCTATGCGTTGATTAAAAGAGGCGTTTCAGCTTCATGCTATTGCTTCACCGAGTTATTTTACATTGTCCACAATGACGCGCAAATATTGCTCTTGTTACGTATCGTCATATCGTCTTGCGTTCCACACGCGACTCGTGTCCGATTAGCGCGGCTGGCTACGTACGGTGCGAAAGAAGTTCAACACGCACGGTGGAATTTCTCCCTCATTCGAGGAAAGCCTGACTCTGCCCACGAGGTCAATGAATGGTGAAACCCGGTCCACGGCTTTGCGTGCACCGGCCCGATGCGGCTGATGAGATGCACCACCTGAAGTCCGTGCTGCTATCGTGGGTTGTGTCATTGAACCTCTTCGCCGATCTTACGTCTTGCTTAGAAGCTACTGAGGTCCCAGCCGCTATTGATGAATTTGCCGCGCGGTGTCGACGCCGGATGAAGCGAGTGCGGGGCCTGTAGTTTGATGTTATAAAGGGGCCCTAAAAAAAAATAAAAAACACGTAAATTTTAAAACACACACATTTTTAACTTGCATAGTAAAGTAATTGTATTTTTTTTATCTGCTATACAGCTGGATAATACGACAAAATCGTTAACCTTAAACACCCAGTCGTTCGTGGTCGTGCACCGCAGTTAGATGCGTCCCTGATGAAAAGTTCCGCGTTAACAGAAAAACAATTTTTCCCCGTGAACAGGGAACTCAACGAGGGTTAACGTTTGGCGAGATACGATGTAGCGCGTGCGAGGGTACGCCGCCTCGTTACTCTGTCAAACCACGTGCCGTGTCGCACCGCTTACCCGCACAGCAGCTCAAGAACGTTGTTCGACCACGTTGTAACGCGGAAGAGGCGCGTTATAGCGAACACGCGTTCGCTATAACGCGTGAACGACGTGTGAACGACGACGCGCGTTCGCTATAACGCGCCTCTTCCGCGTTACGACGCTAAGCGAGGACTTGCCGTATCTGTCTGGTCCGACGTGTCTTCCAGCGTCCGCGTGAAGGTGAACCGGGTCACGGCGCGGGACACGAGATCGCGCACAGCGATGGCCGTTAACGTCGGTGGCCTGGTGGTCCTTGTCGTCTTCTACGCGGCCATCCTGGCCACGGGCATCTGGGCCTCGCGCAAGTCCAAGAGGATCGAGAAGAAGTCCGGCGGCTCGCGCAGCGAGGTGGCCATGGTGGGCGACCGCAAGATGAGTGCCCTCCTGGGGGTGTTCACGGCCACAGGTGAGCCGCGCCGGTGATGTGCAGTGTATGTTGCAGTGCATCGTGTAGTGCAGGCCTGTCCAAAGTCCGGCCCGCGGGCCAATCACGGCCCGCGGGCCCGCAGCTTCGGTCTTATAATGTGTTATTTATGGCTCGCCAGCTCTGTCAGAATAAATACATCATAAGACTCATGGAAATTTAAGATATTCTATACAGTTTGTTCAATGTTATCTGACTGAATGAAAGGCATAATTGCGTTTTTAGAGTTGTTCCCGTCTGCCTGAGTGGCTTATATTTGGTTACATTGTCATTTGAAAAATGAAGGTAATTGTGACAATGAAAATTGTTTTATCACAGTGTGTATTTCCACGTAACTTTTGTGGTTAAAACAATGTCAAAAGGAACTATTGGCCCCCGGGCATCTTCACTTTATCAAATGTGGCCCTCTTTGCAAAAAGGTTGGACACCCCTGGTGTAGTGCATCGTGTAGTGTATATAGCATCTGAAAGTGCGCGATGCGGTGACCTTCTTTGTTCGATGTCCAGCCAAAAGCCGCCGCTGCTGCTGCTGCCGCGAGAATGACCGCGTGATGATGGCTTAAGCTCCTTGACGAGTACTCGCTAACAGCACTTGCCCCAACAGTCTGTTTAAATCCACACGGGGGGGGGGGGGATCTTTGTCTTCGCTGTGCAGCGACGTGGGTGGGAGGCGCGTACATTAACGGCACGGCGGAGGTGGTGTACACGCCGGGGCTTGGACTGGCCTGGAACCAGTTCCCTTTCGGCGCTGCCATCAGCCTCTGCGTGGGTAAGGTGATTTTTATTTTTATTCGCAACGAGCACCCTGCAGTGGACGTGCCCCAGCGTTCCATCAACGTTGGGCCACGTGACCAGTCTGTGGTCGCGTGGGTGGTGGCATGTGTGGGTACTCCCTGGCCCCGTTTAAAGATTTTCTGACCTGCGTGGAAGATTCGGTCAAAAACTCGCCACTCGGGGGGAGCTGCAGTGGTCCCCTCGATTTGAGAGGCACTTCTGACAACAGTGGCACGAGCAGGCAATTGCAGGGCAGTACCACTGATTTGTTTTTTAGCTCTAACAAGTCTTCAATTGATTCCTGATGCCCGCAGACCCCGCAGGGTCGAGCCCACTGGAGTGAAATCCTCCCACAACGCCGCTGGCAGCGTATGGTGCGAGAGAAGTTCAACAGAGTATGCCTTTTCAATCTGCGGTGGCGTCTGGGCACGCCCCACGTGTTGAAAAAACAATTGGGTGTCAGACGTTCACGAGACATTTTGGCACTGTCAACCTACGGAACTGACAATCCATTTCGTAAAGTGGCAAACAAAATGTATATATATAAAACTTACATTTTAAGTTAAAATAAGCAACATTTATTTAAAAATGATAAAATCTAAGCTTGTGGCGATGGGATGTAGAGCAGTTCGTATGTTTGCTTGTTCTGTATGCTGCTTGATTTTTAACAAATGTTTAATTGATGCGACTGGTAATGAAACTCTAGACGATACTTGAAAATCAAACGCAAAAAGCAAAAACTAATTGTGAATGAAGGGATGGATATGCTTCACTCTCCCCCGGGCGAGTTAATTATTTCTGTTTTTAGTTTTTTTTTTCCATTGTGGTCAATGTAGCAGGTTCGAGTTATAATATACACCGTTTTTATGATTATTATTACAGATGAATCAAAGCAATAATCTAATCGATTATTGCAATCGTCAACAGTCGCAGCGCTGCCCACCTGCCAATTGCAATTTAAATCGCGTGCGTGTCTGCCTCGAACCATTTACAACGACAAAGTGGGGTGTGCGTGTTCAGACCCCCCCCCAACCTAATCTCAATTCAAAGTCAATTTGATCACATCTTTTCCACACATAGCAAACTCATGCTATGACATTTTTTTGCGGCCGGCTGTAAGTTTTCAATGACAACCGGCTGGAAACAAAAACGCACCAGATTGAAGTTTTGTTGCCAGACAAAAAGGGGAAAAATCTATTGTCTTAAACCAGATTAAATTCGTGTTTGTTTTGCCCCCAGACAGAGAGGTTGTTGGCTTAACGTACGGGGCGATGTCGTCCCCTTGTTCACGAGCGGGCGAAGCAGCAGAGAGGCAGTCTGATGTGGGGGAGGGGGGGGGGGTCCTCTTTTATGTGTGAGGCCTTTTGGCGTCATCTGGTCCAACACCAATGGAGACTAGGCTCTAAGAAAAGCTGTCTCGGGTGTGGACCAATCAACTTCAAGGACAGTGCATATCATTATCATCATTAGAGTTGTTTCTTTTTGTTTGCATTTTGACTGCTTGTGTTGTGGTTATTGCAAACATGATGCTTTGTGTAAAGGTGTCAGTTTTTGTACCAGTTGAAAGGTTAAAAACCTATTACTAAAATAGATTCCTTTTACCCCTAAAAACCTCCCTCGGGCGCTCGGTGCTGATTTATTTTGTGTTTTTTTTTTATTCTCGTTATATATTAATATATTCATTATTTTCTTTACATTTTTGACTTAAAGCTTTCGTGACTGCAGGAATTCATATTCTTTGGGTCTTTCGGTAAAGCCACGGAGATAGAAGACGATTGCTCGTGTTGCGATCGAAACGTCGTGTCTTTGATTTTAGTTCTTTTTTTCTATCTACATGGCTTCACCGAAAGACCCAAAGAAAATGTACTTTTTAGTTTGTCGTCCGTTCACCCCCTGTCCACCCGCCCACCCGCCCGCACCGCTGATTAGCAAGGATGGCTACGTACGGTGCAAAAGAAGTTCAAGATAGGCAGCCAAAAGCCGCTGCTGCTGCGAGGATGATTGGAGGTGTCGCGTGATGACGATTCATTCTCCTTGACGCTAACAGCTCCTCGCTAAAGGTGCTAACAGAACTCGCTAACAGCTCTTGCCCCAGCAGTCTGGTAAAGGCTACACGGGAGGTCTTTGTCTTTGTTGTGCAGCGACGTCGGTGGCATGCGCGTACATTAACGGCGGTGTACGAAGACAAAGATCCCTCGTATAGCCTCTGACAGGCTGCTGGGGCAAGTGCTTTCAGCGAGTAGCACCTATGGGGGGGGGGGGTGGGTGTCCCAACAACCACGCCCCGCCGCCTTTGTCTCCCTCGTGGCGATGTCTACACATCACACCTAGGTGTACTCATTTGGGGCTGAGACGACCTAGGGGAGGTCTCAGCACCGGTTCATGAGAATCGTCACTGGTGTTGGCCGTGAGCGCGAATCGAACCGGGGGGGGGGGGGGGGGGTCGCCGGATTCGTAGCGCAGCGGTGCGCGCTAACCGCTCCACCACCGCCACTGTTGAACACGCTGCTGACATGCGGACAGCTCGTCCGATGGTGCAATTTCGCTCCTAATCTCATTCCACGTTTGCCCGCGGTGTCACCCGCCCGTCCGTCCGTCCGCTCGTGCGCCTGCCACGCCCCAGCCGCGCTCTTCTTCGTCAAGCCCATGCGCTCTCGCCGCTACGTCACGATGCTGGACCCCTTCCAGATGCGCTACGGCAGGTGGCTGGGCGCGCTCTTCTACCTCCCCGCCACCTTCGGTGACCTCTTCTGGGCGGCCGCCGTCCTCGCCGCGCTCGGTAAGACGCCCGCGCCGCCACTCTCGCGGTGTCGTCGAGAAATGTGAAGAAGATGAAAGAAAGAAATGTCGTTAAAACATCACGAATTCAAAAGTTCAAAGATGTTTCCTGTTCACGTTCGGAAGTCCACTGGAGCTGTGCGATTTTTAATCTAAATTGAAGACTAATTTCTATAATACAAGTTTTTTTGTGGCGAGAGCGCGTACAAACCCCCCCCCCCCTGTATTATTTACTTCTATAATTTACTCTTCTAATGAGCCAATAATGTCTGTGTATCTTTAGCGTGACATCAATCCACGTCAACCAGCCCCCCTCATTAATAATCATGAGCAGGTGACGTCACTCCACATTGGGGTCGAGGTTCCTTCTCCCCCCTCCTCGGCGCCAACTCACAACCCTCACGACAAAGGCAGAACCCTCACGTCACGTGATCTCCGTCACGCTGTTGAGACATAAAGTAAAAAGGACGTCGAGATGAACGAGGGATTATAACCTTTAAATGAAATAAGTCTGTGTCACCGCGCCCTTACAAACTGCACACGAATTGATGCAATGAATGTCACGTCGCGGTCTGCTTTCTGCTTGCAAGTTTCAGGTTTACCGCAATACACCCGTCCTTGGACGGGCCAGATGCTAGTGGATGATATTGGTCGCGAAAGCCTATGTGCTCAACGGAAAACGAATTTCTTTAGAAGGGCTTGTTCTTGTGTTTAGTTTTGTTGTCCTAAAGGGGTGAGTCCATCCGTAGGGACGAGTCTATCCATAGGGGTGAGTCGATGGGTTGAGCCAAACCCCGACAAGGTGTTGAACTCGCAAACTTCCACCACATATCTGGTTGCAGTAAAAGCTGCGGCCTGTTCACGCCGCTGTTGGCAACTGGGCCTCCGATACCTGCGACTGGTCTTCGTAGGTGCTCGCTAACAGCACTTGCCCTTAAAATCTGTGAAGGCTGCACAGGGGGGCAGGTGGGGGGGGGGGACTTTGTCTTAAGATTGACCGAAGCGTGATGCAGTTTTTCGCATTGTGCGACCGTCAGACCGAGGTGCGATGAAATTTCGACAGCGAAGTTCAGCGCTTGTGATCTGCGGAGTCTAAGGGACGCAACGACTGGCACACGTGTCTCGTCAGGCTCCACCATCAGCGTCATCGTGGACATCAACAGGACCGTGGCGGTCATCGTCTCGGCCCTCATCACCATCGCTTACACCCTCCTGGGGGGCCTCTACTCCGTGGCCTACACCGACGTCGTCCAGCTCGTCTTCATCGTCGTTGGGCTGGTGGGAGGACGCAGCTCTTGACCACGTGTTCACAGGGGGGGGGGGGGGGGGGTGGAAGTTGTGTGCCCACGTGAGATGTTGAGCTGACTTGGCTTAAGTTAACCGCTTCTCATGATCTGCCTGTTGCCGAGTCCTGATGCGTGTTCCTTGAGCTCACTGCCCTGCCAACGCTACCCCCCCCCGCCACTGCCTTCATGCCACCTTTGTTTAAATTAAACATCACCCTGTTCACACTTTACAACTGAGGGTTGAAAACTACATGTCACCGATAATCCCCGAGACTTTTAATGTTTAATGTTTCGGGAAGATGTAAAGATTTCCTAGGACAGATACCTTATAAAAACGTTCCTGAGAAATCCAGGACAGGTGACAACACTTGCGTTGGGCCTTGCTAAGCCCGACACCCCTGGTGCCTCTCCATCTGTCCTAGGCCTTGCCAATCCTTGGCACCGTTATGTTGCCATCTGTTTCGTCACCACCTGTCTCGTCACCACCTCTCTCTGTGACTTCGTCTTGCTGCCTGCTTAGTGCTTCGACAGCTCTGGGGCTCGTCAGCCTGTCACCTTTAAGCCGATCCCCGGCTCAATCCACTTGATGCCTGGCCTTGCCTTTCTGATGCTAACCAATTGATCCCGTGACATTTCGTCACGTCCAGGAATATATTGCCGTTCCGTCACTTTTAATCCGCAGTAAACATTTTTTTGAGAGATTGTAATGCGCGCGGTTTTTGTTCACTCTCAGCGAGAGGGAGGGAGAACGATTTCAGAGGCGCGGGAATCCACAGACAAGCGGGGGGAGGCTTCCAGAAATGGCGCCGACACTTTCCCAAGCTCTGTGGTTCTACATGAGGATGCTTGGCCATCTTAAAAAAAAAATTGTGTGCATAAGCCGGCTTAGTTTGTTGCATCGGGGGCAGTTACCCAACCGCAGGTCGGGTCGTCCTTCACACTTGCATTTTGGCGGCGCGCGTTCCATCCCCTCCGGCAGGTGGTGTGCGTGCCGTTTGCCATGATGAACCCGGCGGTGAAGAACATTGGCACCACGCTGACAGAAACCGTCTACCAGGAGCCCTGGCAGGGCCGCCTGGAGACCAGGGACATCACGCGCTGGATCGACAACATGCTCTACATGGTGAGGAGCGCTCTTCAGCGGGAGCCCGCGCGCTGTTGCCGACGCCACCCGGGGGGGCAGTCATACGGTGTTGGCCTAACGACCTGTTGACCTCAGTTTACTCTGGTCAAATACATTTCTTGCCCTGCCTGATTCTGCTACAATGGCGCCTGAATATGCTTTTGGGGAAAGTGCTGTTAGCGAGCACCTATGAAGGCTGGCACGGCACATGAGGGGGTGGGTGGCCAACACTGCGCCCAGCCGCCTTTGTCTCCCCAGTAGCGATATTTACACACCATACCAGGTACTCATTTGAGACTGAGTCGACCTAGGGGAAGCCCAGAACCAGTTAAGATTATAATCGTCGCCCTGAGCTGGAATTGAACTCTGGCCGCCGGGTTCGTAGTGCAGCGCGCTAACCACGACGCCACCGCTCTCTCCCTTTTAACAAATAAAAATGTATTTATTCAGGCCACACGCATAGAGACGGGGTGTTGTTATTGATGAACGTGTTGTGTTTTTAATGTAAAAAAGCCCCCCCCCCTCGTTCGTGCTCGTCAGCCCTTCCCGACCGTCGCGCGTGGCCGGTGATGCGCGTCGAGCGAGGCGGACCTGTGCACGCTGTGCCCCGCGCGCTGACGGCCGTGCTTGTTGCAGATCCTCGGCAATATCCCGTGGCAGGCGTACTTCCAGCGGATACTCGCGACAGGCTCCGTGAAGCAGGCGCAGGTCATCTCGCTCGCCTCCGCCTTCATCACCTTCATCCTCGCCGTCCCGCCAGTCCTCATCGGAGCGGTCGCGGTGAGCACCGGTAATTACTCGTCGGGGGGGGGGGCGGGGAAAGGGTTCGGCGAGCGGGACTTGGTAGGCAGTGGCGCGTTTGCCGATTGTTGCGGGGATTTTGTGGCGTCGCGGTGGCGACAGGTTAATTGCCTCGCCTGGTACGTGGGAGGTCGTGGGTTTTTATCCCGTCGCCCGACGCCTGTACGTTTGGAGTTTGAATCCAGGGAGTCAGGAATATAATCCGAGGAGTCAGGATGCGACGCTCAATAGGTGTTATTTTTTTATAACTTATTTGGTCGTTACAATTGCATTTTTTACCACTGCACCACCCAAGATAACTAGAAAACGATGGCTTTGATTAGCCTGACAGTTAGCTGGATCCATCAGGCTTGTAACAGCTCGGTCCATCAGGCTTGTAACAATTCACTGCCTCCTGGCAAATTCGATGTATTGTCAGATAAAAATCTGGGTAACCATTCGTTTCCAGAATAAAAATTTCACACGAAAATCATACATTCTTGCGTGCACAATTCGGCGCAAGCATCGAATCGCCGCGTGTCCGCGATCCGTAAAGAGTGAGGTGCTCTCCCGTAGCCTGTGCCGGCTGTGACCGATCCCACGTGCCCCCTGTCGCGCGCAGACTGGAACATGACGACCTACGGCCTCCCCTCGCCGCACGAGAGGGGCGAGGAGGGCATGATCGTGCCCATCGTGCTGCAGCACATTTGCCCAAACTACATCGCCATCATTGGCATCGGGGCGCTGGCCGCCGCGGTGATGTCGTCCGCGGACTCGGCGCTCCTGTCGGCTGGCTCGCTGTTCACGCGCAACGTCTACACGCAGATCATCCGCCCCCAGGTGCTGCGGTTTAAAATAAAATGAACAAAAATTGTGCCTCAATTCCCAATATTTGTGTGCATTCGGCGTAGTGTCCGTGAGTTGATGGGTCTATTTGTAACTCTCCTAGAGCAGTGTATTATGTCACGTGCTAGGGAAACAGCTCACAGAAGGCAGGGAAAACGGAGCTGAGTCTGAGATCCGCGACCTCTGGTCTAGGATGATGTCTCAAGTGACATCTTTGTTCCCCCAGCGTGTTAGGAAAGGGTAGAGTAAATCATTCCAAGTAACTACTTTTGAGATTCCTTGGACAATGGTGACCTACAGGCTTGGTAGTAAAGTGAATATTTTGAAAATTCTCAGAACTTGGAATATATCCAACCTAAGTGAAAACATCAAATGTAACTTTCTTTTTTAAAGAGAATCTATGGAAATTGGGTTGAAAGTCATCAACTCATTACATTGTAATAGGAGAGCTCGGTTCAATCAAGGTTGGCTACTAAAATTTTTATCGTAAGGTATCTCAATGATGCCGGCTCAATGCTCTGAATCCCGAGCCTCCCACACACTGTCCCTTCTCGTGGTGTTCGTGGGCTTAACATCTCACTAACTTCGATTTAATGCTTTCGTGACTGCAGGGATTCATCTTCTTGGTTCTTTCGGTAAAGTCACGTAGAAGGGAAAGTAATAAAATAATAAACATAAAAAACACAGTAATAAAATAATTATTTGATTATGTTTTATTTTTCTTATTTTATTATTTCCCTTCTACGTGACTTTACCGAAAGAACCAAGAAGATGAATCTCACTAAACGTGAACTGGTAGCCGCTGCCATATCGAAGAGATATGGTGGATGTGGTGTGCCGGGCACTGTAAATGTTTTTCGGGGTCGCAGAGCCGGACTGACTCGGTTGAAATGAACCCCCGTTACTGGTACTCTTCATTTATAGGGGTGGAGAATTTCATTCCCCTTCTCTTTCAATTGACTGTTGCAATTTTAGGATCACCGATTTTCTTCAAGAATGTCGTATGTGCACGTAACCGTGTACATACGTGCAATTGTACATTATTTCCACCTGCCGCACGTTGGAAAAATCGTCGAAATGGACGACCCGGTGCAACGTAAGTGCAGCGCAACGACCATCGCACGGCGGCGGCGGCGGCCACTCATCTTGTTTGCGCGTGCACACACACACACGTCGAAATGAACAGCGCGACTGTGCGTTGCCCGGCAGGCTTCGGACCGCGAGTCCATGTGGGCGCTGAGGGGCGCGGTGCTCGCCGTCGGCTCGCTGGCCACGATCCTGGCCCTCGAGACGAGCTCCACCTTCACCCTGTGGTTCTGGAGCGGAGACTTCACCTACATCATCATCTTCCCGCAGTTCTGCTGCGTGCTCTTCTTCGGGGCGTCCAACGGCTACGGGCTCATCGTCGGGCTGGTCACGGGACTCTTCTTCAGGGTCACGGGCGGAGAGCCACTCATCAAAATGCCGGCGCTCATCCGCTACCCCGGCTACTACGAGGTGGACGGCCTGGTCCACCAGGCCCTTCCCATGAAGACCTTCTGCATGCTGCTCTCGCTGACGGCTAACGTCGCCGTGTGTTTCGCCACGAGGCGCTTGTTCGCGTCCGGGACGCTGCCAGGAAGTTGGGATTTTTTGAAGGAGTTCAGCGCTCCGGACTCGGATTCGGCCCCTTCTCGGCCGGAGCCCGCCGAGGTTGTCGCGCCCGCCGATGACGCAGAAAACACCGAGCTGCCTCTCGTGTCTTGTGAGAAACAATCGGCTCAGTGACGGACGTCGAGCAAGGCTAAGCAGACGTCTAAATCGCCACGGGGAGCACGACAGAGTTCTGCTGCGTCGCCATGAACACTCGCACTAAACGCATGAGACCAATATATTTTCTTTTAAGTCCTGTGCCTTATTTGACATTGTATAGCGCTATATAATGCGTCATCTTACGTTGATATTTTAGGGACTGCACACTGCTGGTTTGAAGGAAGATGTTATGTGGTTCGTCAATGTAAATCGTCACCGGGAAGGCATGTTTAATCATAAAACAATTAGCAATGCACACAAATCGGTGTGCAGCTATCATAGTTTGCATGTTGGACTTGCAATCCCGCGGTGGCCAGTTCAATGCAACTCGGACACCTATATCTTGACTATGTCATGTGTATGCTGTGCGTGTTACGTCGGTCGGCGCTTGTGTATTTTATGCGTCTTATTATGAGACAGTGGTTGGGAATGTAACGTTGTTAAAATTCAGTTGATCATCGATTATTCAGCTTCCAACATCCGGCACAACCACCCCAAAGGCTGTGACAAGTCCGGCGATTGGCACCATGGCGTGACAAATATTATATACAGTACATTATACACTACATAGAGCTCAAACACTGAAAATACTGCACGTGTATAAGATTTCCATGACTAATAGCTCCAGTGATTAAAACATCAATTAGACAGTGCGCCCCGGTGAAAAGTGCGTTGTGTATTCCGTTGTGTTCGCATCAGTCCGGCGATCGTCAAACGCATCACCCATAATAGAGTCTATTATGGATGATATTGGTCGCGAAAGCCGACGTGTTTCAACGCATCACGTTGTGGAAACAAGAGCGTTGGTGGTAGTACATTGCCCCATACAGGGGTCTCGAGATTGGAGCGGTAAGTACGGTACGGTAACTTTTAACAGCAGGATATTTATTTTTTTGTCTACTTTTATGTTTATGCCAATTTCATATCGTAAACTAATTAAAAGCACAAAAATATATAAACACCTAGAAACGTAATTTCATGTAAGAATGTGCTAAAGAGAAGCTATTTTAAATAATGATGCGATTACCGTATATCCGGCATTTTTGAAAATCCGGTGTCCCCTTACCCTCTGAAGCCGCCAGATAATCGATGATCTGATGAACCTCGACTCGAAGTGTCTTGTTGCTCGAGTGCTTCGTTTTATCTATGAACTTTGAACGTGATGATTTCTTACACTGCAATTGATACAAAATAAAAAAAACAATTCCCTCGACAACTGCGAGACGAATGAATTAAAACACGTCATTTATAAGACCTGTTTACACAACACTGCACGAATGCCTTTTTTTTTTACAATAAACTTGCACGGGCACATCCGAGACACTTGTTTTGATGGTATGGGCCTGGCTCCATACCCAGTACGTTCTCACTCTCACTGCACCGGCAAGCACCAATCCAACAAACACTGATTTCTCTGACCCGTGGCACTTTAAAATGCGTGTTTGAGACGACAAATTGATTACCAGTATTTAATATAAATGCCAGAGCCCTGACAGCAAATTAAAAAGGCGCGGTGGAAGACGTGCGGGTAGGCGTGGCTTGCACAAAGAGGTGATTGAGATCTATCTTGTCTTAGAAGACTCTTCTGGATAATTTTTGGCAAGCCACATCCATGTTTGCCTTACTTTGTCCTCTTGAAACTGCGTCTAATGTTTTATAAACCCCTTCATATGATTATAGGAATAAAGGTGTATGATAATATTAGAATTGTTATGGATATGCCTAGCTTCTTCCTCTCGTGGTAACAATTCCAACTCCAAGCCAGTCTAGCGGCATTCTGGGAAATACTAAGTGAGATATTAAGCTCCGTGTCGGGAAGAATGCTGATTTACCACGATGGCGACCACGAAAGATGGAATATGAAGACAGGTTTGAACCCTGACAGGTACGATTGATTATTTGGTGGTCCTGCTCTGCATTGGCAGTGGTGCAGAAGGACAAACAACAACGCAACTCAACACGTTCAACACTGTGGCATTAAATGGAAGTTATTGATCACATCCAGGCAGTTGGAACGAGTGCTGTTCGCAAACACCGACGAAGGACAACACGGGACACGAGCCACGGGTGGTCAGCACCACCCCTCCGGCCGCCTTTGTCTCCCCGATGTTGATAAAAATATTTTTGACCCTTTCTGGCAATTAAACAGGTCGGTTTAACACGTAGGCTTTGGCGAATTGCCCGATGATGCTGGATGCAATTACCAGCGAAACGTTGTACTCAAAAATTGTAAATGTTGTGGTTTCACGCTTCAACACACCGGTGGGCTAAAGCAGTGAACTATTTGTCTTTTGTCAACGTGACACTTTTTTGCTGATTGGCCGTGTCGGGTGGTGGAGGGTTACGACACATTTATAAATAACGCGATCTAACCCAAAAACGTTGATTATGAATGAAACAGGTGTCAAGATGTTCAAACACCAGGGCGCCAGCTATTCCATGAAGCGCTAAGCCGTCCTAGGCAAGGCGCCCGGGAGCGGTGAAGATATTCGTCACACAAACCACTCAACCACACCACTTGATATGCATCGAGAACCACCATTCGCCACGAAGTGGTGGGGACATCACCACGGCGCTTGTGCCAGGTTATATGCACTTTAAGGCCACGTGAAGTGTCGAACGCCCACTCGCAGGTCACGGGACAGACCCAGGTGCCAAGCCTGACCGAGATGAGTGGCCCGATGCACCATCTGTGCCCCCTACTGTGCCAACTTGCTGTGTTTTATCTACCCGGCGCTCCGCTCGTTGTGAGCGTCGCTCCTTTGCCCCTCGTTCTTTCTGTAGGGCGACTGCCTCCAGCTGCCCAGTCGCAGCGTCCTTCACGAGCCTCATACACAGAGGCCGATCTTGACACCGCTGGTACCCAGTGCCGGATTATCCTAGTAGCAACAGTAGCTACATATGTACATATATAGTAGTACATATGTAATAGCTACTACATATGTAGCTACTATATATGTAGTAGCTACGTATGTAGCTACTACATATAATGTAGCAACTACATATGTAGCATCCAACTCCTCTGAGTGAGCAGCAATCACCAGATCATCGGCATACATAATAACATGGTTGACCAATAGGGAGCATCGATCAGCCTCCAATTATATCTGGACTGGATGGAAATTCCTCCGGTACAGCCATGGGACGTTTCTCGAACCACGTGATCAAAGATTGTGTTCAATGATGTGGGAGCCAGAGGACATCCCCTGTAGGTGCCAGAGGACATCCCTATGCATAGGTGGACACACACGTGAACGTACACGAATAATCAGACAGTGCGGGTGTTGCAAGACAAACGTTATATTTTGGCGAGAATTGAAAACCCATTACAGTATACCATTACATATAACAGAATTACAATGCGATCAACAACTTGTAGGTTATCGTGCGAGTACAATGCATGCTGCAGTGTAATTACCGTGGCATTCACATTAAAGTCAAACACCATTGGATCCTTGCGTTTAAAACCCAGTACCGTACTGTGAGTGGATCAGATAACGTGAATCATCGTTCGAGTGGTGATACAAGTACCAGGTTCGCCATGTATTGTCTCCGAGGGTTACTTAATGACAACAATAAACTGCCCCCTAAAATTCAAAGATGTCCTCCACAAAAGATGGTGGCCATCTTGGAGATATGGCAGCCGTCTATTTTAATATGTAAAAAAAAATCTTTAATATTCAGAGATGCACGATTGTAAATATCTCCAGCAAGTTTCAGTATTACAATTTAAACGATTCCTGAAAAGAAATTCACATTTCTGCCCCACTACGTCGTTGTGACCTCTTGTAAAATGACATTTATGTTGGAAGGAAAAAAAAAACCGGTGAAGGCGCAGGCATGCAATGGCTGGCTCTGAAGAGGTAGAGAGTTGTGTGTGTGTATGTGTGTGTGTGGGTGTGTTCGACCTGCCCATCGACTGACGTTGACATTGCTGCATGGACAGAGGCAGGAGTGGAGTTTAAACAAAACAAAAAACATGGTCCATCAACTGCCACGCCGCGAGATCGAACAGGACCGGCAACCTTTGGGATTTCAAGTCGAGTGTGCTGACCATTACACCACGGCACCATGCCCCACACCTTCACGTAATTAGTTTGGCTAAACTTAATTAGTTTGGCTACAATCATTTGTCCTGATTAATTTAAGGGCAGGAAAAGCGCACATGCTCTATAGCTCCGTTACCCATGACAGCTGATGAGTCTGTACGTCACAGTGCTGTTGTGTTCACGTGTACTTACTTCCCTGCACTCCTGCGTGTGTGTTCGCCGTAGTCTATTCCAAAAGAAGCTCCCAGCAGCACGAGGCGCGAAACGTCGAACATCGTGTGCGAGAACGCGATGGGAGACCTTGCTCATCTCTGCGTTCACGAGCCTCTTGAGTGTTTCCTCTTCACAGGCTCGTGAAGCAGCACGATGGCAGTGTTTAATATATACAAGGATTATAAACGCAATCGTCAATAACGCTGTGGCCTTAAAAGGAACAAAACGATGGCCGACGTTTCGGGCAATGGCCCTTCTTCGTAATGATATCTTACATCAGATATTGCGATACGTTTCCTTTTAAGGCCACAGTGTTGTTGACGAAGGTGTTCACATTTGTTGTTGTTGTTATTGTTGTGCTTGTGTACAACTGCCAAACGCAGCAGCAGCCGCAGCAGCATCCCCACATTGTTTAGGGTTTTCAATTTGAGGGCACACCCGTGAACGCAGCTTGCTCCAGCACTCAGTACAGACGACGACACAGGCAGTGTCCCGACTCATCGCAAGATAATGGCACCTATGGGTCTGAACCCTGAACCCTTTTCTATTTGTTATGAAGAACACATGACAAAGAATTGCGGAATATAAGCTATTGATTATAGTGCTCGAATTTGTATGTACATAAGATAAGATTCATGCCATTGGATTACTTTTGTTAGGACGGAATCTACACAGATGTGACGATGTGAGACATCGTTAGATAGCGTCTTTGTGGGACACGCGTATGAGATGGGTGTCGTATAAACCAGTGGTTCTTAACTTGGGATGCCCCTTCTGGGGGTGCGAGACATGCCAGTAATTTTTTTTAACGTTAAAACATCGAAACATAAATTAGCACGGGCACGTAAGAACAACTACTTTTGTTTCATCAAACCCATGCGTTTATTAACGTTGTACGTTTTGTGAACGGTTGAGAACCCAAGGTGGTGCAGTGAATGTCAAGAACCACTGGTGTACACCGTAGGCGCCACGAGGTGCTAAGATGGGCAGATGTCTGGTGGCCGAGACTCGCGACGGAGTGGCAGGCAAAGGAGGGGGACGCTGCCCGAGCGACGAGGTCGTCTCGTGGCTGTGTGCGAGTTGGATCGTGGCGCCGCAGGACTACTGTGAACAAAGACGGAGGCTTGGGGAGGCTTTCGTCCGGCAGTGGATCGACCGTGGCTGATGACGGCGACACTGCACTGCACTATTCATTGGCTAGGCCTAAAGTCACTGTGTAGGGTTTCTTGGCTGTGCTGTCTCCGGTGTGTTTTTGGGTTGTACCGCGCGTTGTGTGGCATGATGTCCGACGTTTCGCTCCACGCTTTAGTTTCTCCAAGAAGCTATTGGCACGTGGCGCGAAACGTCGGGAATTGTGTCGAGCAACACGCGGCACAGGCAGAAAACACACCGGAGCGCTCCGTCTAAACATCAAGTATGGGATTAATCTTGACTTAAAGCTTTCGTGACTGCAGGGATAATTATTCTATGGGTCTTTCGGTAAAGCCACGTAGATAGAAAAATGAGAAAAAATGTCACGACGTTTAGATCACAACACAAGCGATCGAAACGTCGTGATATGTTTTTATTATTTTTATATCTACGTGGCTTTACCGAACGACCCATAGAATACGTATGAGATGGTTTGAAGGATGAGGAGGTGGGGAGTTGGTGTTGTGTCTCGTGTGAGCCGGTTTTTTCCTCTCCTAACCCTGCATCACCATCATCACCGTCGTCATCAGACTCAGGAGGGGCAGCACGATCGTGGGGAACACGTGGCCCTGTGCGGTCACTCCGCCGTTGCAGAGGTCTTCATCGCAGCATACTTGGTAAAAAGCAGTAGCATTTTCGCATTTTGCAATGCAACCCTTCTTCCAGACAGCGATGTCAACTATATCCATTCAGGAAACGACAGAAACATTCAAACGTGGTGAAGTGCTACACATTAAGCACCGACCATACTCAATTATTTAAAACTTCATTTGGACAAGTAATGAATTCCAACCTCTCAGGGAGCACCGCGTCGCCCTGGGGCGGTGCCACGGCCGAGCGTTCGCCGCTTGTTACAGTGGCTCGCGGTTCAGGGAATACGGCGGCCCTGTTTAATACCATGGGCATATTCAACTACGGGCATGAGTAACCACAACATACATGCCGATTGCGTCACAGTGGCGGCGTACAATATCCAGCGACGTTATTTTAAAGAGAGTATGCCACGTGTGTTGGCGCCACGGTCCAAATATTTTATCTTTCTTTTTTTATCTCTCAAATGACCGTATCTAATTGGATAAAGCCACACACTACATCACCCACGACTGTGAAACTACTGCAGACGACACTCATCTGTGACACATAGCACCTTCCTTGGCGATAGCTTTGAGCTATAAGAATGCTACCAAAAACAAATGTACGAATCGTATAATTTGATTGCAGAATAGTCTGTGGAAGCGGATATTGCAGAGCCACTTCTGACATCCCTTAACAAGTGTCGCCTTATTCACATTCGGGCGACTGCACTTTCCCATTTTCTCCGAAATGCCGAAAGGCAGTCAAACTGACGGGATGAACCCCAGGGCTGGCTTCTGAATCCTTCTTCAGAAGCTTCCGAATGAGGAGCGAAACGTCGGATGTCATGCCGCACAACATGCGGTTCATAACCCGAAAACGCATCGTAGATTGAAAGATTAACGTGCCCTGGGTTTATGTGGAACAGCATCTGTTCTAAAATGAAGTGAGGATTGAAGACAGAACCCCAGGGCCATGACAATCAGTTGGAGAAGTCGCGGGGACATGAGGGTGCACTGGGGCTCATTCACTTCACTTACCGACGGAGGAATATAGAGAGTAGCAGCTCTCATTTTTTTGACAAACCACTTCATCTTTTGAGTCCGTAAAACATGACACAGGATTTCCACATTCGTAGCACTTCAGAGCCTGGCCTGGAAATCAACAATAAAACAAAAGTCAAAGTCATCACGCTGCTTTCCTGATCGAATGAGCACTGAATCTCCTCTCCCGTTCACAGTCCTCAGGCAGTGGTGGAAATTCTTTATTCCTATGACGGGGGCAAGTGTATCCATAGGACAGCCATTGTTGACTTGCCTATGATGGTGTACTTGTTCTCTCGACCCCCGGGGGGTGATGGGGCGAGTCATCCCCTAAGCAGGATCTTAAGAAGGTGACCCCTTCAACCGCTGAACCACCTGATCAGATCCACATAAAGTTACCCAAACGCTTGTGTTGTGCTGAACGCAATATCAGGCGTGCCGTTTTGTGAGAACATTAAACGCTTTTGCTCGTGTGTCCGACTGGGCTGATGTTGGCCTTGTTTAGAAAGCATCATCACATCGTGGTGTAGCTTCTACATTGCCCTCGGTGTGAGTCCTATCACATTGGCTGAGTCCCGAAACGTTCGCTCATGTAAGTTAAAAAGGACATCAAGCACAACTTGGCGTATGCAACTCTCTGGATACTGAGGTTTAGGCGGATATGTGGAAAAATTGGAAACGTGAATAATGATAGACAATGGCAGTTACACCATAAAGACGACGTTTGGTGTGGGTGATTAATAGGTGAGGGTGAATATAGAACTTTATAATCTACTCGTTTATTAAGCCTGTCTTTGCCAGGCAAAATTTTCCAATAAATATAATAATTAACCTGCTATGATTTTTTTTATATACGATCAGACACTAATAACTACTCCAAAAAATATATATTTTTCCACAAATACATAAAAAATTGTTGACGACTTGATTCAACTTGGTATATTTAAAGACGTACCCATCGGAAACCGCTCAATTGAAAGATTCAGTTCTTTTTAATTAGAAATAACAAAAATGTATTAACTTAATACTCTATGAGCGGAAGCTTATATCTTTAACCGTTTTCAAAGTATTCAGATTTGAACATCATTTAATGAGTATTTTTATTCGTTCAACACCCCTTGAATCCGAAATATCTAAAAATCAATAAAAGATAGAACAATGGTTATCGCTTTCATTGTATTTGACGTTTAACGCTCTCTCAAAAGAAAACAACCTGCAATATTATATTTTGAACGGTTTCTGAATGACACCGAGCCACAAACATGTTTATAGGGCACTTAAAATCGATATTTAAGGGCCTTAAAATGAAAAATCTGGGATTCTCGGATTTCCCTTGTTGTTTGTGTCCTTAAAGCTACCTATGTACCCAATTTCAGCGTTCTACCTCGTCGGGAAGTACCCTAGAGGTTTTTGAGACATACAGATGAAGGTCTTTATATAGATTTTAATGTCTGCACATGGGCAGTGTTCTCCACGTGTTGCAGAGTCTCACAGTTCGAGGCCAAACGTCCGCCCTGATCAATACTGCGGTGTGCATATTGACCGTAATAAAATACTTTGTGCCATCTGCTTCGCAGAGGACGTTAAACATAATTTGCAAGAAGTTGGCCACTGTGCTGACGTCAGGTTTCAAATTTGCCAAATCTAAAACATTACCTGCAAATTGTGCAATTGGGGTTATACATTACTCTGGCTACCTACGATGCGAAAGAAGTTCAACATATATGCAACATACAGAGGTCACTTTGGCAATTGAGACTACACGGATATCGTGAATTCTCACCCGGTTAAAGCAAACATAAACTTAACTGAAACCCCTCTTTATGTCTCGCGTCAGTGCCCGGCCGACTCACCCTGGCTGACGAGCATCGACAATCCGCAGATAGCCAGAAGCAGCATCAGCGGTGAGCGCAGAGCGGCCATGGTGTGAGGAGGCGGCGGCGGTGGCAGCGGGCGGCAGAGAAGATTCACGCACGAGGAGGTGAGAGACGACGACGCTTCGTGGTGACCGAAGAGATGTGTGGAGCCCAGCGCTATGGCCCTTAGATTTATAGGGCCCACTCGAATGGCATTTGCATTTGCATCTAAGGAAATGTATTTTGCTATCAGTTGCAAGGAAGTTGACCTTCGTAAGGTCGCGAGTGCGAGTTACATATTGATAATTGTAAATCCTGTCACGGGTTATTGCTTCCTTATGGACATGTTTTGAGGTTCAGGACTAATAGGCACGTAACACTCAAACAATGAGTTACTGAGAATAAGATGGCATAGCCCATAAACAACGGAGAGTCTATGAGCCAAGGCCAGATATTTCACACGTTGGTGCGACATTTAGGTCTTGAAAGTTCGTGGCTTTTTATTGGCTCACTCGAGGTCCTCATTTCATCGGTTTATGGTCCTTAAAATGGGCATTTTTTACGGGCATTTGGCTTGACTGACCACACCTGCATTCAAATTAGCGACATCCGTTTCACGTCGACGAGGGCACGCGCGTTGTGGTTAAGGTGACATGAAGGCACGAAGCACGTGGGCCACCGCGAGAAGGCTGCGATTTCCCACCCACGTCTTGGAAGCGACGCAGGCTGCAGCCATGATGCACGTAAGTCGGTAACCAGAATAACAAGAGGTGACATTTCAACTCCAATTCTGTAAAACAAAACAAAAACCCTCAATATTTCAAGAGCCACAATGCACTGCGTGGTGAATACGAGACGGTGGTGGTCCTTTAGGGAATAACAGCCACGAGGCCGTCCTTTAAAGGACCGCCGACCCCTGACCGTGCACAAGACAGCTTGTTGTTGTTGTTGTTATTCAGGCTTTGGGGCTGCACGTGGTACTTAAATAAAGAAAATCGATTGTGTGGCACAGGACTTCTATGTCCACCTGCCTGTCCTCCCCACGTACACCAGCCCGCACTCATCAGTGCAGTGAACTGTGGCCATATAACCCCTCCCCCCTCTCCTACGATCCCCACGGCCCAGGGAGGTTTTTTCATGCAGAAGTGGAACGGTATAATGGATGTCGCATTACGTGTAGTTTACATTCGGAAATAAAGCAATGACAAAACATTTGAAAATGATGACATTTGGACAGGAGGAAGTGCTGTAAGTTCGGCAGATGTGGTGTGTGTGATCGGATAATGAAACGAGGTGGTAAGAGCGTATAAATGTTACACTTCAATGAATAAAACAGGGTCACGCATCACGTGATCTCCGTGTGCGGTGTGTGAGTGTGAGGTTTACTGCGCCGAGCAAATGTGTAGGTTGCGATGCCAATCGAGCTTTGGTGCCTATTAATTGGACCTTGTTGTGTTATGCGAATCGCAGCGATCCAGGAGATCGCTCAGTATATTGGTGCATCACGTGGCTGAGAAGGGACAGCGATGGCTATGGGGATGACCTTCACCCAGCAGTGGATTGATCATAGCTTTTGCTGATTATTGTTCATATTATTATTGTATTTTTTAAGATAGAACAGAGCAACGTGGCTTTATTTTTTATGTTATTGATAGCACCCCCCTCAATGTAGTATGCATGGCATTGTGATGTCACGCTTACATAATGCATCGCATTGGCACCTGCGTAAGGCATCGATCGTGATGGCTGACATTCACAAACTCATCTCAGAGTGGAACAAGGTGGACGTCCAGAATAGAAACCGATGTTTACATCCTACCTGCCTATGTCAGCTGTTATCTCCGACTCTCTGCGTGTCTTTCTCTCTTTCTCTGTGCATCTCTTTCCGATCTCTTCTCCAGTGATCCGGGTGCTGCTGCGGGGTCCACTTTCTGCCTCGCCTCCTTCCCCCTCCCACTTCTCTCTCCCCCCTACTGCCGAGGCCGACTATATAACCTCAACCTCATGCCACGGCAGATCTCTCGCCTACTTCAGCAGTTTTTTTCTTGCTGTGGTTGTCCCACCTGATGACGATTGCTTGTGTTGCGATAGCAACGTCGTGATCTATTATTTTTCTACCTACGTGACTTTACCGAAAGAACCAAAGAGTATGGATTCCTGCAGTCACGAAAGCTTCAAATCAAGATTGGAATTTAGCTCCTGAAAATATTGCCAGACGCGAGGGCAAAACGTCGCATTACTAGATTGCGTAAGGGACTGTCTAATTCATGCGCAGCGT